ACATGTTTGCAAGTTCATATTTGTAAGTGGTTTCAAGTTCACATTTGTAAGTTGTTAGCAAGGTCAATTTTGTTGGGATATTTACATTTATAACATGTTTGCAAGTTCATATTTGTTGTCAAGTTCACATGTGTAAGTTGTTGGAAGGTTCACATTTGTAAGTTGTTGTCAAGTTTATATTTTGTAAGTTTTTGTCAAGTTTACATTTGTAAGTTGTTTTCAAGTTTACATGTGTAAGTTGTTGGCATGTGCATATTTGTAAGTTGTTGTCAAGTTTATATTTTGTAAGTTGTTGGCAAGTTTACATGTGTAAGTTGTTGGCAATTGGTTGCTTGTTGCAATATCTTTTTTGTAAGAAAATATTCGTTGTTAGCAATCTCATTGACATAATGGGTAAGTTTCTATAATTATTGTTATCGTAATTTCTGGAACAATTAAATTTAAAAAATCAAATTAGTGCTTTGATTATAATTATATAGGCCTACGTGATTGATGACTAGGTAGTTAGACACTAAAGATTAAAATACTTTTGACGTAAAAAAAATGTTTTCTTAGATCCGGTCCTGACCTGGCGTGCACCGCCCTGGCTATCATAACCCACTTCTGCTGGCTGTGGATGTTCTCCTGGAGCTTCCTCTGTAGTCTGCACATGTTCCGTGTCTTCAACTCCAAGACTCGCGTCACCCACACCAGTCGCAGGTCCCAGAATGTGTATCAGGCCAAACAGCTGGTCGCGTCGTTGTTGTTGCCGGTTGTGGTTGTGGCCGGTGTGGTGGTGGCGTCGTACGTCCAGTCAGGAGGGAGGACCATAGGGTATGGGGAAACGAAATGTTACCTGGACTCCTGCCTCGTGAGCGGTGAGTTTGGACTGCAATACACAATGGGTGCTGTTTACTTGTCTACAAGATTTTGATGGCGAGCAATGTTATAGAAGTATTTTAGTGTAGCTTAAGTTACCCAGAGAAGTGGGTACTGGAGTTTTTAAAGGACTGTGAAAAAAGATGCCATTTTTACAAGCTTTTATTTAACTCACTTGCTCTGTCTGTCTGTCTGTCTTTCTAGATCGAAACGGCCGTGCGAAATTGCAGGCACTTCTAACTAATACGGTTCGTAATTGGTAGGTGGGTCAAGACATGAAGACAATGCATCGTGACATTAAATTTGACTTAATTGGTTGCCTAATTAATTATTTATTAATTAATTAAAATTATTGACTTTAAAATTCGAATATAACCGAAGCGTTCAACGTACGAAGTCCTTATGAGGTCACTGAGTTCACTCAGCTTTGATGGGTACCTGACTCAATTTAGGGAAATTAAACGGGACTTGGCATAGTGCTGAACAAACTATTGCTTTATCCGCCGAGCTCATAGAAATATGTGATCTCTACTTCATCTGCCCCATGGACCGTCAGGTTGGAAAATACATCTGCTTTTGTTACACAGCACCGTTCATGGCGGTCCACTGGGATTACTCACAGGACACTGCGGCCCAGTCCACCATTGCGAGAATGTAGTATAAAATAATTATGTCCACTAATTTGTTATCCCCTCTCCCTCCCCGCCCCCGTGAAAATAGCCGTCCGTGACGACAGTCCACAGATGACAATGAAAAGACCAAGCAGAACTTCTTACCTCTCCTTATTTTCAAATCGTTTAAAAACTAAATTATCTGCCCCTATATAGCCGTCACTAATTCGACCCGGCTCTACGATTGTAAAAATTCGGCGTGAACCTCAGCTCTCCAGACTGTTGTTGTGGTTGGGGTGGTAGTGATATGGTCTGTTGCGCATGCATGGAGAGCGAGGTGGGGGTGGGGGCGTATCGGCGTGAGCACGTAGTGGTGTCCCGCATGGTCCCACGAGGGGAATCTATATATAGATTCTGAAATAAATATTTAGAAAAAAAAATTCAATGCTGTTTAGGGTAGTTAAAATATTTAAAATAAATGTTAAGTAATCAATGTATCGATCTTCAATAGAATAACTGACATGTATAACGATATTAAGTACATCTATTTTTAAAGGGGTATCCCTGATTGGGCCTCTAGCGGCCATAACTCTGACCAACATCACATTTTTCGCCGTGACCGTCAGACGTATTGACCAGGTGAAGAAACTCCAGGTGACAGATTCTTCCAAGGGCGACGACTCCAGCAACATCTACATCTACGTCAAGTTGTCGTCCATGGTTGGAGTTTTCTGGGTTGTTTCGTTAATGGCAGAGGCCCTAAATGTGGACATACTCAGGTGTGTGGTGGGTTGACATAGGTGTGTGGTGGGTTGACATAGGTGTGTGGTGGGTTGACATACTCAGGTGTGTGGTGGGTTGACATACTCAGGTGTGTGGTGCGTTGATATACTCAGGTGTGTGGTGGGTTGACATAGGTGTGTGGTGGGTTGACATACTCAGGTGTGTGGTGCGTTGATATACTCAGGTGTGTGGTGGGTTGACATAGGTGTGTGGTGGGTTGACATAGGTGTGTGGTGGGTTGACATACTCAGGTGTGTGGTGGGTTGACATACTCAGGTGTGTGGTGCGTTGATATACTCAGGTGTGTGGTGGGTTGACATAGGTGTGTGGTGGGTTGACATACTCAGGTGTGTGGTGCGTTGATATACTCAGGTGTGTGGTGGGTTGACATAGGTGTGTGGTGGGTTGACATACTCAGGTGTGTGGTGCGTTGATATACTCAGGTGTGTGGTGGGTTGACATAGGTGTGTGGTGGGTTGACATACTCAGGTGTGTGGTGCGTTGATATACTCAGGTGTGTGGTGGGTTGACATAGGTGTGTGGTGGGTTGACATACTCAGGTATGTGGTGCGTTGACATACTCAGGTGTGTGGTGGGTTGACATAGGTGTGTGGTGGGTTGACATACTCAGGTATGTGGTGGGTTGACATAGGTGTGTGGTGGGTTGACATAGGTGTGTGGTGGGTTGACATACTCAGGGGTGTGGTGGGTTGACATAGGTGTGTGGTGGGTTGACATACTCAGGTATGTGGTGGGTTGACATACTCAGGTGTGTGGTGGGTTGACATACTCAGGTGTGTGGTGGGTTGACATACTCAGGTGTGTGGTGGGTTGACATACTCAGGTATGTGGTGGGTTGACATAGGTGTGTGGTGGGTTGACATAGGTGTGTGGTGGGTTGACATACTCAGGTGTGTGGTGGGTTGACATAGGTGTGTGGTGGGTTGACATACTCAGGTATGTGGTGGGTTGACATACTCAGGTATGTGGTGGGTTGACATACTCAGGTGTGTGGTGGGTTGACATAGGTGTGTGGTGCGTTGACATACTCAGGTATGTGGTGGGTTGACATACTCAGGTATGTGGTGGGTTGACATACTCAGGTGTGTGGTGGGTTGACATACTCAGGTATGTGGTGGGTTGACATACTCAGGTATGTGGTGGGTTGACATAGGTGTGTGGTGGGTTGACATAGGTGTGTGGTGGGTTGACATACTCAGGTGTGTGGTGGGTTGACATACTCAGGTGTGTGGTGCGTTGATATACTCAGGTGTGTGGTGGGTTGACATAGGTGTGTGGTGGGTTGACATACTCAGGTGTGTGGATGGTTGACATACTCAGGTGTGTGGTGGGTTGACATACTCTGGTGTGTGTTGACAGCAAAACCTTTTTTTATACATTAATATATTCCCTAGTGCCAAATCTACTTGAATTTTTTATTCCATCGTGACATATCTATTTAAATCTTTTATTGCATAGGAACAAATCTATTTGAATCTTGTATTCCCATGGAACAAATCTATTTGAATCTTGTATTCCCTAGGAACAAATCTATTTGAATCTTGTATTCCCCTCTGAACAAATCTATTTGAATCTTGTATTCCCCTCTGGACAAATCTATTTGAATCTTGTATTCCCTAGGAACAAATCTATTTGAATCTTGTATTTCCTAGGAACAAATCTATTTGAATCTTGTATTCCCTAGGAACAAATCTATTTGAATCTTGTATTCCCCTCTGAACAAATCTATTTGAATCTTGTATTCCCCTCTGGACAAATCTATTTGAATCTTGTATTCCCTAGGAACAAATCTATTTGAATATTGTATTCCCCTCTGAACAAATCTATTTGAATCTTGTATTCCCCTGGGACAAATCTATTAGAATTGTTTTCCCTCCGAACAAATCTATTAGACTATTGTATTCCCCAGGTACTTCGCGATCGTGCTCAACGGCCTTCAGGGAATGTTCATCTTCCTCTCCTACACCTTCAACAGGAGAGTCCTCAGCTTGTACCTGCACCGTTCTGACGTCACTTCCGGTGATACACCTGGCACCAACCTGACCAGTTCGACGACCAAGACAAAACCAGATGTCAACATGACATAAGTTATCACATACATTACTGACGACCAAGATAAAACCAGAAGTAAACAAGACATAAGTTATAACATATACTACTGTGTTAAACATAGGGGATAAAAATTACTGTTTAAATATTCGTGATTACATATGACAGGTTAAAGCATACGCAATAACACGTATTGCTGCTTATGTTTAAAAAGCAAAATCAAATACTAATGATTTTGATTAAAACAAATGCCGTATTTATTTACATGAAACGATGATTATTATTATTTTTTTACGTTTAGAGAGCGACTGTCACATTGCTTTTTTTTTTTATTAATTGTAGTCCTACAATTAAATTGATGTTACAATGATTGTTTTATTATTCAATGGTTCTTAAATATACGTCGTCAATCATGATTGTCGTGTTTCTTTTTCTTTTTAGTGAGTGCTATAGCAAATTTGGCGACGAAAAAAAACAACAATGAAGGTACCAGGCTTGAAAAATCTCTAGTTGATGCATACAGTTTGGTAAAGAAATCGTGCAGGCTTCGATAATGTCTGGTCTCAACATACGTGCTGTGTACGGGGGGGGGGGGGGGGGGGGGGGGGAAGGGGGGGGGGGGGAGGGTGTCCTTCGAATGTTACTCTAACTGTAGATATTTCGCTGTATGCTGCCACCTTCTCATTGTCTCTACTAAAAGTCATGCCACCACCCCATCGTGTCTAGATCACAAATGTAAGTTATATCCCCACGGTACGCCATCACTTGAAGGTTCTTAAAAAAAACAGCGTCATTTCCCCATCAACTGTAAATACTCTAGTATTAAACCCAACTCCCAATATTCTGTCGTTCAAACCATTAATGCCACCTCCCAATCACATATAGATAATCCAGATATTAAAATCCCCTTCCCATCACCCGTAGGACGAGACATTAAAGCCACCTTCCAATCATCTATAGATCTTCTAGAAATTACCGCAACCTCCCCCATCTCCTGTATATTGAGACATTAACTCCGACTCTCATTCACTAGTATATACCCCAGAAAATTAATGCCACTTCCACATCGCTTGCAGATCATTTAACCATGAATGCTACCTCTCCCCACACCATCATACCCTGCATACCTAGAACCTGCTGAGTCTTTACTTTCAGACATGAAAGCTACCTCCCCACACACCACCATACCCTGCATACCTAGAATCTGGCGTGTCTTTACATTCACACATGAATGCTACCTCCCCCCACACCACCATACCCTGCATACCTAGAATCTGGCGTGTCTTTACAGCCACCACCTGGTATAATTTGTAGTTCCAGCATTTCTTCCATACCTCGATTTTGTTTCGTGCTAAAGCTAAACACTGGTTTATGCCGAGTTGGTAGTGTGGGCGTGTCTGATTCTTCAGGCGGGAACTGGTCTGATAATTGATGCCAGAACTCTTGTACTCGCTTCTTTGTTAAAGCTTCAGAGTCTCCCATCGATACCTTCCCGGCGGAATCGAGTATTACATCGTCAACACCACTTGCTGTGCGGTAGGTATCGAATACAGTGCCAGTATCGGTTATCGTCCCGTCGATAACGTCGATGTACAGCTGCTGGTCCAGGGGTTGGGTGTGGTCTGGAATGACGTCATAGACGTTTTCCGGGGTCGGCTGGGCGTAGGGGTCACTGACCTCATAAATATCATCAGGGACGTTGTATGGGTGAGGCTCCTGAGACTTCTGCCGTCTCCTGGAGACGAAGGTGGGTAAGGGTGAGACAAAAACTGTGTTACATTGGATGTCAAAGATTGATTTGGAAGTATTGTCACAACAAGTGTGTTATATTAGATTTTGAAGATTAATTGGGAAATATTGGCACACACACAAACGCTTTGTTACTTTGTTTAATGGGTTGTCAAAGAATGATCGAGGGAAGTGGACACAAAAGATTGTTATTATTAGATTTCAAACATTATTTGGGAAATATTGACAAAAATACTTAGTTACTTTGGATGTCAAAGAATTATCGAGGGATTGTGGCGTAAAAGCTTCGTTACTTTTGCTATCAAACACGGATTGGGGAATATTTGTGCTAAATCGTTGTCAAATTGAATGTCTAAAAGCGATTAAGTTATGCTGGCACAAAAATTGATATAGATTAGATATCAAATAATGATTTGATTATTTGAAAGTCAATCAGAGGCGTAGCGGGGAAGGGGGGGGGGGGCTCAAATGTCCACGGGTGCCGACCCTAAGGGGCGCCAAAATAGTTTGAAAAAAAAATTAAAAGCTCATTTTAGCAGCAGTTTTGCATTATAAATATAAAAAAATAAAGGGGGGCACCAAATTGAAAGTTTGTCACCGGGCACCGGGAAGGGTCGCTACGCCCCTGAAGTCAATGTAACAACGTGTTTTAGCTTGTCTTAGGTAGATCCTAAATATAACGAATTTAACATCATAATAAAAGAATAAACTCACCAGTGAAGGACACAGGCGAAGAGCAAGATAATGAAAACAATCAGCCCGACTCCCCCGATAACCAAACCTATGATCAATGCCTTGTCATCTAACGAATCTGAAATTTTATAAGGTAGATAAAACATTTTTTTTTTTAGTAGAACATGACTAAAAAAAATCAATCTGATACAGGTCAAAGCAAGTGGCATAAAAATATTTTTTGTAAAAAGATTTTTTTTTTTAAGTTTCAAAAAATATAATAAAAAACTAACTTTGGTTGTTGGATTTGTTGTCTGTTTTAGTCACGCAGGGATCAAGGTCAAGGTCACAGTGCATGGCCAGGTACGAGCCGTAGCCTGCTGTTGTTTTACCTGTACAAGGTGACCACATTGGGTGCAGGTGAAAACAGAGTCAAACATGGATATTTAAAACATTTTATAATAAAGCAAAAATAGAAATAATTATGATTTGCTAAGCTGCATTTTAGACAATGCTATTGCTATAGGAACAGAAACACTTCAGAAATCTGGAAATTGATTGTCGTAGATATAAATTAACAAAGCTAATTACATTTAAATATAAGTTTAGATTTTACTGAACATCTAATTAAGACAATATCGATTCCTATAGTGATTGAGTTTCCGAGTCAGCACAGTTTAAATTAGTACCGTGCTCAAGTCAGAGGAACAAATGTCGGCATTGCAAAGGTGTAACCACATAATGTTTGCCGAGTTACCTTTCTTCATCGGCCCCCTCAGGGTCTGAACGTCTACTGTCTCTTGTATTGTGGGATAATGTATTTGTTTCTCACATATTAGGGCTGGGTACTCGTTAGAGCTGATTATGTTTAGATTAAAGAAAATTTATATTTCACAATTCTGAGGTATCCGGATGTTGAACAGCGAACATGCTGATTAGAGCTGTGTCATGTTTTACTACAGCTGTCAGCGGTTTTGTGAGTGTCGTCTACGGCTCTGATAATGACAGCTGGGGTTGTAAGATCACAGCTGCAGCTGGAGGCTGTACTTACAGCTGGGACAAGGCGTGCAGGCGTCCATCTTGGGGAGATCCTGATAGAACCCAGGCTCACAAGGTGAACATCTGCCAGTGTTGGTGGTGTAGGTGCCTGGTGGACAGTCGGCTGGAATAGACGGTGTCAGAGGTCAAGTGGGCTGAAGTAGACGGGGTCAGAGGTCAAGTGGGCTGAAGTAGACGGGGTCAGAGGCCAAGTGGGCTGGAGTAGACAGGGTTAGAAGTGGAGGTGAATAGAATCAGAAATAGAGTGGGTCAATTCCTCTAAAATCAGGGAGGGGTGAATTCGACTATAATAAGAAGAGTTCGATAAATCTAGAATCAGAGGGGTTAATGGTCAATTTGGCTAGCATCAGACGGGATTAAGGATCAGTTCGTAGGTTTTTTATTGTGATAGAGCTATTTGTATAATGTAATGGAAAACCGGACGATTTCCATTAAATCGTATAGCATTAACTAATGTGGTAGTGTTGTAAAGTTAATCAGTGTGTGTGTTTGCCTATTGGTAAAAATGAAAACAATAAACTTCACAGCACAGACTTTGCAACAAGAGCTTCTAAATTCCTTTCATAATATACGATTTACAAAGCGGTCATGTTTATATATTCAGCTTAGGTTTGACCAAACTTGCTGTCTTGCTTACCACAAAGTCCTTTCATCAGGGCAGAACCGATCTGACACTCTGAGACCACGACCACAGAACTGTTAATGGCACCAAGGTCAAGGTTTTCAATCCCAGTGAGCTCTTCACTGCTCTGTGTTACAGCGGATATCATTGCGTCCAGGATTTTGGCTTGGCCCATTTGTGTTTTTCTGTCGTAGTCTGAAGGAAAATCATTCTTAATGAGCTGGCAAAGTAATTATTGGAACACACGTTCATCAGGTCAAATCGGCTGTCCGTCAAGTCTGCTATTTGTCCAATTTGTTGTCTATCAATTCTCCATTCTCTCAGTCTAGTGTCTATCATGTTATCGTCCTTCAAGTCTGCTGCTTATCAAATCTGCTGTCCTTCGTCTGATTTCAATCAAATCTGCTATCCGTCAAGTCTCATGTCTATTAAGTCTGCCGTTTATAAAATCTGCTGTGTATCAAATCTCCTGTTTATCAAATTTGCTGTTTCTCAAATCTGCTGTTTATCAAATTTGCTGTTTATCAAATCTGCTGTTTATCACGTCTGCTGTTTATCAATACTGCTGTTTATCGAATTTGCTGTTTATCAAATTTGCTGTTTCTCAAATTTGCTGTTTATCAAATTTGCTGTTTATCAAATCTGCTGTTTATCACGTCTGCTGTTTATCAAAACTGCTGTTTATCGAATTTGCTGTTTATCAAATCTGCTGTTTATCAAATCTGCTGTTTATCAAGTCTGCTGTTTATCAAAACTGCTGTTTATCAAAACTGCTGTTTATCAAATTTGCTGTTTATCAAGTCTGCTGTTTATCAAAACTGCAGTTTATCAAAACTGCTGTTTATCAAATTTGCTGTTTATCAAGTCTGCTGTTTATCAAAACTGCTGTTTATCAAAACTGCTGTTTATCAAATCTGCCGTCCGACAAATCTGCTGTCAGTCTAAAGAGAAGTCCTGTACCTCAGTCGTCTGTAAGATGAGGTTCACCCACCCACCTGAGAGGTTCGCCAGGTACACACCCTGCCACTGATTCTGGACACCTTTGTAATGGATGACAAGACGTCCAGGTCTTTGGCAATCAAATAGGTTTTCATCTGAATGATACAGATTTTAAAAAAAAAATTCTTATCTTTGTAAAATATAATACCTTAATAAAAAGGAAACTAGTTTTTTTTCACGTTATTATTCCTATATGAAGATACCTATGTTTATAAATTTTAGTTTTTAACCCTGAACCATAACGCTCTAAAATGATAGTTTCCATTCTCTTATGTTCTTCTCATACTAATATAGTAGGTATAAATACATTTGAAGTGTGATACCACCAAAAGAAGAAAAATACACTAGACATTATGGGCTTAAAATTTGTTTTTACTAAACAAATGATTAAATCCAGCATTGGGCAGTTAGTAATGACCTTGTGACGTCACATTTTCGCACGTCTCGTTGGACAGCTCCACCAAACTGACGTTGACGAGACAACCAGAACTCTCCTGGCAACGAAGATGAGATCCCAGCCTCTCTTCCAGAAAGTTCTTTAGCTCCGGCAGGGAGCTGGAATTCTCTGGCAACTTGTCGCACTGGAATGTCAGCTCAATGCTCAAGGACTTCGGCAGTTTCACATCTGTGAACAGCAGATTGGGTTTTTGGTGTGTGGTCGTCCATAAATGACGTCAAACTTGTAGGGGAGAGGGGGGGGGGGGGGTCCGTAATTTTGTGACAATGTGTGATGAGGGGGAGGGGGGGGGGGGTCAGATAGTGCGACGTCACACTTTTGCATTATAAAAAAGCAATGTTAGAAAATGAATTTTAGACGTTATTTCGCGTTTTAGAAAACTGTTTTAATAAATTGCAATAGGAATTGATTAAAATACTCTATTTTGACAGAGTTCAGACAAGATTTCCGAAAAATATCATTGTTGACGATGTGTGACGGAGGGGAGGGGGAGGGGGGGGGGGGGGGGGGGCAGGTAAAAATTGTCAAAAAAGCGTGACGTCATTTATGGATGATCCCTGAGGATTCTTTACACCAGAATCTGACAATTGACTCTTCCAAAAAGAGGTGTGTTAGGTTGCTAGTAGTGTTGTGATATTAGTTTTACGGTACGGATTAGGGTCTGAATTATGCTAAGATTTGGGTTAGAAGATATATTGTTGGCAATGATAATAAAGGGTATTATTAATTTATGGATTATTACCAGTAACCACACACTCAAATTTTAAGATAATTCCGATAGTGTGGCATTATCAGATGGGCCTAGGACATTACCCCCATTGCCACTTACCACCCGGTCGTCACCCGACTGGTGAATAATCTACCTGTCAGTAAGAGGGTGTTACGTCCTGGTCCCTTAACAGGACGGGAAATGAAGAACACGCCGTATTTGTTTTTAACTAGCTATAAAGTTTCTGTCCAAAATTGAATCCTTTGATAGATGTAATTGTCATTAAAATTTCAAATTAGATAAATTACTATGTTACTATTTACACAATCTAATTACCCTATAGCAACAACTGAACTTTGGGAGAAACCAACAATTCTTTACAAAACCTGACTTACTTGTGCACTCTGGCAACAAACCCTTTGGATTCTGTGAAGTCACGTGGGACCAAGTGAAGTTTGTAGACTTGCCACATTGGAAAATGTTGGCCAAATGGGGTAAGACGATCATTCCAGGCGGGCAGACAACCGAACAGATTTGTTCTCCGTCATGTTGTGAGCAGTTTATGGCAAGCTGGGCGGGTCGTGACACCAAACTTGGGCATTCTGAGCAATTAGATAATTAAGTGTTTCGTAATCAATAAAATATGTTTAAAAAAACCTTAAATATTAATTAAATTTAAAAAAAAAAACAATACATCGTCTTATATTTTGAATACTACTTTGATCGAGAAGTTCGATAAAGCCGTGTTTTTTAACATAAAAAAACTTAAACAATAGTACTTTTCACAAGTGGAATAATTAGGTCTATAAACATGATGTACAAAACGCTACTAAATATACTGTCAACCACCTCACCTATACCACCACCCCCCTATTATTCCCAAGCAGTAAATGTGTACTTAAGCGTGTGTATATAGCTGTAATAGTTTATTAAAATTAACTGGAAAAGTAGACGTTCTCATGTTGTTAGGGTACATTTCTGTTTGGTGTCACCCTATCTATAAATTGGTTTCACCCTATTTATTGGTGTGCCCTTATTTATTTGTGTAAGAAAGATAAAAAAAAACCTATAAAATGTTATATATAAAGACATTAATTTGAAAAAAATATGGGAAAGATAAAAAAAAAATTACTTCATGTAAATGTCTTGGATGACAAAACTGTACCTGGACATGTGACCGTGAAAACAAAACTGTACCTGGACATGTGACCGTGTTACACTTCATGGTTGACCTGGCCTGGCTCGGGTCACACTCAGCTCCCCCGTACCCAGCATGAGGACTGTCACACAGCCTCAGTCTGGTCATCAGACCCCCACCACACGAGGCGCTACACTGGGACCACTCGGACCAACCACCGAACCTGCCGTCCACTATTCATACAAACAACTGACCGTTAGTTTAAAAATATTCCATTATTTACAGATAAACAAACAACTCGTATATACTATTAACAGTTTCATCTTTGCATCAACCAATGTTTTGATTATGTTTTTAACAAAGAGAAGATTAAAGTTTTTAATACCTGGACAACGACTACCAACGCAAAACTGAGTTTCGACCTTCACCCCTAGACAATCCTGACCTCCGGGGTCAGGGGCAGGGTCAGTGCATGTCCGAACTCTCTTCCTCTGCCCCACCCCACAAGATGTACAGTTTGACCAGTGGCTCCAAGCTGCCCAGTTCCCATCAGCTGGAGAAGTAAATTTTAGAATATGTAATCGCACGTTACAACAAATCTAAGTCAGTAGGCGCTGAAGATAAAACTTTTGAATAAAGTAACTTTGCTATAATTTTTATCAGAGGATGCCTAATGGGGTTATAATTCATTCACCTTTTAGTGATGTTTGATCTCAGATCTTATAGAATTGATGTACACACAACCTATCGTATATCGTTATGTATATTGTAAAACTTCATGTAACTAAATATATATTAGCAATATCCCCAAACATGCTGATGATACTAAGTCTAAACCTAACTCTAACACTATTTAAAGCATATCCATGAAGCTAAATCTATTGTGAACCTTCATATGCCGTATGCATTGTAAATCTACTTGTGGTGTTATACTACTACAAACTTATCTAGAAAAATATACCAATTTTAAAGATATCTATGACACGCAATCTACTGTAAAGCTAACTAGGAAACTATATCATTGTACGCATAGTAATAGTATTATACCTAATCCAATGTATGATAATCAACCTATTGTAAATACACTTATGGTAGTTGAACTACTTTTAACCTACCCGTAAAATTAAACCTATTGTAAACCTAACCATTACATCAACTTCATGTAAACCTACTTATGACATGAAATTCATGTAAACCTACCTATGATACTCTACTTATGTACACCTCCATGTGATACTCTACCTATGTTTAAACTTCCTATGATATTCTACCTGTGTAAACCTACCTATTATATTCTACCTATGTAAACCTACCTATGTAAACATACCTATGATACTCTACCTATGTAAATCTACATATTATAATCTACCTATTTAAACCTACCTAATTAAACCTACCTTTGCTATACCTGTTTAAACCTACCTATTACCCTGTCACACAGGCGACCTGTATAACCTGTCTGACAGTCACACCTGTATGTCTGCTGCTCCAGCAGGCTAACACAGGTAGAACCGTTGACGCAGGCGTTGTTCAGACAGAACTGCCTGGGATTCTGGCACCGGTCACCTGACCACAGGTCATCACACACGCACCTGTAGCCACGCACGTCATCAAAACACACACCGTGGTCACCACACGGCAGTCCAGCACAGTTGTCCACATCTACAGCCACAGGTAATTAAGTTCATTAATTTATTCTACATCCGCAGGTAATTAAATAATTTAAAAACATTAAAAATAAACCGGGAGTAATCTCCCCTAAACTTTCTCGAATATTCTTATATAACGTGGAATATAGACATGATTCTTAATTACTTAAACTTTTAAAAATAGAATAGAATCTCATAGAAAAAAGAATTGCGCACCAAGCGAACGGCAAAACAAAATGTGCATAATAGTGTGCAATATTATTAGTACTTTATAAATTCACATGCGTTTTTTTGAGAAATTGGAAATAGCGTAAATTAGTACTTCCGGTCAACGGACATTAGTCAAAATTTGACAGAAGGTAGAGAGTTAGATCTTTTACTTACATGTGAAATTTCATTTATCTATTGAAATAGTACTCAAGTTATAGGCTTCTGAAAAATTCAAAGGAGAAAAAGTACCTATTCCGGTTATCGGAAATCGCTCAAAAGTTGATACGGATCTACGATTTTGATAAAATACTTATATATGAAATTTCATCAACCTAGCTGTAACGGTACTCAAGTTATCGTGTTTACACACAGACAGACACGCAGACAAACAGACAGAAACACAGACATACGGACAAGATAGCAAAATTATGTTTTTCCGTATCAGTGAGATGTAAAACGTCGAGATTTGTAAAAATCTTGATTTTTTTTGCACGATTACAAGACTTTCTCTATACTTCGTATATACGAGAAAGTAAAAAAGAAATTTTGCTCTGCGGGAAGGTAATTGCATGTTTAGCACTGTTTTGGTTTCTGTTTTTGTAAAAACAGATTCTCTCCGGTCTGAGAATTTGCTGTTATTGTATCTCACAAGAGCTTGATTTAACGTTGCTTTTCCATCAATGCATAGGCATCCAAAACATTGACGCCGTTTATTTTCTTATAGATGCGTGGCGTAGCCTAAGTGGTAGAGCGCTAGGCTGTTAACCCGAAAGTCTCGAGTTCAAATCAGGGTCCAAGTTAGTAGAACGTCCCTGATTCCACCCAGTTATGTTAGGGAAAGTAAAGTCAGCTGGTCAAATGCTGACCACACCATCCCTTCATATGCCGGGGTCAAGAAACATGCACTCTATGTCATCAGGCTAGGTCTGAAGAGAATTCTGTTTTATATTATTGTCTTATAGAGTGTTTATAAAGTTATAAAAGAGACAAAAAGCCACCCCAGTAGTCATTCAGTGTATAGGCAAAATACATACTTTAGCAAGCGTCAGCCTCCCCAAGCCTCCCCCCCCCACCCGGAAGTAAAAAGTCTGAAATTAACCCTGGCTTTCCCAAGCCTTGCATTTAACAGAAAATTTAAATGTAGAACAAAACAAAGTAATTAATTACCGTCGCACGTGGTGGGCCAGACATTAGCCAGGTCAACCTGGACCGTCTTCAGCATGCTGTCCTTGACCTGTTTGAAGCATGACCTTGAGAACTCGACCACTTCCGCTGGCGTCAAAATTCCCTGAGTCATCTGTAAGCCGCTGAGTAAGATATCTTAGGAACAATAGACTCGTGTTTTAGATTGGCGTCACTAGGAGGTGTGTGCAGGTGTTGGATAGATTTAATTGCACAATAGACACAACAAAAATGTATTGCTTTCTGTAAAATATTGGACATTCTGGCTAAAGTGTATTTTTGTAAGCAAATCAGTTAACTTGTTTAGCACGCATTGACTTTTCATACATTTAGTCTTTCATAAGGAATTTTCACATATGTATAAACATTCTATTCTTTTGATATTAAAATATAATTTACCAGCACCTGAATATCTCTCAATATTAATTGCTGATAAATTGAGTTAGGGGTAATTTGTGGCAGCCTGGTCGGATGGTAGACCTTACGGCTTCTAGCCGAAAGTCTCCAGTTCGGATCCCAGGCTCGAGTCTGTGGGAGGTCCCTGAAAACCTCCCAGCATTGATGGGTCTCTGGGAAACAAAGTCGGCTGGGCGTAGTGCCTGATCACACAATCCCTTACATTCCCCAAGTTAATTGTAACAGATGAACTCTACTTCATCTGTCCAATGTGTCTTGACCACGAACGGGAAAAGATGATGAAGGTGTAGTTTTACTAACTGTTGGAGATGAAAGTCAATCCGTTCCCATCGACGGTGAACCCCAGACGGGTGTGGTTCTTCCACAACTCCACGACCTTGACCCCTGTCTTCTGGCTGGTCAACTTGCCGTCCACGTACATGCTGACCGTCTCGTTTTGGTACATCAGCACAAAGTGGTACCACATCCTGGGGAGAAACCGTGTTGGGGACATTGTATGGGGTACCAGGCTTTCATTGCACATGGTTTTGTCATTCCATGCACATTTTAATTGTAACTTTCGACTTAAAAATGTCTGTATATCTATGTATAATACGTTACGTTGTTGTTGCTTATATATATATATATATATATATATATATATATATATATATATATATATATATATATATATATATATATATATATATATGTAACTGGGGTAGGCCTGGCTACTAGTTACAACTGATAACGAACGATAAGCCGCGACGCAGTATGAAATCTGATGCAACTATAACAGGTGGCTTATTGGATCGGTCTGATAACAACCTCAAAGCCAACGCGTGCTATTTTGGGAAACGGTACGAGAAGTTTCAGACGAGCTGTCAACTTTGATGGATGGGATGCAGATGTGTTAGTAAATCGGACGGTACGTCAGAAACTGCGACATTAGTATTCGGATACATCGATTACAAGTATCGATTACGGAAATGGAGACAAGTACGACTACGGATACTAAGGATAAATAGGAGGGGACGGCTGAGATCGTTCTCTTCTCTTCTCTTCTCTTTTCACCGCTAGTTGTGACAGTATCAATGTTGGTTATTGAACGGGTTAGCCGTATTGTGTAAAGAAGGACTATAGACATGTGGATTCAGTTATACGAAGCCTAGTGAGGACTGTTAGGGAGTCAGTTGATCCAGACTATTATTGAGAAGCATTCCTGTTGATTTCTTGTGTGATTATGAAACATTTCTTGATTCATGTAATAAAGGATCAATAGCGAACCTGCATCTTGAGTATCTATACTGTGGTCGATGTTGTCTAGAATGAGTGGTCAGAACTCGTTAACATTTGGCACTACAGACAATTAGGTCTCATTACATGTGGCGTGCGAGCATAGTAACTGTTGGCTCGTTATAATTGGCGTTGTCGGCAGGATAAATGTCCGCCCGTTACAATTGCCGCTGCGAGCAGGGTAGATGTTCGCCCGTTACAATTGGCGCTGCGACCAGGATGGATTCAACTAGACTTGCCGTTTAAGGCACCCATAGTCAACCTTGTGCATAACTGTGTTTTGTGTGTGTGTGAATTCGGACATTCAGGAACTGTGAAAATCGAGGAACGAGGAAAAATTTTTCATACACACACGGTAAGAAACGTCTTTTTTTATTTGAAGGAAATAAATAAAAGGGAAAACTGAAATCAGAATCGAGGAAATTGAAAAGAACAGAGATGAGACACCTTTCATTATCATTCTGGCTTGGTGTCACATGCTCTTTTGCTGCTGCAAGCATGTGGCTCAGTATACCCCTAGTTGTAGCACCAACTACCCTGGGGACAGCTATGGGGCTGACCACCAGCATCCAGATAATTGTCATTGGTATCTCCAACTGGGTTGTTGGACAAATACTGGGCAAAGATGGCAACCAAGATATGGATGTAACTCTTGGACACTGGAAATGTGTCATGAGCTCCCTTTTGGGCAACACTATCTGCTGCATAGCTGCAACATTTTTCCTTGGTGTGAGTGGCAGACGCGGGAGTGATATTTTAGATATCGGAAAGGAACAAAAACTCCTGCTGGCCCAACAATCTGAGTCAGATAAGATAGGCAACGGTAAAGATGACCCTTTGCCTCCAGATGGACCAGGACAAAATGTGGACAAAAAGCCGATCCATATTGTGGTCCTGCCCAGTGAGTCCCACATCAACAAATTTCACGGGGACGGTGATCCAACTTTAACCAACAGGTTCAGTGAAGAGGTCAAAGCGGCCTGGGCCTCGAGAGGCATGTCACCAGAGGAAAGATTAAGACTGCTGATGGGAAGTATAGGAGAGACGGTCAGGGCAGAGGTAAAATGCCACGATAAAACCATCCAATCAGATCCAGATAAGGTGCTGGATCTGATTATGGAGACCTTTGGGGAGAGACGGTCGGGATCGCAACTGCTATCAGGGTTCGTAGGCTTAAGGCAGAGAAGGGCGGAGAGTGTGATGGAGTACTCACATCGGATGAACAGGGCCTTTGATTCGGTAAAGGGCAAAATACCGGACATTGATGTACGCCTACTGAGGGACCAGTTCATCGAGGGGCTAGCAACCCCGATCCTAAGAAGAGAGTTGAAAGAGGAGGTCCACAAAGACCCGCAGTTGACCTTCCTTCAGGTCAGGAACTCAGCGATCCGCAGGTCCGAGGATGAGGACCAATCGAACTGTTCGGTGGACAAAGTCTCGGTGCCTGAACAGAGACAATCCCCACCCACAGGGGCCGACACGATGGAGACCATGATGGCTCAACTGTTGGCCCACCTAGTTAAGGTTGACCAACGATTGGAGAGGTTAGAAAGCAGGTCAACAGCTGAGAATCAGGGCAAAAACGGGACAAAACAGAGACAGGTTGGACAGCCGCGACCTGCCGCTCCATCACTCCAATGGACGGCTGACGGTCGACCAATTTGCTTGTCCTGTTCACAACCCGGACATATGGCACGGTACTGTCCGGTGAAACGATCGCCCTCTGTAAGGCAGGTCAAGGCTACAGAGCGGCGAGGTAATGACTCAGTAAACAAAATGACACAGAAACACAGTAAGGAGAAAAAGAAAGGTAAAACACAACTAATAGAAAAAATGAACTGTGAAATGAACTTGAATGTTGAAAAGTTTCAAGTGAACAATTTGTTGGCTAAGAAAAATGATGATAGGGAAAGTTCATGCAAATTAAAAGCACAGGAGAAATGTTCATCTTTAGAGTGTCTGTTATCGGAAGAAGTAAATAAAAATAGTAGACAACAGAACAGTGTTGGCAAACTAGAAGAAATGAAAGAGTCTCAAACAAGACTGGAAGAGAAATTATCCGATATTGAAAAAGAACTTCAAATTACAGCAAGGCTGGGATCAATCGAACAGCGATGGGCAGCAGAATTGGCACTCTTTGACCTGGAGATAAAATATCGCCCGGGGCGGTCCAATGGCAATGCGGACGCTTTATCAAGGAATCCGTACGAGAGACCGGGCGATGAGGAAGAAACGCTGACAGGAATATGTGAGGTCAGAGCGTCAACAGATATCCCTCACGGGGTGCAGGTGATGCAAAACGGACAGACCGGGGTGGAGCACATTTCCACAGAGCCCGGACATATGGACATGAGTGATTTTAATTGCCTTAATCACAAAAAGATAAGAGATGCCCAGAGAACGGATAGTGGGTTACAGCCGCTATTCAACTACGTCCAGGAACAAAAATTCCCAAGGAAAAGGGAAAGAGAACAATTTGGTCGGGAAACAAGGAAACTACTGAGTCAGTGGAACCGTCTCAGTATAAAGGATGGTGTTCTCATGCGGAGAATTCATGACCAAATAGACGGCACAATACACCAGGTGGTGGTGCCTGGACAATTACGAGGAGAAGTGCTAAGGTTGGCACATGACAGGGCAGGACACCAGGGTCAGGACAGGACCCACAAAATATTACGACGGAGGTGTTACTGGCCCAATATGGAGATGGAGGTCAAACGCCATTGTGAGGCTTGTGTTAGGTGTCGGCATGCGAAAATGCCAGTTGTCAAAATGAGACAGCCATCAGGACACCTACTAGCGACAAAACCACTAGAGATTGTGGCTATGGACTTTACGTCGTTGGAGCAATCATCGGATGGGACGGAACATGTGTTGGTAATGACTGATGTATTCACCAAATGGACTGTGGCGGTGCCCACACGAGATCAGACTGCCAAAACAGTGGCAAAGGTCTTAATAGAACATTGGTTCATCAGATATGGCATACCAAGACAATTACACTCTGACCAAGGAAGGGCTTTTGAGTCAGAAGTAATTAACCAACTGTGCAGTCACTACGGGATCAACAAATCCAGAACAACCACATTTAATCCGAAAGGAAACGGACAGTGCGAACGGTTCAACCGCAGCATGCATGATTTGCTGCGCACTCTAGAACCTGAACAGAAAAAACGTTGGCCGGATTTTCTCCCAGAGTTGGTGTATCTATACAACTGCACCCCCCATGCCACGACCGGCTTTACGCCACACATGTTGCTGTTCGGACGGGAGGCTCGACTCCCTCTTGATTTGTTCCTAGGAAAAAGGGAGAGTATGACTGGCTCATACACCGCACTGGAATATGTGAATGAACATATGCGAAGAATTAGAGAAATGTACAGGGTAGTACAGGAAAGACTAGAACATGAAGCTCGGCGAAGGGAACCGCCGGTACAGACAAAGGACCCGCCACTCAAACTGAACGACAGGGTATTACTGCGTAGCCACCCGTTAGGCAGAAACAAGATACACGACCTCTGGGGACAGGAGATATGGCAAGTCGTGGAGATGCCTAAAGTAGCAGGTGGCCCCTTTAAGATAAGACCCATCGGTCACGCCAAACCGGATCGGTGGGCGAATATTGCTCAATTAAAGAAATATTGGAATAGGCAAGAAGAGCAGTTACACACAGAGAAACCCAAGAGAATTAGGGAACCGGAAGTTACAACGGAAATTCACATACCCATCCCGGAACAATGTCACCATCAACAGAACAACAGCGTTACACAAGGGGAGGATACCGGCAACAATGAGGATCCCGGTCCCTCCAGAAGCAAAGAGACAATAGACCATCAGAATAGTGGTCCGCGGAGAAGCTTGAGGAACAGGAAGAATACGAAATTTTTTGTCAGCAACCATCAATTCTTTCATGGTCGCGCTGGTAGGAGAACAGACTGTTCAAAAAGTCATAAAGGTGAATTGGTGAAAGCACCAAACGGAAAAGGTGGATGTGAATTCTAGAACTGTTTGGTGTCTGAGGAGGATGATGTGGACACAGTTAATGTGAAAGAGGTATAACTGTCAATCATATACGAATGGGACGACATTGACAGTGAGTGGAACAATAAATTCTTTTTTTTTATGGTGGTGCGTTTGACTTTGAGGGAGTGCACCTGCCAAGCGTGTTTGTGGTTGATAACACACAAAAAAAGGCAGGGGTGGATGTAACTGGGGTAGGCCTGGCTACTAGTTACAACTGATAACGAACGATAAGCCGCGACGCAGTATGAAATCTGATGCAACTATAACAGGTGGCTTATTGGATCGGTCTGATAACAACCTCAAAGCCAACGCGTGCTATTTTGGGAAACGGTACGAGAAGTTTCAGACGAGCTGTCAACTTTGATGGATGGGATGCAGATGTGTTAGTAAATCGGACGGTACGTCAGAAACTGCGACATTAGTATTCGGATACATCGATTACAAGTATCGATTACGGAAATGGAGACAAGTACGACTACGGATACTAAGGATAAATAGGAGGGGACGGCTGAGATCGTTCTCTTCTCTTCTCTTCTCTTTTCACCGCTAGTTGTGACAGTATCAATGTTGGTTATTGAACGGGTTAGCCGTATTGTGTAAAGAAGGACTATAGACATGTGGATTCAGTTATACGAAGCCTAGTGAGGACTGTTAGGGAGTCAGTTGATCCAGACTATTATTGAGAAGCATTCCTGTTGATTTCTTGTGTGATTATGAAACATTTCTTGATTCATGTAATAAAGGATCAATAGCGAACCTGCATCTTGAGTATCTATACTGTGGTCGATGTTGTCTAGAATGAGTGGTCAGAACTCGTTAACATTTGGCACTACAGACAATTAGGTCTCATTACATGTGGCGTGCGAGCATAGTAACTGTTGGCTCGTTATAATTGGCGTTGTCGGCAGGATAAATGTCCGCCCGTTACAATTGCCGCTGCGAGCAGGGTAGATGTTCGCCCGTTACATATATATATATATAAGCAACAACAACGTAACGAGGAGGCAGATTAAACCTACATTTAAAAAAATTAAAGTTGATACTTGGAGCCACCCTTGGCCTATGAACTCTTCCTAATGTTTTTGTATTGAGCGCTGTGTTCAAAGATTAGGGTCTCTCAATACGGGCCTGTCTATTGTTAGAGTTATACATAGGAAAGCAAACGGACACAACTGGACACTGGGCAATGACCACTCTGTACCCGATAACACATCGAGGATTTTATTTTCAGTCTCAGCTCACCTGAAAATTCGATTGTTATCCACTGGCGCCGGCCACAGGTAGATGTTGACGGTGTCAATGGAGAACACAGCGGCGCCTGGGTAGAAATCCAGAGAGAAGTTCAAGGCCGAACGCTCGTACATGCTGGACAGGTGGACCCAGCTGACGATTGTAAACACTTTGTCTCTGGACGGTGAGACTTGCGCCGTGGGTAAACTCTGGCCCATGACCGTCATGTACTCAAACACTGGTGAGAAGATTGAGATAGGGGCTTGTTATGAATGACGTTACATAACTTAGGGTGATATTCCCATATTAGTATGAAACATTGCCATTAAAAAAAGGGAGTCTTACCTTAAAATGACGACACAAGCCATTGTGATTAAAACGCAAGAACAATGTATTGTTTAATGTGATTATTATTCTTTGAGAAATACGAAAATTTTGCTTACTTTCAGTCTTCTTTTGACGATGCCCCTTGGGTTACTGTAGACATTGTGTAGGGGCAGACGTCACAGCTGCGGGCACCAAACTCTGAGGTGTACGTCCCTTTTGGGCATAAAGTGCAAGGCTGACGTCCGTCTGTAGAGTTCTGGCCGGGGTGGCAGAGGTCTTAAGGAAAAGAGCAGGAATACAGAGGTCTTTAGGAATAGAGCAGGAATACAGAGGTCTTAAGGAATAGAGCAGGAATACAGAGGTCTTAAGGAATAGAGCAGGAATATAGAGGTCTTAAGGAATAGAGCAGGAATACAGAGGTCTTAAGGAATAGAGCAGGAATATAGAGGTCTTAAGGAATAGAGCAGGAATACATAGATCTTAAGGAATAGAGCAGGAATATAGAGGTCTTAAGGAATAGAGCAGGAATATATAGATCTGAGGGAATAGAGCAGGAATACAGAGGTCTTAAGGAATAGAGCAGGAATACAGAGGTCTTAAGGAATAGAGCAGGAATACAGAGGTCTTAAGGAATAGAGCAGGAATATAGAGGTCTTAAGGAATAGAGCAGGAATACAGAGGTCTTAAGGAATAGAGCAGGAATACAGAGGTCTTAAGGAATAGAGCAGGAATACAGAGGTCTTAAGGAATAGAGCAGGAATACAGAGGTCTTAAAGAATAGAGGAGGAATACAGATGTTTAATTGATGTAGATCTTATGTGCTGGTTACCAGTGTGTGTTTGTCATACATGTGTGATTTGTTATGCATGTGTATTTTGTCATATATGTGTTGGTTACATGTATTATTTTTGTCATATATGTATTGGTTGCATGTTCTTGTTATACATGTGTTGGTTAAATATATTTTGTAATACATGTGTTGGTTACATATGTGTTTTGTCAAAGACGAGTCGTCAAAGTTCCCTTTTCGAACTGACGGTCCAAATGGCAAATGAAGTAGAGTTCACCAGTTTCTGTGTGGTCGGTGCAATGCCCAGTCGCCTTTACTTTCCCTAACCTGAGTTAGGCACCCATCAAAGCTGGATGAACTGAACCCTAATTTGAACTCGAGACTTTAGGGTTAGCAGTCTAACGCTCTACTGATATGCCACGCACGTCCCCATGAGTTGTTACAGATATGTATAAGTAAAAATATGTTTTAGTGAGGAACAGGTGCAAGCTCTAACAGACGAAAACCACACATAATCGGTGAGCGAAACTTACTTTGACAATAAGGACCGGAAGTCGATCCTTGCCACACCCACTCAGATCGGTCGAACCTTGAACTCAACCGACACGTCATCGTTGACGGCCCCACCGGTGTCTGGCCTGTGGTGCAGGAGACGTTACAAGCAGCTCGATAGAGAAACCCGTCTGGACAGGAGAACTTCATCAGAGATGTTTCGGGCAGGTTCGGATCCTTGCAGGACAGAGCTGTAACACCGAGATAAAATTCTTGCAGTAAGCTAAAATATTTTCACCCCCCCCCTCCTAAACACACACCACTACCTTGCGAGTGGAGTTAAGCTTATGTATGGCTTCTGAAAGTTTTTTAAAGGACATCTTCGACGCTTGCACCGGTGCACTAAGAGGCGTCAAGAGGCGGGGGGAGGGGGGGGGGGGAGGGGGGGGGAGGGGTGCGGAACTAATCGAGTGACACCATTTCCAAAACAAGTTAATAAAAAGTCTAGTGACAATTTAAGAGCAATTTCCTTATGTTAATAAGTAAATCAACCTATAAATATAAACTACTACACGATGCTCAGTTTTAAAAAGTTTAAAAAAGTAGTAAATATCATCCTAGGCCTACACGATGCTCAGTTTAAAATGTTCTTAATTAATTTTTTGTGACCGAACGAAAGGATATTTTTGAAAACTTTCTTCGGCAATATTGGTTTAAATTATGGCAGGAATCGATTGGTAAATGTTTCAAGTCGCTAAGTGGTCTGGTTGCCGAGATATGGACCAAAAACTATTTGTTCGAGATTTTTTGGCTTTTTCGGGAAATCCAGGAAGGAATTCCGGGAATGTTTTTGGCCCACAATCATCCTCGGAACTTGCTTAACATATTTGCTTTTGGAACTAGTCCTCGATATTGCTTCGTTGAGGAGGAGATACGACTTAAAGCTGCGGACACACATCCATCCATCCATCCAGAAATGAGTTAATAATCGCAATTGTCCAGTATGGAAATTGCGCTAAAAACCCGGACCAATCAATTTTGTACAATTGTAGTTTATTAATATTTTAACGCCAATTTAAATCTAAATAAATACTAATAATAGTTTAGAAAACGAAATATATAATTGTTTTGAAAAGCAAATGTGTTGACTGAACAAGTTTTATCCCCATTTACCATCCGCAACAGTCAATAAACGATTACCTTTGACAGTAATGTTGAACGAACATCTCCCAGCATTCCCAGCCATATCAAAAGCTTGTACTATAACAGTTGTTAGACCGAGTTTAAACGATGTCCAGCTTCCAGGAATCCCTTCGATTTTTTGTATTTTGCCAGAGTTGTCTGTGACGTCAGGCAGTGAATAGAAAACATAGGTCTGTCGGCCCAGCACGTCTACAGTTGTTACACAATTTTCTGGGCACCCGAAGGGAAAACTTGGCGCTTCTACATCTGGATATTTTTGGTGGGAAAATAAAACAATAAAATTACTTAATGTGTTTTCCTAGTTGTACTTTTAACACCACAGTTAATAAAATATTAATGTAGATTTTTTAAAAAGCCGCTTGATAAAAAAAATATTACTTTACTTCAGTGTTTTACATCTCTAAGTAGTTATAAAAAAAAACTTTAGACCAAAATGCAAACACTGCCATATAGTTCTAACTTAACCTAGCAATGTTTATGGCAAATACTATAGTAGGTCTAAAAGAAATTGGCATTGGCATTGGCTTCTGAAAAAATTGCGTATTTTCCCAATATTTTAGTTCTTCAATTAAATGCCATGTATGTTTGCTATCTATCACGTGCCATCTGCAAATTGCCGAAATGATATATCATTAGCTGCTTCAAATTATATGCTCCTAACTGTTAATATTACTATTATTAATTCATCTGCAAGTATTTTGCTTGGTAGGTTGTTTATGTAGTTTATATTCGTAGTCCATGCTTGTGTTTAAGTATGTAGCCTGTATTTGTAGCCTGTATTTGTAGCCTGTATTTATAGTCTGCATTTGTAGTTTGTGTTTGTAGTTTCTGTTTATAATCTGTGTTTTTTGTAGTTTGTGATTGCAGTCTGTGATTTTAGTTTGTTTTTGTTGTTTGTGTATGTAATCTGTGTTTGTAGTCAGTGTTTGTAGTTTGTGGTTTGTGTTTGTAGTTTGTTTTTGTAGTTACCTGTACACGAGCCTGACGTGGTCCAGTCACTCACGTTCGTGCAGGTGATGTAGAGTGGCCCTACTGCCCGGTACCCACCGTTACACTCCAGTACACACGTGTCACCCTGCTTCCGACCCTGGTTGCACATGTGACGTCCGTTATCAACACGTGGTGGTTCAGGACAGGAAGCTGGTGTCATGCAGCAAAAAAAAAATATATATGAAATTAGCAGAGCTATGTTCGTACGAAATTTTAGTAGAATAAGTATTGATATAAGGGGAGGTAATAATATAAGATATCCTTGATAGCCCTAGTCTAAAACTAAAGTGCAACAAAATTAATATAGACTACATTTTATGTATTTGTAAATTTAAACTTTATTATGTAAATAGGCGTATATAACAATCCATTATATAATATATTTAACGAAGATTTAATAGTGCGTGACGCAGGTCACTAATATACAGGTGAACAGTGGATCATTGAGCATTACTATAACTAAATCAGAAAGATATCGCTACACTTTTGTCATTACTAAAAATTATTAGAAATCGCGTGGTATATTTGTTAAATAATAATGATCAATAAAACAAAAGTCAAGTCTAACCCATCTTGTAAAAACTATTTTCAGTTCAGTAAACCTTACGTGCAGGCCGGTATAGAGCTGATATGATGCTTTAAGCTGATTATATGGATTGGGAGCGGGGGATGGAGTTGTTTTTTTAAGAAGCGAGTCCTCTATGTTTTAATAAATGAACTCATCATTCAACTAAATCTTTCGATTTTGAATAACGATTGGCGTAATATAAATTTTTTTTAAATGCAGACACAATTGCTATTTCTGTGCTTTTTACGACTAATTCAGCAACTGACTTTAGTATGAATATTTTCTTGCACCAGGTTTCGCGATTACTGTAATTTCTTATGTTTGACTTCCGCATTTCCCAGCATGCTTTAAATTTTACTCACGAATACAAGAAGAGGGCGTGTCACTCCATACTTCGTCATCCAGACACGTGATCACATCCGCTCCCTGCGGCTCGCTCATTGGCTGGCACTGCACGCGACACACTGACGTCACCTTGTTGCCGTTCGTGCACGTGAGGTTTGAGTTGACGGGTGGTACTAGGGCCGGGCACCGGCTTTCTGTAGACATCAGATAGGCTTTAACTCAAGGATACATATCAGTTAGTGATAAAAACGGGAAAAAACTTTTTTTTTTATTAATAATCATTAATTTCAATGGAACTTCACCATACCAAAGTTTGGAAATTAAAAAAAAAAATTACTAGAGTGTTTTCTGTTACAAAAACTAGCAAGCTGACTCTATTAGTGTTAGTATCAATGTTTATATGGCTGGAATATATGCTACTTTATGAAATTTTAGAACACAAAAGTTTTTTTTTTCAAGATGGCGCCGTTGCCATGGCAGCCAGATCTTCAAAAGAGTCCCTGATGCTTGCAAATATTTTCCTATAAGTATCCTAACTTAGATATACACAAATAAATCGATGCAACGTTTTAATTAAGAGGTTATTTTTTCCCCTGGAGCCTACCTTCGTAAGGATAAAGTTAATAAGGCTGTAAGATTTAATAGTCAAAGATAGTTATCGAGTCGCTTGGCGTTGGAATATTGTTGTTATATAAGAACGTAGCTCCAAGTGTTGTATTGTGTACTCTCAGAACGCTCTCGAAATGACAGATATAGAACTATGTTGTGCATTAAGATTAATGGACATCAGATTTGATACAATAAAATTTACGTGACTAATTAGTCACTTAAATTTTACGTAGAGTAGTTTTAAATAAAACAAATTGTGTGTGTGATAAATATTGGACAAAAAGATATGTGCGACACATTGATATGCTGGCTCAGCATCATCAGAAATAAGTTACTATGGCAACGGACAAACAAACTGCCAGCTGAAAAAGAGATCCTCCATAACAGTTGGAAGTGGATTGGACCCACACTCAGGAAGCCTGTATCCAGCATATCAAGAAAAGCCCTCACATGGAATCCACAAGGTGAATTACTACACACCGATAAACAACTCACCAGCACATTGCCCGTGTTTCGTCCACTGCCGGTTGACCTTGCAGCTGATCTGATCAAGGTCATCGATGACGTAACCTGGGTCGCACGCGACAACACAGACGGTGTACACACTGTAGTGTGTAGTGTTACACGACACAGACGCGTGCTCTATCGTGGGAGGTGGGTCACAGTTCAAAGCTAGAGAGAAATAAATCGTTTTAAAGATTTTTGTTTAAAATTATATATTAAACCAAGGCCTTAACGTGTATTAAAAATATTTGCGTAGCATACTGTGAAGCATCTACAAGGCTATTTTACATACGAGTTGGGTAGAATTTGCAAAAATATAAAACTGTTTTAAATGTAAATCTACAGAACAAATAAAATAAATTGCCTGTAGTTTTATACATGGAACAGTATACCTTGACACTTTGGCTTGTGAACGGTCCAAGTCCCATCACTCAAACATTCCACCAGCGATGTATCTGAGAGTTGATGCCCCTGGTTGCACACATACGTACACACACTGCCGTAAATATTCTCCGCCGTACACACAGCGCTGCCTTTGTACATGTACGTGTACTCAAAAGAACATCTGACAACTGGTTCAAAATTAGAAATAGACGAAGTTTTGTTTATTACATTAACACAAACTCTACTAATGGGGCAGGTGGGGGAGGGGGTGGGGGTTTTCTCTTTAGGCAGAGGGTAAAATGGGATGGTATTGGTCGAATGATATAATGATATTGTTCTATGATTGCTTAGCATTCTCCATCCCGCCTCTAGATAAGAATACCGTGAGCTATATATTAATCTGCCAATTATTTAATGCTTACATCGAGCGACTGAATTATAAATTTATTATCTGAATAGGACAGGGACGGCCTGGTCGATGGATAGAGCTTACGACTGCAAGCCCGAAATTCTCCAGTTCGGATCCCGGGAGGGGGGGGGGGGGTCAAGTCTGTAGGACGTCCATGAGTCTATCCAGCTTTAAAAGGTACCTGACTCACAATAGGGGAACAAAGACGGCTGGGCAAAGTTCTGATAGGCTGTATGCCGAGGTTATTGAAACAGATGAACTCTACTTCATCTGCCCCATATGCCTATGGACGAACGGCAAAAGGTTATGATGGTCTGTATAGGGCAACACACTGTAATTTCGGAAGCGACGCAGCGCTGTGTAGGAACAGGGACGGCTGACTACACAGCAATTGTCTCACAAATTTAAATGTGACGTGAAAACAACAGGGCAGGGATTAACGTTGTCGCTTGCCAACACAGCTATAGATCTACCTGTCGTTACCTGTGACGTTGAAATTCACCGAACAGGTGGCGTAGTTTCCGTGTAGATCATTAGCCAGGTAGGTCACCGTGTAGTGACCCACGGGGTGCCAGGTACCTGAAGTCTGACCCTGAGTCTGTCGTAGACTGAAATAAGGAGAACCGGAAACTGTTAATATTTCAGTTCATACCACTTCTAGAATGTTTTGTTCCCGTTTCCTGCCAAAAAACTAGCGCGATTCTTTCTTTCGGCACTTATTGTGATATATAGCGCTTAGACTGTGGCGTAGCGAGGTCGGGTGTCACACGGTGCGGCACTTAATGGTGTCACCCCCCCCCCCCCCAGAGGCGTAGCGACTCTTCCCGGGAACAAACTTTCAATTTTCGATTTGCATCCCCCATCCCCTCGAACTTTCGATTTGCACCCCCCCCTCGAACATTCGATTCGCACCCCCTCCCTCAAACTTTTGATTAGCACCCCCCTCAAATTTTTCTCTATATATTTTACTATTTTTTTGCCTTGGTGTCACCCCCCCCCCCCTTAATGGTGTCACCCGGTGCGGTCCGCACCCCCCGACCCACCCCCCCCCCTCTCTACGCCTCTGTGCTTAGAAATCAGGATAAGGGATATGGGGTAAAAAACAATGCGAAACAAAAACTGTATAGAGAATGTATTACCTAAAAATCGGGCACACGGAAAATTGCGTTAAGAAATAAACGCAGTCCAGAACAATAGCCGAATTCAAAAACAGAACCAGGTTTTCCAGATTTTTTTTTTCGAATTTGTTTTTTTTTGCCGGAAAGTTAAGATTGAAAATTCTTAATAAATAATCACGATGACATAGTAAGGTTAAATTTTATGTGTCTTAAAAAAGACGCACTCTGAGTAAATGACACGATGTCACTGTCACGTGATGATCCATGAAGGTAAATCATGATGACGTCACCATCAAAACTTGACATACGTTATGCTAACCCCAGAGCAATTTGACAGCAATAGACCAGGCATAAAGAAATAGGGACAAGAAAAGAAACAAAAATGACAAATTTCACCCCAGGCCTGCTGTAAATAAGACACCTTGACACCATGAGACCAAGACACACACACCATTAATTGACACACCTTATTTCACCCCCAGGCCTGCTGTTGATAAGCCACTACGACACAATGAGACCAAGACACAAACACCGTTAATTGATACTCCTTATTTCACCCCCAGGCCTGCTGTAGATAAGCCACTTTGACACCATGAGACCAAGACACAAACACCATTAACTGACACACCTTATTTCACTCCCAGGCCTGCTGTTTACCGTGGCCTGGATCCAGGACACAATGGCGCCGACCTTGCCCTTGTCTGCCACAACACTTGTAACATCCGGGCACCTGATGGTGATGCTTGCTTGTTCTGGAGAGTGCAAAACATCATAAAGCATAGCTTACAACAGACCAATGGTGTAAGAGTTTAACATATTTGTATCACGCTCTCGATGTTGAGTTTAGGCTCTTGTTCAGTATTAGTTTTTTTTATTGTAGAGCTTTAGGTTTAGTTTTGGAGTAGGCTTTCTTTCATAATCATTAACTGTTGTTTAGTTTTTGTAAAATTTGAACTTATATTAATTGCGGGGTTAGTATAGTGTTTAGTGACGGAAAGAAAGATTTTGGTAATATCGACACATTCCAACAAATCAGAGGTTAACAGACAGTGGCGGCTGTGGGCGAGAGCCCCTTCACTCATGTAATATAGTGAGACTTGTGAAGTCAAGGGAACTCACTCTTCTTGTATTAGTATTATATTTATACTGTTATCTTGAGTGATGTCCCTTATATGTATATATATTTTGGTGTCTCGTGACTTCCGCTCTCTCTCGTTACCATCATGTAGTTGGAGGCCAATAAACGTTTTATATACAATCACATGCTTCTATCGTCAATCTATTACATCTGGCGACGAGGATAAATAATCCACTAGAAAGAGCATATGCTTACTTAAAAAGGAGCTTGCTAGAGCATATTGGCTAAGTATTTCTAGGATAATGGCGCTGTATGGCCAAATAAAGGAATTTGATTCGAATGATGAAACCATTCATGATTATCTAGATAGGTTAAGCTTTTACCTTGAAGCTAACGACGTGATGATAGAAGCCAAAAAGAGAGCTGTTTTGTTAACAGTCATAGGGCCTCAACAATTTAGGCTACTAAAGGACTTATGCGCACCAGCTAGTCTAACTACCAAGAGCTTTAACGAGCTGAGCAAATTGCTAACAGACCACCATGCGCCTGTACCATCAAAGTTTCTATGTAGAGCTAGATTTGACGGTAGGACTCGTCAACCAAACGAGTCAATATCAGAATATGTTGCTGCTTTACGTCATTTAAGTGAATTTTGTGAATTCGGAGACACGCTGTCTGACAGACTATGTGAAAAGTTTGTGACAGGTGTAAACAGTCCTGATGTTCAAAGAAAGTTGCTGCTCGAGTCAGATCTAACATTAGAAAAAGCAATACAACTTGCAACTTCATTCCAGCAGTCATCCGAGGCGGCAAAATCTCTAACGCCTTCAGGGATCCATGCAGTAAACAGCAGGTTAGTCAACAAACATCAACCCCATCAGAACATTTCAACTTATGCTAAACAGCCTGCACGTTCAAAGCCTAGATCTAAATCTAGTAATAATTATAAAAAATGTCATCGATGCAACGGTCCCCATGCATCTCATCGATGCAAGTTCAAGTCAGCAACTTGCTATAAGTGCAGTAAGCAAGGTCACATTGCCAAGGCCTGCTTTGCAAAGTCTTCGTCTGTTGCTAAATCTAGCCAGTCAAGACAGTACCGCAACCAAAGAAAGCACTATGTTAACTCTCACCAAGACTACCTAACCCAACCAATGAACCACTCTACCTGTGAAAATGCTCAAACTGATTCGCAGCCGGATTTCAACCTGTTCTCTGTGAAATCAATAAGTCATGCTCCCATCAATGTACTAGTTTATATCAACGGTAAGAGCATCAGCTTCCAACTTGACACTGGAGCATCTCTAACAGTCATCACAAAGAAGGACTTTGACGCTGTCACAGGAGGATCAGTGCCTCTACAACCATGTCACAAGTGTCTAACAACATACACTGGTGACAATGTTCCGGTAATAGGAGAGTGTATGGTTCATGTAAGTTATAATGGTCAAAGCGTTAAACTTCCTCTTCTTGTGGTTGAAGGAAATGGACCACCATTACTAGGTAGGAACTGGTTAAGTGATCTTAAGTTAAATTGGGAGAGTATATTTTCAGTGATCAAAGCAAGAGAATCTAGTCTTACTTCAATAGATAAAGTAATATCTAAAAATGAAGGTGTCTTTTAATTCAGGATTACTAAATGATAGAACAGTGAAGATAAGCATTAAAGACACAAATCCAAGATACTGCAAAGCTAGAGTTCCACCTTATGCAATGAGGAATAAAATTGAAAATGAGCTAAGTAGATTGGAATCTAATGGCATCATAAAGAAGGTAGACTATTCCGATTGGGCAACGCCCATTGTGCCAGTGTTAAAGAAGGATGGTTCTGTAAGAATTTGTGGAGACTATAAAACTACACTGAATAAGCAAATAGAGCTAAATAGGTACCCTATTCCTAACATTGAGGAAATTTCTTTGAATTTGGCAGGAGGAGACAAATTCACTGAATTAGACTTTAGTCATGCTTACACACAACTAGAACTGCATCCAGATTCAAAAGTCTATACGACAATAAACACACATAAAGGACTCTACCAATATGAAAGACTATGTTTTGGTATATCATCCAGCCCTGGAATTTTCCAAGCTGTCATGGACAGTATTTTTAAGGATATTCCAAATGTTTGTGTTTACTTTGACAATGTGTACATAACTGGTAAGAATGACACTGAACATCTTAAAACACTTGATAAAGTCTTGAAAATAGTTGGTGAAAAAGGTTTAAAGATAAACAAAGATAAATGTCAATTCATGCTGACAGAAATTAGTTTTCTTGGTTATATATTAAGCAAGCATGGTATCAGACCTCAACCTGAGAAAACAAAAGCCATTAAAGAAGCACCCAAACCTGAAAATACCCAACAACTAAGAGCTTTTTTTGGGCTTGATAAATTACTATGCAAAGTTCATAGGGAATCTGTCTGGTAAACTATCACCACTGTACAAGCTGCTACAGAAAAATGCAACTTGGCACTGGGGTAAACAACAAGAAGCTGCTTTTAATGCAGCAAAAGTAGCTTTGTCTTCTGACACCTTACTAACTCACAATGACCCAGGGAAAAGACTTATCTTAACATGTGATGCTTCACCTGATGGTGTAGGAGCAGTCTTGTCCCACATAGATGAAAAGGGTGACAGACCCATTGCTTTTGCCAGTAGATCTTTGAACCAGGCTGAGAAAAATTATTCTCAGTTAGATAGGGAAGGCTTAGGCATCATTTTTGGTGTTAAGAAATTTCATAAGTTTCTGTTTGGTAAAGAATTCACCATCTTTACAGATCATAAACCATTGCTAGGTTTATTTGGAGAAAACAAAACCCTACCTGAGCATGCCTCACCAAGAATTCAAAGATGGGCTATCACACTAACTGCATACAATTATGAATTGAAATACAAACCTGGATCTGAGAATAGTGCAGATAGTCTTAGTCGATTACCTTTAAAAAACCAAAGCCTTAGCTATGTACCAGAAGATGTATTTGTTCTCTTCACTATCATGGATAACTCCAATATAAATGTGAATGATATTAAAAGAGAAACACAAAAAGATGAGTGCTTAATAAAAGTATATGAGTAATGTAAGAATGGTTGGCCTGAAGAGTCTGTGAATGATGCCTTAAGGCCATATAAAACAAGAAATAAAAACCTTTGTGAAGATAATCTAAAAGATGGAGAAGATGCAGTTCATTATCAGTCAGAGTTGCCTAAACAAAGTATTTGTAACTTAATAAATGATTATGGTGATATGGCAATTTCAAATGTTTTAAAGAGAATACATTAGTAAGAAGGAATGTGATCATCAAACAACTTTGCTAACATCATTAGCACTTACAGAAACTAAAAGGGTAACATCATTTGTCCTTGAGATCATTTGTCCTGAGATCATTTGTCCTGAGATCATTTGTCCGTGAGATATTTTGTCTGAGATATTTTGTCTGAGATCATTTGTCCTGAGATCATTTGTCATGGAACCGTTGTAACATATTGTGCATTGTTTGTAAGGATGTAATCTACCATAGTGTTCATGTTACAATATAATTGGTGATTTTAGGATACTGTAAATTGTTCTATTGAGAGATGTGTTGTGTTTACTAAGGGTAAAGGGATGTAATATAGTGAGACTTGTGAAGTCAAGGGAACTCACTCTTCTTGTATTAGTATTATATTTATACTGTTATCTTGAGTGATGTCCCTTACATGTATATATATCTTTGTCTCTCGTCACTTCCGCCCTCTCTCGTTTCATCATGTAGTTGGAGGCCAATAAACGTTTTATATACTATCACATGCTTCTATCGTCAATCTATTACAACTCACACTCTACGGACAACCTGCTGTGACGTCATGTGGTGCTTCTAAAAACTCATCCAACGAACGACTGGGCTATCGACATTTGACTTTTTGGAATAATCATGTAGGTTATCATTAAAAAGCAACTCAGGAACTAACATAAGGCATACCAGTCAATACAGCGCTTCATTAAAACTCACCATTAGATACTTCATTATTCCACAGCGTTAAGTCCGCTATTGCGGTTAACCGTTTTCTTCTTGTTCTCTTCTGGGTTGCCAGCATCAATTCTATAAGACGAATAGATAGTAAATAGAACTATTAAACATATTTTAAGCTCCTACGGTGAAGAGGGTAGATGAAGTAGAGTTCATCAACTTATTTCAATTCAGCTCAAGCACATATTCTGTTAGGAGTTCACTTGAATATTTTCGGAGGTTTTTCGAAGAGATGTGACCAAGTATTTGCCTTGATTTTTTACCTTTAATTTCTTTCCACCCTTCTTCTGTACACAGGAGAACGTGAGTCGAGTTAGGCAGATTACAGACAGTTCCTATAGGCAGACTTCCATCTGGCAGACTTCCAGCCGACATATTTCCAGCAGACACTCTTCCATGAGACACGCCTACTACATCACTAGTCACATTGTGGATTAATGGCCTGTAACTTTCCACACAAAGTGATCCATTTCTCTCCTCAGAAAGAAAACTACACAGTTCTATTTGAGTTCTCGAATCTGATTCACATTTCTAGAGTCGTCGGTGGGGGAAAAAGAAAAATCAAAACAGTCATGTCACCCTACTTTATAATGTTTATGAATACAACATTTCGATTCAACTTTCGATTTTATTAAAGTGTTTTCATTTTTAATGCACGTTCCCCATGTCTAAAAATTATCATTTTGATAGTTCTTCCCCTTGTTTGGTGATCGGCTTAATGTACATTCATTTACCTCATTATGACAGATAAGCTGCATTTTAATTTATTTTGGTTTGGACAGTTAAAACCGGCTCGACAGCTTAAAAAATCTGGCCTCGTTTATCACGGTATGTTGACGCTTACATTTTATGGCAGACACTTTACAATCTTAAAAGTGGGAATTTTACTTCTATTAATATTTAAATACCACCCTTTTTTTATATGCCCATGATTGTCTACGCATAACAACCAGAGCAAGGCAACCTGCTTATATTTGTGAATTTTCTTTTTTTTATTACCAAGCTACGAAACTAAAATCCAGCCATAAACTTTACCTTTTCCTGTCATAACCTTAAGATTTTGACTGCCTGTTACACATGACAAGTACTTTAAATTGAACTTTACCTTGTTTACATCTTGGAGTTCAGCTCTCACTGTTGTAGTCAGGGTGTGGAGCAGTAGAGGTGTCACGGTCAGGAAATACTGGAACATTACAGGTTCCCTGTATAAAACATTGGTTGGCTGTTGTTATATATTGGAGGGAAATCTTAAGACAACACTTCTTTCATCAGACTACTCTGGTTTCTTCAGACAGCACTCCTTTCTTTTCTTAAAAAATCACGAGTTTTATCGGATAGGAAATGACTCAAACACGCATTGGCTTTCCTTTTAAAATAGCTATAGATTCAGACAATAATATATTTTCATTAAAGTGGATTCAGACAATCATAAACATTACGTACTACCCTCCTTTTATTAACTTACATAAAAAAATCATCCTTAAAACATCGTACATCACTTAAACTAACGTCCCACATCATATACACCACAGGAAACCTGATATGACGTACCTGCTGCACACAAAGTACTCACTACTCTACAACTGTACTAAATTATAAAATGTCTCATACACGATAACAATTTATAACAAAGTTATATTCCATATTCGTCTTGGTAAATAAAACCTACACCACTTGCTAATATGTTTAAAAGCATCCTCACCTAAATAAATCCACACAAAAAACGAAGCTGCACAATCTGTACGCTGTTGTCAAGTAAATACCTAGGGAGGGTGGTATAAAAACGTGTGACAGCCAGTATGTCTACCACAGTGTTGTGTGATTCATTAGAAATGTGGGGCACACACACATAAAGCATGTTTTGTTAGGTAAATGAAACAATTTACTTCCTGGTAGCTTTAAGACAATGACGTATAAGCGGCCTCTCTCTCTTTATATATATATATATATATATATATATATATATATATATATATATATATATATATATATATATATATATATATATATATCTATAATATAAGCGGGCTGTGCTTGTCCTTCCTTCCTTCCGTCCGTCCGTCCGTCCGTCATCGCTATAGATTTTGGGACTATAAAAGTAAACTACGCACCATGCTGTGCTTTTCAGTGCACCGCAGTGTCTTATTATAAGTGTTAGAGTAGGGTTTGTTTATATAGCGGCATAGAGCTATTTTATAAATGACACTGTGTTTACTTTTTTGCATAACGTTATGAAAATATTAAATATTTGCACATTGCTAAAACATATTAAAAAGATCAATGTCAAATATCATTTTAGTTTATATTCCTAGAAAAAATGGATACATTTCCATAAAAGTAGGTCGAAAAAACTAATTAATTCAACTTTTTTTTGTGGTAATTTTTTTCAAGGGAGGTAATTTGAAAATATATTTATCTCAACAATAATTTAAGTTAATCTTTTTTGTATTACTACCGCATTGATTAGTATATGTTAATGTTCATAATTAAAAGAGAAAAATGTTAAGATTATTTATATTATTTATTTTTTTTTTCTAATTAGTCTATGATTTCTCTAAAATCACTATCTTTTTGCTTTTGTTTTTCGGTGTTATGAAAACAGATGGTGAAATTAGACTTTTTGAGAATAATGGAAAGGCTCTCTCTGAGCGCGGACGTATGGGAAAATGTTTTTTTTTTAAATATTCAACTCACTCTCAATAAATTAAGTTAATTTTTTTATTACTTCCACATTGATTATTATATGTTAAGTAAAATAGAAAAAATGTTAAGATTATTTACATTATTTTCTAATTAGACTATGATCTCTCAAAATCACTATTTTTTTGTTTTTGTTTTTCGGTGTTAACAGATGGTGAAAATTTAGAATTATAGTATAGAGAATGCTGGAAAGGCTCTCTCTGGGCGCGGATGCATAAGAAAAGCGTGTTGTTCGTTGGTGATTCTATTGTTGTGGTTGTGTTGTGGTTGTGTTGTGTTGTGGTTGTGTTGTGGTTGTGTTGTGGTTGTGGTTGTGTTGTGGTTGTGTTGTGGTTGTGTTGTGTTGTGGTTGTATTGTGGTTGTGTTGTGGTTGTGTTGTGTTGTGGTTGTGTTGTGGTTGTGTTGTGTTGTGGTTATGTTGTGGTTGTGTTGTGGTTGTGTTGTGGTTGTGTTTGTGGTTGTGATGTGTTGTGGTTATGTTGTGGTTGTGTTGTCGTTGTGGTTGTGGTTGTGTTGTGGTTGTGGTTGTGGTTGTGGTTGTGTTGTGTTGTGATTGTGTTTTGTTTGTGTTTGTGTTATGTTTTTGTTTGTTTTGTTGTGTTGTGTTGTGGTTGTGTTGTGTTGTGGTTGTGTTTTGTTTGTGTTTGTGTTATGTTTTTGTTTGTTTTGTTCTGTTCCAAAGTTGGTACATTTAAAAAAGATTTACCGTGGCGGAGCACGGGATGCAGCTAGTATATATATATACATATACATATATATATATATATATATATATATATATATATATATATATATATATATATATATATATATATATATATATATATATATATATATATGCCTATATGTATGCCTATAAATATGCCTATATATTTTATTTTTGTTCCTACGCAATTTCGTTGCACATTAATTTATGTACCTCTTCGACTTAATTAAAACTCCAAATACTTAAATCGAACGGTTTAGGAATGCCTTTAGGAGCTAGTATGCTATCGTATCGTAAACACTGTTTATTCAATCTCGTTACACATACATTTGATGGAACTTTTCTAAACACTTCTTTGATAGCTTTGTTAATCACGGCTTCGATATAACGGTGTTAAACACATCATTTGTATATTGTTAATCACATATTTGCTTAAATTGTTACACACACGTTTAATAGAATCCTGCGCGAAACACACCTCAGACGCAACTTGTGCCTGGTGTTATGTTTGTATCTCCCAAATCTTATTATGTCTTATTTTCCACATCTAATGTTTACTTTACCTTTATTCCTAGTGTATTTGCCGTATCGTTTTTATCTTAGATGTTATGTTTAATTATTTCCTAGCCAAACTCCAGTTTAACATCCCTTGGCACGGTTGCTATCTGTTTTGCCTTTTGTGTATATTCAAATTACGAATCTGTTTGATTTCGGTTCCCGGAATAGGGCTGGTAAGTATGTCACCAACCAGTTCTACGACTCAATAAAACCTGCATGAGCCATAGAAGTCGTTGGTGACCTACTTACCAGCCGTATAAAGTCCGTTGGACCTCCTTGAGCTCCCCTGCTCAAGTGGAAAAGTAAAAACGGCTCTGCATAATGTTGACCACACTATCACTTCACATTGCGAGGTTACAGAAAATAGTTAAACCATCTGATCCATCGACCTCCATGTTTGAAAGGGTAACTTCTAATTTTTTTCAGATAAATTTTATAGTTACCAGACAACTATCACACAAATTAAGTTCCCTGAGCATAACTATTTTACTAAACGTATAAAACTATTTATGATTTAACCAGCATGATTTCTTAATTGATAGCTAACTTAAATCAGTGTAACTGAAGACAGCAAGCAATGTTCTGACTAGTGGCTACATAATTTATTTATAATAGATCACCACCACTCCAATAGTTAATAAGGTTTAGGTTTAGGTTTAAGTTATGATTTCCGTTCAGTAACAAGAAAAAAAAAACAACTATCACCCTAGAGCCCGTTGTAATTCCCCCTCAACGGGCCAACTATCTATTAGATAATAACTGTGTATTGCTTGGCATAATTTACGTTTAAATCAGTTGTAGAATGCTTGTAAACGTGTGTCTGTTTGGTTAAAAATATTTGTTAAATATACTCCAGAATGTGTACAAAACAGCTTAAAACTAGAGATAATCAAGAATGTATGTATATTGTAATAAACATAAAACAAGTACTAGAAACTATAAATTTTTAATGATTAAAATAGTAATTATAAAAGTCATGTAAAGCAGTTTGAAAAGTAATTAAAACTAAATCTAAAGTATTTATATTGTTTACGTGAAATAAATGTTTTAAAGGTAATAATAACATCTATACATTTTTAATACATAAAAAAGTAATTATAAAACATTTTAAAAGCAATGTGTAAAGTAATTACAACATAATCTAAACTATTTTTATTTTTCTACGTAAAATAAATGTTTTACAGCAATTAATATATAAAATCTTTAAATTTTTAATGCTTAAAGTAGTAGTTAAAAAACAAATGGTTAATTAAACAGTTTGTATAGTAATTACAACATAAGCTAAACTATTTGTATTGTCTACGTGGAATACATGTTTTGATCTAATTAAATCTACATGGGCTTGGCGTGAGATGTGTAATCTAGCCAGCAGAGTTCTCTCTCCCCCAATGCAAGTGTACCGACCCCACCCACGAATGAATTAAAAACATATTTTAACAATTGTACACCACGCCCGGATATTTAAGTGACCCCCCCCCCCCGCTCCAACAGTTTAGAGTACCCTCCCGAAGAAAAATATGTGAAAGAAACACACTGTTTGTATACAGCCTGGTATGCAAGGTATGTTGGCTAATCACAATAATTAATATCATTTACTTGTTTACAGATGGAATAATTTTCTGTTTATTTACAATGACATAATTACTGTCTTACTGCTTAAATTAGAAACTAATGTCACTTTTACTTACAATGACATAATTAGTGTCTTACTGTTTAAATTAGAAACTACTGTTACTTTTATTTACAATGAAATAATTACTGTCTTACTGTTTAAATTAGAAACTACTGTTACTTTTATTTACAATGAAATAATTACTGTATTATTGTTTACATTAGAAACTACTGTCACTTTTGTTTATAATGCAAACTGTATATATGTTAAAATGGCTGGTTTAGTTATTTAATTTGATTTACTAGTCACATTTTGTTTGTTATGTTGAAACTTAAAGTAATTAGAGCCAGAACAAAATTCGTTTGGGGGAATACAAGCGCTTGTTGTTTTTATAGTTTTGTGAAGTAAACATTAGGGCTCACACGGGGGCGTGTCTCAGAACCATTGGTTGTGCTCACCTCCAATTGAACATCAGCTGCAGATCCTTTAGGACACTGTGCCATCTCCCCATCCCCTGTGGATCCTCCTGACATTAATCCCACCTTCACATCACCTGTAGATCCTCCTGACATTAATCCCACCTCCCTATCACCTGTAGATCCTCCTGACATTAATCCCACCTCCCCATCACCTGTAGATCCTCCAGACGTTAATCCCACCTCCCCATCACTTGTAAACACCTTCATCCCCACAGCAGACGATCCTCCATTATTGGTCTCTCTCGAGGTTTCCAATCCGCCAGAGATACTTTGTTTTTCCTGGTCTTGTTCTTTACACTGACCATGCTTCAAATCTTCCATTTTAAAGCTAAACACAGGCTTGTGCAAAGATGGGAGGATAGAAGTGGCTGAACTATCAGACGGAAACTGGTCAGATAATTGATTCCATAATTCTTGGATTCGAACCTGTGTTAAAGTCTCCGAATCACCTTTCAATTCTTTTCCGCCAGTATCGAGTATCGAATAACTTACATAACGTATTGTATCAGCTGTATCGAACATTGTACCGGTATCGAATAGTGTCCCATCTTTAACGTCAATGTACGGCTGCTGATCCTGGGGTTGGTCTGGAATGACGTCATAGTCATTTTCCGGGGGAAAGTGGGTGTAGGGGTCGTCAACCTCTTCAAACACTTCGTCAGGTACGTTGTAAGGGTGGGGCCCCTGACTCTTCAGTTTCTTTCTGGAGATGGAAGTGAGATGTAAAGTTCATTGCATGTTGTCAATCTACTGTTTGTCTGCTGTATGGTTCTTGTCTGCCTACTATATTGTCTGCTGTTTTCCCGGTGTTTGCTGTCTGTGGGCGGTCTATTGTTGTCTGTCTGTGTTCAGCTTAACATCTACTCCAGTCTGTCTACTGTTTTCATTTGTCTGCATTATGCAGGCTCAGTGAATACAACTACCTTTAAATAAACCTTTTAATTACCTGTAAACAATGCATGAGACGACCAAGATAATTAAAACAACAAGCCCAACGCCTCCGATAACGACTCCAATTATTAATGCCTGGTAATTTGACGAATCTGAAATTTTAAACATTAGAAATATAATCTAAAACAAAAATGCATGTATTTCTTAATCGAAGATATTACGTAAGTCTTAAAATGTAAACATAACATACTAACTTTGGCTGTCTGATTTGCCATTTGTTTTGATCACGCAGGGATCCAGGTCAAGATCACATTGAGTAGCCAGGTACGAGCCATAACCTGCGGTCGTTTTACCTGTACAAGGTGACAACATTGGTAGCAAGTGAAAAATTAAGGTAGAACATAAATATGTATATTATAGAACACTTCTCAAACATTGCAAAAATGAAATATTGTTTAATAAATTGGCTAAACGTCACTTTACTATATGCTATTTAAAAAGGCATTGATATACTTCAGAAATTTGGTACACTTTTTCTGTCACAGAAAGTAATACACCTAAATTGAATAAATTTAAATACGTTTTAATTGTACTCACAGCTGGGACAAGGCGTGCAGACGTCCATCTTGGGGAGATCCTGATAGAACCCAGGGTCACAAGGTGAACATCTGCCAGTGTTGGTGGTGTAGGTGCCGGGTGGGCAGTCGGCTGGAATAGACGGGGTTAGAGGTCAAGTGGGCTGGAATAGACGGGGTTAGAGGTCAAGTGGGCTGGAATAGACGGGGTTAGAGGTCAAGAGGGCTGGAATAGACGGGGTCAGAGGTCAAGTGGGCTGGGATAGACGGGGTCAGAGATCAAGTGGGCTGGGATAGACGGGGTCAGAGGTCAAGTGGGCTGGAATAGACGGGGTCAGAGGTCAAGTGGGCTGGAATAGACGGGGTCAGAGGTCAAGTGGGCTGGAATAGACGGGGTCAGAGGTCAAGTGGGCTGGAATAGAAATAGTGAGAGGTCATATGCGCTGGAATAGACGGGGTCAGTGGTCAAGTGGGCTGGAATAGACGGGTCACAGGTCAACTCGATCTAAAATCTATGATTAGGTGTGCGTTTTATTTTGGTACTAAATAAGCAACAATTGAGGTTCCACCCATGGAGTGAGTTATCTTACCACAAAGTCCTCGAACCAAGGACGAGCCGACAGGACATTCGGCAACCAGGAGCAAAGATTTGTTGGAGGACAAAAGGTCAAGGTTGTCGACCTCGAGGAGCTCTTCACTTCTCTGTGTTACCGCCCGTATCAGTCTGTCCAGGATTCGAGCCTGCTCGAACTGTGTTTGCCTCTCGTATTCTGCAATAATTTTTTTAAACGAGTTGACACGGTAAGTGCTGGGAACACAGTCAAACAGGATCATTTTTTTTAAAAGTATATGTTTGTTGCAGGGGCGTAGCGAGGGGGGTGCGGGGGGGGGGGGTGACACCAAGGCAAAAAATAGCAAAATATATAGAGAAAAATGATAATTCCACTTAATAGAGTGATTAATTAGAGTGTTAAATAGCCTTTTAAGGGGTGGGGGTGCAAATCAAAAGTTTGAGGGGGGGGGGTGCAAATCGAAGGTTTGAGGGGGGTGAGGGGGGGGGGGGTGTAAATCGAAAATTGAAAGTTTGTCCCCGGGAAGGGTCGTTGCGCCTCTGGGGGGTGACACCATTAAGTGCCGCACCGGGTGACACCCGACCTCGCTACGCCATTGGTTTGTTGAACTCTCGTCCTTTGAGTCTGTAGTTTATCAGTTCACTTCTCTGTGATGTCATTTGTCTGTTTGGTCCGTTTTGACACGTACCCACCTGTAAGGTTTGCAAGGTACGCAACCTGTGATTGATTCTGAATAACTTTGTAATTGACCGAGAGACGTCCTAAAATTCGATGATCAAAGGTGTTTGCATCTGAATGTTATTGAAATTTTGATTTAAAAACAAAGGCCATGACTTACTTTTAGATTTACTTAAATTTTAAAAATACGTAGATCATCTTTACTAGGTGGCGCTTGTTTATCAATCCTAAAATATTTAATCTAGAGCTAATACTAACGGCTTAAATTAGTGTTAACTGGAACTAAGCGTATTAAAGAACTGAAAGCTGTTACCCAAAATAAATGTAAAATTACACCAAATTAAAAAAAAAAAAAACTTTAAAAAACTTTGATCTTAAAATTCAAAATTCGGTCAGTTAGTAACAACCTTGTGACGTCACGTTTTCAGCCGCCATATTGGACAGCTCCACCAAACTGACGTTGACGCGACAACTAGAAATCTCCTGGCACGGAAGTTGAGATCCCACTCTCTGTTCCAGAAATTTCTTCAGTTCCGGCAAGGAGCTGGAATTTTCTGACAACTCGCCGTACTGAAATATCAGCTCGATGCTTAAGGACTGTGGTAGCTTCACATCTGAAAATAGGGAAATTGGAAGCTGTTGAGCATTCTTTCCGACCAATGTCCGATAATGGACTCATCCAATAGGAAGTGTGAAATGTTTTTGTGGTATTGTAATATCAGTTTTAATGATAGGGCTGGTACTTAAGTCGTTTTTTAGAACTGAACAAAATTACTGTAAATTTTAATTAGTTAATACATCAGAATATCAGATACTGAATAATAGGGCTGGTAAGTAGGTCACCAACCAGTTCTACGGCTCAATTAAACATGCATGAGCCATAGAACAGGTTGGTGACCTACTTAACAGCCGTATTGTTTAAAAACATAAAATGACATTAAACGTATATGGTATAGGACGACACCAAGAATTCTTCACAAAACCTGACTTACTTGTGCACTCTGGCAAAAAAGCTTTTGGATTCTGTGAAGTCACGTGAGACCAAGTGAAATTTGTAGACTTGCCACATTGGAAAATGTTGGCCAAATGGGGTAAGACGATCATTCCAGGCGGGCAGACAACCGAACAGATTTGTTCTCCGTCATGTTGTGAGCAGTTTATGGCCAGCTGGGCGGGTCGTGGCACCAAACTTGGGCATTCTGATTAATTAGATAATTACGTGTTTCTTAATCAATAAAATTGAAATGTTATTTTGGTTAAAATGAAAAAAATATTGCATTAGTCGTATAACACCTTGATTGAGATGTTTAATAAAGCTGTCTTAAATTAATGTGTGATTAATTTTTTGAACTTCAAACGAAATGGTGATAATATTTAACAATGACATCTCTAAGTCTACAAATAACGGGAATTCGGTGTCAACATTATTTTATAGGTGGTGGGCGTGTTCTTTCATATGTACATAGTTTTTCCTTACTAAATCAATTAGTTGGCTTTCTCGTTAAAGCTATAAACATTTTGGTTTGGTGTCATCCTATTTAACAGTGTCACCCACATCCTGGCCACGTGACCGTATTCTCGTTATTTTTTTTTTGTTATTTAAATTAATACATTTTTTAAACTTACTCTGTTGACAAGAGCGTGATACAGAATCAACTGCCGGGGTACTTTACTTAATGTAATGTGATAAAATGACTGGGATAAATAATGTATTTGAAAGACTTAGAAAACAACTGTACATGTACCTGGACATGTGACCGTGTTGCACTTCATGGTTGACCTGGCCTGGCTCGGGTCACACTCAGCTCCCCCGTACCCAGCAGGAGGACTGTCACACAACCTCAGTCTGGTCATCAGACCCCCACCACACGAGGCGCTACACTGGGACCACTCGGACCAACCACCGAACCTGCCGTCTACTGTCAGATAAAGATGTTTATTTGAAATGAAAACATAATGTTAAAAAAAGGATAAACAAAACTATAGAATAATGTAAGGGGCGGAGTGGACGAATCGTAGAGCTTTCAGATGTGAACCCTAAAGTCTAGAGTTCGTTTCCCGGACTCATTAAGGAAACTAAAACGACACTATCCCCAGAAGTGCCGATGCCATTGAATCAGTTAAACTCTACTTCACCTGCTCCGCCTATCTTGGGCATGAACGAGAATAGATGAAGAGGATGCTATCATATTGCTAGTTGTGTGTTGTTGTACTTAAAAAAACGTTTTGAATTATTTAAAAAAAATGGCAGATTAACCTGCATTCGCTTAATTACCTGGACAATGGCCACCAACGCAAAACTGCGTTTCGACCTTCACCCCAAGACAATCCTGACCTCCGGGGTCAGGGGCAGGGTCAGTGCATGTCCGAACTCTCTTCCTCTGCCCCACCCCACAAGATGTACAGTTTGACCAGTGGCTCCAAGTAGCCCATTTCCCATCAGCTGCAGAAGTAAATTTGTATAAGTGTATTTACGCTTGTTCAATACTGTTTTTAAATAAGCCAATTTAACTTTAAAACGTTTTCAGTATCTTATTTAACAACATGAAGCTTTGTTTCAATATTTTACTAAAACACATTTTATTTCATGACTTTACATACCCACAAGCCGACCCGCTGCGTAGCAAACGCTTTACTCAGTTTATTTTTTTTTACTCATCAGTAATTTATAATTTGTAAATTCCCCACTACTCCCCCTTCTCCTACCTATGATATTCTACCTATGTAAACCTACCTATGATACTCTACTTATGTAAACTTACCTATGTAAACCTACCTATGTAAACCTACCTATGATACTCTACCTTTGTAAACCTAGTTAATTGTAAACCTACCTATGTAAACCTACCTATGTAAACCTACCTATGTAAACCTACCTATGCTACTCCACCTATGGAAACCCACCAATGTAAACCTAACTATGTAAACCTAGCTATGTAAATTTACCTATGTAAATCTACCTATGATACTCTACCTGTGTAAACCTACCAATGTAAACCTACCTATGTAAACCTAGCTATGTAAACCTTCGTATGTAAACCTACCTATGTAAACCTACCTATGTAAACCTACCTATGTAAACCTACCTATGTAAACCTACCTATGTAAACCTACCTATTACCCTGTCACACAGGCGACCTGTATAACCTGTCTGACAGTCACACATGTATGTCTGCTGCTCCGGCAGGCTAACACAGGTAGAACCGTTGACGCAGGCGTTGTTCAGACAGAACTGCCTGGGATTCTGGCACCGGTCACCTGACCACAGGTCATCACACACGCACCTGTAGCCACGCACGTCATCAAAACACACACCGTGGTCACCACACGGACGTCCAGCACAGTTGTTCACATCTACAGCCACAGGTAATTAAAGTTAAAAAACTGAATCATTACAGAAATATACTAAAACAGAATCTGGTTTGTCGGAAAATTTGATGTTTACACGAGTATCTCAAAAGTAATTTGTTTATCGTTGCTGGCTTGCCCTATGTTCACCGTAAATTACAAAAAAACAAACAACAACAAAAAAAAACCAACAAAAAACCCAGTGTTTTCCAATAACACTGCAATTAACAGAACATTGGGAAAAAGAACAAAAATAATTAATTACCATCGCACGTGCTGGGCCAGATATTGGCTGAGTCAACGATGACCGTGTCCAGCGTGTTGTCCTTGACCGGCTTGAAGCATGACCTTGAAAACTCGGCAATTTCCGATTCCGTTAAAATTTCTTGGGTCATCTGTAAGCCGCTGAGTACAATATCTTTGGACAAATTTAAAGACCCGTGGTTTTAGCTAATGTCGTCATCAAAGTGTTTGATGCAAGCCCCACTTGGTGTCACCACAACGAGCAAGACAACAGTCTTCAACTAATTACAACTTAAAGCAAATTATCAAAACAACAAATAGATGCAGCAAAAACGTAGTTTTCTTTTAACTTTTGACATTCTGTCTTTATTGCTTGCAGTTAATTTTTAGAAGATTTAATTTAAGATAACTTATTTTTGCCCTAAACAACAATTTTTTATCACAAAATAAAAAAATTACGTACATTTAGTTTGTGTTTTGATAGAACATAGACCGTAATGAAAAACGGACTGCGTTGTCGATTGAAAAAAAACCATAGGGGTACTTACAATTTAAAAAAAAAATTACGATTGAGGTGTCGGGGTAGGTCACTAACCGTTGGAGACAAAAATCAATCCATTCCCGTCGACGGTAAATCCAAGATGCATGTCATTATTCCATAGCCCTTCGACCTTGACCCCTGTCTTCTGACTGTCGAACTTCCCGTCGACGTACATGGTGACCGTCTCGTTTTGGTACATCAGCGTGATGTGGTACCACATCCTGGAGACACCGTGGTCATACTTTTTAAATTACCAATCAGTCACTTTAAACATTTTTTTCTACTATTCAATTTAAGCCATAATAGCTGATCAATGTTCAGTTTGTTCAGTAGTCACAATAATCAATTATTATTATGGTGCTCTACCAACTTAACAATGAACCATAGGCGTAGCGACACTTCCCGGCGCCCGGGGACAAACTTTTCGATTTGCACCCCCCTCGAGATTTTGATTTTGCACCCCTCCTCAAACTTTCGATTTGCACCCCCCCCCCAAAGATTTCCATTTGCACACCCCCCCCCCCCTCCTCAAACTTTCGATTTGCACCCCCCCTCGAGATTTCCATTTGCACACCCCCCCCCCTCAAACTTTCGATTTACACCACCCTCAACCGTTCAATTTATCTTTCCAACCCATTTTGGCGCCCCTAAGGTCGGCGCCCGGGGACATATGTCCCCCCCCCCCGCCCCCCCCCTCGCTACGCTACTGCAATGAACCAGTCAAGCCTCATCTCTACCCTCCTTTTATAATAGATGTTTTCGGGCCACTATAGAAGTTTATTAAGCATGCCCAAAAATTCCTTTTTAGAGTAGCTTGTTTTAAATTAAGGGTTTCAAAATGCGGGCTGGACTATGATTGGATTAAAATGACTCAGGGCAACGACCTCTTTGTACTACATAACAATAAAACACGTACTATCGTACGTAAGGTTCACCTGAAAGAGCGGTTGGTATCCACTGGCACCGGCCACAGGTAGAAGCTGACAATATCCATATAGAACATGGCGGCGCCTTGATGGTAATCCAGGGAAAAGGTCAAGGCTGCCCGCTCGTACTCAGTGGACAGGTGTACCCAGGTAACGACGGTGAACACCTTGTCTTTGGCAGGTGAGACTTGCACTGTGGGTAAGCTAGTGCCAATCTCCGTCAGGTAGTCAAACACTGGAAGAAAGAGTAATGTTGCATTTACGTCCATTTGAAATGGATTTCGATTGGTTTAAATATGATAGCAGGTATTCTTTTGCAAGAAAGTGGGTAAGGATTATAAAGGAGGGGAATTTTGAATAACATAAACATCTTTTAAAAAGCTTTAAGTTTTTAAAAGACTAAAGCAAATTTAAACATGTTTAACAGATTGTTGTTTCATTGAGTTTTATCTATAGTTTTCTTTTTACGTGTTTTTAACTATTGCACTTCACTTGAGATTTGCCATAGATGGACTTTATAACTTAAATCCAAAAGAAAACGGGGGTCATTGAATGGAGTCCACAGGTTTATAATGAGAGAATTTACAATTTTAGGATCTGTCGTCAATATAAAAAAAATCAATGTTTTGATAAACATCAAAATAAAAAAAAAACATCTGACCGGCACTGAATACTTCAGCCATTTTTCCATCAGAGTAGTACACAAAGCCTTACTTTCACAATCGTCCTTAGATGACGCCCCGTCTACTGCCGTGAACATCGTGTAAGGGCAGACGTTACATCTGAGGGCACCAAACTCTGAGGTGTACGTGCCTTTTGGGCATAAAGTGCAAGGCTGACGTCCGTCTCTCGAGTACTGGCCAGGGTGGCAAAGGTCTGAGTGGACAGAACAATACTCTTCGATTAGTTGTTACCTATAGCAAAAAAAACTAGAAATAGTATGCGTCGATATCATGAACCCAACCTTAAAGTACTTAAACCGTAAACCTGTAGCGATAAAACGAGCAGTGTTTCTTCCAGGCATCTCTTCAAGGGGGGGGGGGGTCTGCTCCCCCCAGGAGTCTAATGACCCCCTCCCCTGGAGAAAAAAAATCTAGAAGAAACACTGAAAACGAGTCGACTATGATAATACGGCTAAACAAATTAGATGGTATTTCTCTGTTAAAATCTTAGCCTATGCTTTAACAGACTACACCTAACACCATTTCAAGCGAAACTTACTTTGACAATACGGACCGAAAGTCGATCCGGGCCACACCCACTCAGGGCGGTTGAACCTTGAACTCAACTGACACGTCATCGTTGACGGCCCCACCAGTGTCTGGCCTGTGGTGCAGGAGACGTTACAAGCAGCTCGATAGAGAAACCCGTCTGGACAGGTGAACTTCAGCAGAGATATTTCGGGCAGGTTCGGATCCTTGCAGGACAGAGCTGGAATTGTTACACTAAGTTAAAATTATTGCACATAATTGGAATTGAGTTAGATTTTACACATCTGGAATGTAGGATGGTTAGAACGAGTTGAAAGACTTAGTGAAACTTACATTCACACACTTCTGGCCGCATAGTAAATAACATTACACGACAAACTATCTCAGTACAAATAATCTCAGAAAAAAACAACCCAAAGACGAAAGATCTCAAGAGCAAAATATCTTAAAATGACATATTCCTGAAGAGTGATACTTCTTTTATGTGGACGAAAAATATGTAATTATCTTTTAAAGAGGGCATTTTACAAGCTTTCATCTTTATTATTATTTATGTTTCTTTAAAGAACGTTTACACTTATCCTCGGCCAAAAACCCTGAAAAATACAGACCGGTGAAGATGTTAAAAAATCGCTTATATTGTCACATCAAATTATTATAAACGCAAACAAAATTTGTTTAGCAAGCGAAATAACAGTTCAGGTAGCTACATTGTTAATTGCAAAAGATCCGTGTTTGTCCCAACAGTAAGGCCAAACCAATCCTCCCCCAAATCCTTATCCCTTACTCTAAACGAATGATTACCTTTGACTGTAATGTTGAAAGAACAATTTCCAACATTCCCAGCCATATCAAAAGCTTGTACTGTAACAGTTGTTAGACCAACTGCAAACGATGTCCCGTTTACAGGATTCCCTTCGATTTTTTGTATTTTGCCAGAGTTGTCTGTGACGTCAGGCAGTGAATAGAAAACATTGGTCTGTCGGCCCAGCACGTCTACAGTTGTTACAAAATTTTCTGGGCACCCGAAGGGAAAACTTGGCGCTTCTACATCTGGACATTTTTGGTGGAACGCAATAACAATTATTTCTTTTTACATAGTAGACTTGAATGTATTTTTAACAAAGTAATATAAAATGCCATAATATTTAAAAATTTTGTTTCAAATTTTCAAACTTTGGTATGTTGAAATACCATTACAATTAATGCAAAATTTAAAGGTATTTCACGATTTAAAAAAAAAAATTGAGATTTTGAATAAAATAGTTGAAGTCTTTTTTGTTACAAAATCTAGTCCACGGGTTCCCAACCTGGGGGTCGCGACCCCCCTGGGGGTCGCGAAGGGCTTTCTGGGGGGTCGCCAACTGGTATACTAAACCTTAGTAATGAGAAACAAAAAATAAATATTTAGAAGAATATCTGAAATTCGGCTTTACTAACATCACTGGAAATGGAATAGAGAAGCAATGATTACTCAATACTGTACAAAGTTGTTCTCAGTCACGAGGTAATGAACTTTTCAAATCTAAAACGTCATTTGATACGAGTCATTCCGAACACACCATAAAAGATACGGAGTTCTTTCGTCGACATGAAGCTAGTTGCAAACGTCAGAGACTTGATCGAACTGGAAGTTTTCACGAAGGAAACACAGCATTAGTGCAAGCATCATATGATGTCGCGATAGAAAATGTCAAGCAAAAAAAAAAAAAACACAATAGGAGAAAATCTCATCAAACGCTGCATGTTTAAGATGGTGAAGTTAATTCTTGGGGATTCCAGTGCAGTAAAGATGCAACAAATATCTCTCCCTAATAATAATATTCAGCGGCTTATAGCAGACACGTCCGTAGATGTTAGATAACAAATTTTTATTGAAATCAAGCTTTCACCATTGTTTGCTTTTCAAGTTGATAAATCAACAGACTCGAGTTCGTGATCGCAGTTGTTGGTCTTTGTCTATATTCATGCGGATGATAGCAAAGAAGAGCTTTTATTTTTTAATGAAAGCATGGAAAAAATAAATACGTTTTTCGAAACTGGATGATTAAAATGGGTTAAAACGGCTGTTGGGGTTTGAACGGATGGTGTGCCATCTATGTTTTGGTCAAAATCGGGCTTCCAGAAAACAGAAAAGATTTAGCTCCCTAACCACTGCCCTCGCCATCAAGACTCCATTGCTAGTAAAAGTCGTAACTTATATTAAATCTGGAGCTTTCAAAGAACTGTGCAAATACATTAATAAAGATCACGAGGTTCTGCTTTTCTACACTACATCATGATGGCTGTCAAAAGGAAATGTAAATCGTGTTGTGAAATTGAAAGCTGAAATCAAGTTGGCCTTCGAAGTACAAATGAAACAAGACCAGAGTTTCTTCCAGGCATCTCTTCGGGGGGGGGGGGGGGACGAAGCCCCCCCCCCCCGACATTTTTTTACCGTCCCCCCGAACGAAATGAAATTTATATAATTTATATAGAAAATATATACTTTTAACAGTGTCCGCCCCCCCCCCCCCCCCGAAGAAAGTTTACCGCCCCCCCCCCCCCCCCGAAGATTTCAAGTGCTCCCCCCCCCCGGAGAAAAAAGTCTGGAAGAAACACTGAACAAGACCCTTTTGGTACACTTAATACGACATACCTAGCAGATGTATTCGAACATCAACATAAGCTTGACCTGAAGCTTCAGGGAAAATGAACGCATATTATCACTTTCCATGATAAATTCGGGGCATTTTTATCAAAGCTGCAAAAATAAATCTTGGAAATATTGCCATGTTTGAGAACTCTGCAATGTAGTAGATGAATCTCTTTGTGAGATAATTAACATTTTGAAAGAAGCGATTTCTGGGCATTTTGAATCTCTTTAAAACGAACTGCAGCGCTATTTTTCTGCGCTGAAAAAGAAGAATCTGCATTGACGCATTACCCATTCTCTTCTTCCCTTGATGTTGCCAGCATTCCAGATGAATTACAAGATGAATTCTTTGATTTGCAGAATGATTCAGCGCAAGATGAAAAACTGCACACACAATTTTGGTGTAGTATTCACCATTCATACTCAAACGTAATATTGATTGACTTTTCGAGAATAGATTTTCAACACTATTCTCCGATTAAAAACAAAATTAAGGAATAAATTGAATGTTGATAATGAAATAGGTAGGCGTTAACAAAAACTTAACCGCGAATGTTTAGTAAATAACACGCAATTTTACACATGGTATTAAAACAGTTATCAAGGGTAGTTCACATTGAAAGTCTACTTGAAAATCTTAATTCAGTGCTTGTTAATTTCCATACTAATTTCGGCTTTTTAATTCTATGGGGGTCGCGGGTCACTTACTTTTTATAAAAGGGGGTCGCCACTCGAAAAAGGTTGGGAACCACTGATCTAGTCAGTTGACTCTATTAGAGTTGGTAAAAGAAAGACCAGTCAGTGGCGTAGCGAGGTCGGGTGTCACCCGGTGCGGCACTTGATGAAATCACCCCCACAGAGGCGTAGCGACCCTTCCCGGGGACAAACTTTCAAATTTTCGATTTGCACCCCCCCCCTAAAACTTTCGATTTGCACCCCCCTCAAGTTTTCGATTTGCACCCCCCCCCCCCTCAAACTTTCGATTTGCACCCCCCCCCCCCCCCCCCCTCAAACTTTCGATTTGCACCCCCTTTAAGTTTTTCTCTATATATTTTGCTATTTTTTGCCTTGGTGTCACCCCCCCCCCTAAATGGTGTCACCCGGTGCGGTCCGCACCTCCCCCCCCCCTCGTTACGCCCCTGAGATCAGTGATTATATGATTAGTTTTTTAAACCGTGAGACTTCAACAAATTTTTTTTTAATAATAAAAAAAAAGATTATTATTAATTAGGAAGTGTTTTCCACGTTTTTTCTCTAGCCTAACCCCTTAATGTAGTTACCTGTACACAAGCCAGATGCGGTCCAGTCACTCACGTTCGTGCAGGTGATGTAGAGTGGCGCCACTGCCCGGTACCCACCGTCACACTTCAGTACACACGTATCGCCCTGCTTGCGGCCCTGTTCGCACACGTGACGTCCGTTATCAACACGTGGTGGTTCAGGACAGGAAGCTTATTACACGTGACAGAAAGACTATAAATAACACGTTACACAAGTACCAGGATTTAAAATTTCACAAAAACAAAACCGTAGTAAAAAGCGTAACTTCTAACAAATGGTAAAATAGTTTCTTTATAACAAGGATTAGAGATAAAAGAAATGCATGCACTAGGCTTTTAACAATTGTTTTTTCAACAATGTGAGAAAGGCTGGGCATGGACCTATAACTTCAATAAATGACCGGATCATTGTGCAATGCAGCAAACTAATCAGACAGGCATGCAATAAACTAAGCCTTTAATTAAACTAATAAGCATATTTTTCAAACTTTATATTTTTGTAAGTTCGTGGGGCATTGTCCAGAATCTTGAGATATCCGTATGATTGCTAAGCTACTTATACACAAAAAATGAAATATTGGAAAATAAACGTTTAAAATAGTTTTTGTATTACGATATAATTACTAAATTATTTATACAAAAAGAAAATTGACACATTGGAAAACAAAACTCGGCGATAATGCGATGCCGTCTGGAGAGGAATAAGGGCGCCAATTTTTCAAGAGTGAGTATTTTCTTGTAGCATCCGAGAACTACTGTCAGCTTTAATGCTTGACTATGTTACTCACGAATACAAGAAGGGGGCGTGTCACTCCATTCCTCGTTATCCAGACACGTGATCACATCCGCTCCCTGCGGCTCGCTCATTGGCTGGCACTGCACGCGACACACTGACGTCACCTTGTTGCCGTTCGTGCACGTGATGTTTGAGTTAACGGGTGGCGCTAGGACTGGGCACAGTTTTTCTGTGAACATAGGATAGAGCGGATAGTGTTTGGTTTAATTAACAAAACAATTCCTTTAGAAATAATAGGTGGCTATCAGTGTTTCTTCCAGACTTTTTTCTCCGGGGGGGACTTGAAATTTTCGGGGGGGGGGGGGGCGGACACTGTTAAAAGTATATATTTTCTATATAAATTATATAAATTTAATTTCGTTCGGGGGGGGGGGGGGGCGGTAAAAATTTTTCGGGGGGTAGCCCCCCCCCCCGAAGAGATGCCTGGAAGAAACTCTGGTTGCTATGGTTATGGATTCAATTGAAAACGGGTATTTACAAAAATATAGTGTGTATTAGAATACATTTATTAAAAAAAACGTGTTTAGCGTGAGATGTGTAGCCTACATTACAGAGCATGTTCAGCACAGAGGCGTGTGTAAAACAATGTTACCTACAGATGTGTACAATACACATGTGTTTACAACACACAGATGTGTACGACACATAGATGTGTACACCACACAAATGAGTCCAGCATACAAAAGTAAACAACTCACCAGCACATTGCCCGTGTTTCGTCCACTGCCGGTTGACCTGACAACTCATCTGATCAAGGTCATCGATGACGTATCCAGGGTCACACACGACAACACAGACGGTGTACACACTGTAGTGTGTAGTGTTACACGACACAGACGCGTGCTCTATGACGGGAGGCGGGTCACAATTCAAAGCTAGACACAAAGAAAACGTGTCTAAACCAAAAACACTGAGTTCACATTGTATAAACTATGTTCAAAGCTGTAAAACCTTATTTTGTGTTTAAAAGATCGTTAGCGAATTTCATTGTAAACATTAAACCATTTTAAATGGCAACAATCTGCAAAAAAAAAAAAGGAATATCGTAGTTCATTGCCATAAATCTATCACACACACACACATAAATTCACCCTCGACACTACCCACTTCGATGAATATATGATGTGCACACTACTTATAATCTTGCAAGTAGCACAAGTTATAATGCGAAATTCACACAAGATTAACTTGAATGTGTGTAAGCAATGTGCCATATCAAAATGTCTCACATCAGTGGCGTAGCGAGGTCGGGTGTTACCCGGTGCGGCACTTCATGGTGTCACCCCCCAGAGGCATAGCGACCATTCCCGGGGACTAACTTTCAAATTTTCGATTTGCACCCCCCCCCCTCATGTTTTTCTCTATATATTTTGCTAATTTTTGCCTTGGTGTCATCCCCCCCCCCCCTAAATGGTGTCACCCGGTGCGGTCCGCACCCCCGCCCCCCCCCCCTCGCTACGCCTCTGTCTCACATTAAGTGCTATAAATCTAATAAAAATTAACTGCTTTACGTTTTAAGCAGAGTTATCTACCTTGGCACTGTGGCTTCTGGACGGTCCAAGTCCCGTCACTCAAACATTCTACCAGCGATGTATCTGAGAGTTGATGCCCCTGGTTGCACACATACGTACACACGCTGCCGTAAATATTCTCCGCTGTACACACAGCGCTGCCTTGGTACATGTACGTGTACTCAAAAGAACATCTGACACCTGACTCAAAATTAGTCATAGATGAAACAATATTCTTTAGATTAACAAACTCAACTATGGGAACCCTACGCGAAATACAGAAGAAAGGGTGGGGGTATTTTTCTAATGATTGTGTTTTATTTTCGTTTATTATACTCTAACTTCAACTTGCTTTAGAAAATTTAAATAATTTTTTTTTCTTCGAAATAGCCTAATAAATCACTAATAGAAAATTCACATGGATATTGCGAGAATAGGACTTCATTGAATAAAATTAGACATTTTTATTTGAGTATATAAGGTGGCCTAGCATTACAGAGGTAGACCACTAACCCGAAAGTCTCGAGTTCGTATCCAGTTTCAAGTAACGTTAGGGAAACAAAAGCTGCTGGGCATAGTGCCCGAAAAGAGATTAACTCTACTTCACCTGCCCCATGTGTCTTGTGCACGAACGGGAAAAGATGACGAAGTATATAAAACATAATTTATTTTGTATCTCCTCTATAAAACGATGAGAAAGTTATTTATTTTAATTTTGTCGAATAGAAGTACATGAATATGTAAGTAGATCGACTCCGTAGATACACAATACCATTTAGAATAAGGTAAAGAGTATTCCCATTTGTCATACTATAAATCATGACACGAAAGAGACGTTTGGCATTAAAATATTATGATACTGCCGGCTTTAACATATAATATTGCTGACATTAACTTACAATATTGTTGGCATTATCATATGATACTGCGACAGTTAATACTGTCACGTAATGTTTACCTGTGACGTTGAAATTCACCGAGCAGGTGGCGTAGTTTCCGTGTAGATCGTTAGCCAGGTAGGTCACCGTGTACTGACCCACGGGGTGCCAGGTACCGGAAGTCTGACCCTGAGTCTGTCGTAGACTGCAATGAGAACACAGGTGTCTGTTACCGCTATTAGAAGAAGCTATTTCATGTTTGTATATAGATCTAGTTCCTCATGTTTCGTAACGTCTTGTGCTATAAATAGTTACATTGTTGTGTTAAAGGGATTGTGGGTCTTGTTGGATTTTCGGGCAAAGCGATGAGATGACACCCTATCACCATGAGGCCAAGACAAATAGCATAATTTAACACACCTTATTTCACTACTTGGCCTGCTGTTTACCAAGACACCATGACACCATGAGACCAAGAAACAAACACCACTAATTGACTCACATTATTTCACTCCCTGGCCTGCTGTTTACCGTGGCCTGGATCCAGGACACAATGGTGCCGACCTTGCCCTTGTCTGCCACAACACTTGCAACATCCGGGCACATTATGGTGATGTTTGCTGTCTCTAAAGAGAAAAAGATGGACGCCATTTTAATTTTTGTTTTACAACGGCTTAGGTTTAAGCAAACACATGAGTTATGATTAAGCGAACAATTAAACTGCTTTGCATCACTGCACATTATCCCCTGTATGCCGAAGCAACTGTAACAGACGAACTCTACTTCATCTCCCCCACGTGTCTTTAGCACGAACGGGAAAATATGATACTAGTTTGAAGCTGATTGTTATATATATTTTGCTATTTTTCGATTTAGATTTTAAATTTTGATAGTTAACAATAAATCGTGAAAATTATGTCAAGATTCCAGACTGTCCATGTAATACTGCTTTAAAACTCACCATCAGTGAAGTCGTTATTCCCCATATTTAGATCTACTGTTACCGCAAATCTTTTTCTTCTTGTCTTGTTCAGTGTAGTCTTATCGGATTCTAAAAGACGAATAGATAGTAAATAAAACAATCAGCTTACCAGTTTATTTTGGTACTGCTGATGAACTGATAATAAGACAAAAAAAGTTAACCGTTCACCTAATATTTTCGGAGTTTTCATCCGCGTTTTGTTTTAAAGGGTTGTAAATAAACTGTTGCCTTGAGTTACAGTTGTAAAATTTATTGTTTGAATCATTGAAATGAAAACGTTCGTAACATAATGATCAAATTAATAAGACTCTAGTGATGGGATTATAACTTCGAATTTGAAATAGATTTTACGTTGGATTCTGGACTTATTTTTATCAGAACTTTTGACGTTTGTGTTTTAACGAAGACCTTGGGTAAAAAAGTTCATTGCATCTTTAATTGTCTTTATTTGTGAGGTTACATACAATATCTGTTTATATCGTTATCTACTGGGGATTTAAAGTGGCCGATAAAATGATTTTACGGAAAAAGTTTAATTTTACGTGACATTTTAATGGAATTTTACCTGTGACTTTTTGCCAACCATTCTCTGTACATAGAAGAGCGAATGGCGTGTTTGGTAAATCACAGACAGTTCCTACAGGCAGACTTTTATCAGGCAGACTTCCAGCAGACTTGACCACAACATCACTAGGCACATCTTGGTTTGATGTTCTGTAGCTCTTCCCAACATCCGTCAAAGGGCCGCTACTCTCATCATAGAGAAGACTACAAAATTCACTCTGTATTCTCTCATCTACCGCACAGGGCTAGAGTCGGCCGTGTGGATAAAAGATTGTCTTTTAACCTGGCATTGGTCTAAAACACCTTAATGAACTAATCTCGTTATGATAAATAGAAACAATTAAATTTGTATTGTTTTTGAGATACATTCACATCTGGATTGTGATTAACAAACGAAAATAAACTTTATTTTCTCTAGTTCTAAGTTAAAATTTTAAACTGCCATCCAAAATTTGACTGCTACGCAGTAACAGAAGTTCGACTTTTACCTTGTTTACATCTTGTAGTTCAGCTTTCAATTTTATAGTCAGGAAGTACAACAACAACAATGTTATTGCGTGGAAATTTCCGAGCATCTTATAATCCCAGCCTAAACCACGAGTTGATTATTGCTTTATGTTGGCAAGATCTTTTCAGACAGCATTCATTCCAGACAGCATCCTCTTCTTCAGACAGTACTAGCTTCGTCAGATTGTGATGGACTCAGACAGCACTGGCTTCAGAGTGTACTGATGGCATAAACCATAAAAATATTGTATACCAAAACCTACAGCTTTAACACTAACATCCTAAAACTTAAATCGTACATCGTACATACATGAAACTTAAGTCCAACATCTTACACCCCAAACTTATATTTAAAGACTTATTTTCTGCATGCATTTAACTACTCACTTTTCTACACCACGAGGATAAAATTATAAAAGACTATATTGTAAGAGAACATTAACATTTTTTCATTACATGACTTTGTGTAAAAAAAGTAAATAACACAAACGCACATTATGTCTATCAGTATAAATACCTTAAGATATCCACTCCCAAGTAAAATGATATTGAATCTTTGAGTGTTGTGAAGTTAACACATTGGAAGCACGGGGTGAAATTGTAAACTGCTTTTGAAACTTGGCTTTATGTACAAGGTCGTTGCATGGTTCAGTAGACATTTGGGTCACAACAACATAAAGCATGTGTTTGTTACATACCATATAGAGGAAAAATAAAAAACTTCCCGGTTGGGTTTTAGCCAATTTTGTCGAATGCATATATATATATATATATATATATATATATATATATATATATATATATATATATATATATATATATATATCTATATATATAAAAAGCAATGTATGTCTGTGTGTGTGTGTCTGTGTGTCCTTTATGCATTACTACACCTCTCATCACATCGCCGTGAAACTTTGGGAAGTTGTTGAAAATATTCCTGGGGAGGTTTCTGCGAAAAAAAAAATTTCAAATTCGCAGGGGTGGCGCCCCGACAGGGCGCGATTTGTTTTTTTCTATATACGGTATATAAAAATAAAAGTTGATTTTGGTTTGGCATCGTTCATCCGATAGCCATGAGACTTTGGGGAGTTCATTATACCACTCTAGGGAAGGGTTCTGTAAAAAAATCATTTTTAATATCGCAAGGGCGGCGCCACGGGAGGGTCCGATTTTTCTCTATATACGGTATATAAAAATAATAAAAGTGAATTACAGTGACACCGTTCACACGATCGCCATGAAACTTTGGGAAGATGTTTAGAATATTCCTGGGGAGGTTTCTGCGCTAAAAACATTTTCAAATTCGCAGGGGTGGCGCCCCGGCAGGGCGCAATTTGTTTTTTTATACCATATATAAAAATAAAAGTAGATTTTTGTTTGACAGCGTTCACCCGATAGCCATGAGACTTTAGGAAGTTGATTAGAACACTCTAGGAAAGTGTTCTGTTAAAAAAATAATTCTTAATTTCGCAAGGGCGCCGCCACGGGAGGGTGCGATTTTCCTCTATATACGGTATATAAAAATAATAAAAGTGAATTGCAGTGACACCGTTCATCCAGTACCCATGAAACTTTGGGGAGTTCATTATAAAACTCTAGGGAAGGGTTCAGTAAAAAATCATTTTTAATTTCGCAAGTGCGGCGCCACGGGCGGGTGCGATTTTTCTCTATTTACGGTATATAAAAATAAAAGTTGATTTTGGTTTGACACGGTTATCCGACAGCCATGAGAATTTGAGGGAGTTGATTGGGACACTCTGGGGAAGGGTTTTGTAAAACAAAAATCATTTTTAATTTCGCAAGGGCGGCGCCACGTGAGGGTGCGTTTTTTCTCTATACACGGTATATAAAAATAATAAAAGTGCATTGCCGTGACACCGTTCACACGATCGCCATAAAACTTTGGGAAGATGTTGAGAATATTCCTGGGGAGGTTTCTGCGCTAAAAACATTTTCAAATTCGCAGGGGTGGCGCCCCGACAGAGCGCGATTTGTTTTTTTTCTGTATATACAGTTTATAAAAATAAAAGTCTATTTCGGTTTCACACCGTTCATTCGTGTACCATGAAACTTTGGGGAGATGATTAGATCACTCAATGGTAGGGTTCTGCAAAAAAAATATTTTTCAATATTGCAAGGGCGGTGCCTCTGGGGGGAGCGATTTTTTTCTCTATACACGGTATATAAAAAATAAAACTCGGATGCGGTTCATCCGAGTGCCATGAAACTTTAAGGAGTAGATGAGAATACTCCCGAGAATATTTCTGCGAAAAAGAAAACTAAAGTTTCTTATGAGCGGCGCCATGTAGGGTACAATTTTCGTCAATACACGGTTTGGCGCCCAGAGTTTTAGAGCGACTATGTTAACACTTGGCATCCGTTAATCGAGCGTCCTGCAAAGCGAGTAAGGGGTACTACTATATTCAGCGGTAAAACAACAACAGGCTTCTAAAAATAACTTTGTAACGCGAGGAAATTCTGTACAGTTTCGTAGATGTAGAGTTTCGTCACTTTGCGAATGATGCAATAAGCATCTATTATAATACGATCCAGGCATAAATTTAGATCGAGTATCTAATAATATACCATTAGTAACGCTATCATATTGCATCAGTCACACTGATGTTTAAAACACGTCAAATAATTTTTTACGTGTTAAAGAAAAAAATTCTGTTCATTTGTGTCACTTTAGCGAATGACGAAATCTGCATCATTGTTTACAGGATGCTATTGGCACGCTAAGTTATCCTATGAGCACGATGGCGCCTGTTAGTTTTAAGGAGCCAGGGGCCGTACGCTGCGCCTATGCGGTAGTGTAATCAGGGGGTGGGGGGCTCCTGAGAGCGCCCCTCTTCGTCCCTGACACATGGGTGGTCACCGAAGTGTGTTCTACCTCATTATTTCGGCGAGTGATTAATGTACACTCAAGGGTTTCATGCGGTAGTGTAGGAAAACCCGTGTCCCAAAAATTATTATCCAAGCGCAGGCATTGTTTACATTTAAATAACACAGTTTTAGAAAAGAAGGACACGCGTCTAAGAACATATAATTGGTAATGCATTGGTGATATCCTTCTAACATATTTCGTCAGACTTTCTTCTATCCCCGCGGCAACGCGCGGGGGGCGGGTACGCTAGTATATATATATATATACATAATATATATTTATCAGAGTTTCTTCCAGGCATTTCTTCGGGGGAGGGGGGGGGGGCAGAGCTCCCACGAACGAGATGGAATTTATAAAGTATACAAACACTTTTACTAGTGTCCGCAACCCCCGAAAAATGTTGACCGCCCCCCCCCCCCCACAACCCCCGAAAAAAGTGATATTTATACATGTATTAAATGTCGGAATATATAAAAGACGCAGTTTTAACCGAAATGTACACAAACACCTACAGTCAATTGTCACGACCACATGCCAGACTTCCCCCCCACCCCCTCCCCCTACCATTATAATCATACTGATGTCACTATTGAATTATATTTATGAAAAGAATGCTAATCTACGTTATCTTTTTTTTACATTCACCCCAAGTTGCTCATCTTGCCTGAATCCCCCCCCCCCCCACCATACACGCACAAAACACCACGGTTGAAGGTTATTCCTCATTTATAGATGACCCAGTATATTCTGTTAACGAAAACAAACTGCCCACATGCTGATACTTTATACTTGAAGCACGGCACTGTCGAAATACGCTACACTAATGCTAGCCAGATACAAATCTGTGAAGCTTTATTCCCTGGCAGGCTCGTATTTTATCACTGTCTAGTGCTGCTGTTGTCACCAGAACCTCTATCGTTTGTGTTGTGACCTTCAGTTTTCTATACGTCGTTTGCAGAATTGTTCACGTTGGCAAATCTATAGACTACGTCACCTATCCCCCTCCTCCGATTTTTAATCCTCCCCCCGTCACAAAGGTCAACCCCCCCTCCCGTCACAAAGGTCAACCCTTCCTCCCGTCACAAAGGTCAATCTCCCCCCCCCCCTTTAAAAAAAGCTTATCCCTAGTTAACACTGATGATGTTGATGGGCAACCCCTTTAAAAGAAGTGCCACTTATCATTGACAACAATCTATTGCCGAGAGAATACATTTTATGAAGGATAATCCAGATAAATAATACTTCGGTTTTGGGGGGATGGGGGGGGGGGTGGTTCTGCACTAGAAATTGAAAGTTCACACCGGGTGCCGGAATGGGTCGCTACGCGTTTGTGTATTACTTATAGCTTTTATTAAAAGAAGATGTTTAAGATGCTAAGTACTTACACCAGTGTTTCTTCCAGACTTTTTTCTCCCGGGGCGAGGGGCACTTAATAATTTCGGGGGGTGGGGAGGCGGACACTGATACAAGAATATATTCTCTGTATAAATTCCATTACGTTCGGGCGGGGGGGGGGGTGGTCGCCTCCCCCCATCCCCGGAGAGTGAGTTACACCATACATAAAACTAATAGAAAGCCCATTTAATTAATATAACTTTACACTCTTTTAAATCAACGTCACGAAATACTGTCATTGAAGGTTTTTTTTATGGTCAAAGGGAAATAACAATAAAAATTATTAATAACTTGATTTTTTTTTCTCACACTTATCTTTTTGTTTAATTTTGCCTATATTTTAAAATGGGCTTTATTACGGTGTAAGGGAAGTAACAATTAAAAAAATTAATTTGCATAATTCACTTTTCCATAATTTATTAAAATAATAATAAAAAATGATATAATAATACACTTTAATCTTTCATTAAAAAGAAGATTTTTTTAAGAAATATATATTAATGAACTTCTATTTACATAGCTCTAAAGAAAAGTTTGAAGATGGGGTTAAATTATTTAAAACGCCATTAATTTTTATATATTTGTTTCATTTATTACTACTACTCGTCTTATTATAAGTGATCGTTCGAGGGCACAAGTGTCAAGATTAAAAATATTTGAAAAATTAATTGACCAGTTATTATTGAAAATTTCCACGGAACTTTATGATAACACTGAAACCTAAACCAGACGGTTCTTTGGAATGTTGAATTGTTAGACCAAACATATTGTACATTAGGGTCCATTTTTAAACCAACCTTTCGTTCAGGTGAAGCCCCCAATAGGTCAGTCAATAATTAATCATGTTCTAGTGGTCAGGTATTAATGAACTGGTAGAAAATTCTACCTGCATATTTGCAGAGAGTGAAAGAAAGTAAAATTCTCTTTTAAACCAGGCGGGGTTTGAAGTAGACTGATATGCATCTTCACGTCAGCCATGTCATGGGATAGTTATGTCAGCATAAACTCAGCCATCGTTACTTGACTTAAGTTGGGTAGTCAGGGGCTTGAGAATTCAACCAATTGATTACAACCAAAGTAGTAAAGATTCCTCTTTAGACCTAGCTATACATTGGGCAGATGAACTAGAGTCCATATGTTTCTTGACTTCGGCATATGAAAGGATGGTGTGGTCAGCACTATGCCTAGCCGCCTTTACTTTCCCCAACATAAGTCAGGTACCCATCAGAGCTGGGAGGACTCAGGAACGTCCTACAGTTCGAACCGAGGTCCGAACTCGAGACCTTCTGGCTAGCAGCCAAAGGGCAATCAAAGTAGGATTAAAGGTAACAAAAGTATATAATAAAAGTAAAACAACCACGCGAGTCTGAAGGTAAGCAAATCTTACTTTGAAAATATTAAAAATAATAGAGTACCAAACGCCAGATAAATTAGAACTAATCTACAGAAAAATCGAGAATGGCTTAGCAAATAGAACTAACCTACAGATAAAGCTAAAATAGTTTACCAAATAGAACTAATATACAGTTAAATCTAAAATCGTTCAGCAATTGTTATTTTTAACTGTTGTGAAAGTTTATTCCTCTCTTATCCCCCCCTCCCCCGCCCCTGCTTTGTGTTAACTTTATCTTTTAAAAAAATGTTAATTAACGTTTAAGTACCATAAAATGTTAACACTGTAAACAAGCTACATATTTTAACGAAGAAACGGAATGTTCTAGGAAACATTCACTATAGACGGCTGTAAATGAGGGAGTCCCATCCTTTTATTACCCCAAAAACTTCAAGCCACCTTATCGAATGTAATAAAACATACAACGACCGCAACAAGGAAGTACCTTCTAGATGTGGGCGTGATAATGCTCTATTCCATGAGATCTGGTTACACCGCATTCTTTGTTAGGTGCCATTCAGCTGCGTATGATCACATTTTGCCAACAGAATATGTGTTATATGCCGGTAGGGTAGACTGTAGACTTATTTTTTCCCCATCTATACAGGTGATCTAAAACATATTGAAGTAACCCCTTATCTAATCAAGACAATGCTAGCAATGTGGTTTAACGCTTCTCGGCTGACTTCCCAGCCAAATAAAAATAAATGAACGCAGTTTATTTAAAACTTTAAGTGAGTTGGTAAAGTTTATATTATAAACAGCATGAAAATGAACTATGTAGATAAAGCTTTATAATGACCACTTTGCCAGTCGAATACAGGCCACGGCATGGGGTCAAAACGTTTTCCCGATCAGATTTTGTGGCAAATCAAACGAATGCCAAAATATCCAGAAAATGCAGCTGGAATCTTTAAAAACTTAGATATGATAAGATAATCTGCTCTCAAGACCATGATGATGTAAGTTTTGACTTAAACACTGGGTGTATATAAAATTTCAATAAGTACTACTAAAGTGAGAGGTATGTGACACTGTATTAAATTAAGTGTTTATTACGAGTGTTTTTAGACAAAACATTTCAATAAAGTGGGTGGGTAAAGTTTATATTAAACACAATATGTGAATCAACTATGTAGATAAAGCTGTATATAACCAGCAAGTATGAACCTGTAGCCTTATGGTGGATTTTTCTGCGTTTTGATGTAGGTTTAACACGAGATTTCGCGATAAAAGCGAGCTACGTTCTAATGCTATGCTACATTGAACACCTGAACTTAATCACGTTCTGCGTGTGAAGTTTGTGCTTTGTGTCGATACCATAAATACGTGTTTGACATATATGTTTTTATGTAACAAGAAACCCCATTAAATATTAAATTATATCCCGTGACTTTTATTTCACATTGAGTATATGTTTCGTTAGTGACGGTCTCTTTGTAAATTAAAATGTGTGTAATATATACGTGAAACAGTAATTTTAAATACATTTTTCATGTTGGCATTATCTACGAGGGAATTATTTAATTTATTATTGCCATCGCCGGGGAATCCCCAGATCTATTTTAATCCTAGATCAAGCTTAGGACATAAGTGCCTAGTATCAGCCCCTGCTTGTTGTAAATAACTGTCAAATTGGGTCCTATATAATACTGAGTCCAAGTAAACACACATATTCTTCCTTACTGTTGCGTTGATGTTCAACTGTTTTTCAGGATTTTAAAAATGTGCTTTGTGTTTCCATAATATGTGATATGAGTGAGAAAATATATTTATACTCTTCAAAGCTTGAACTGCTGTGTAGAAATAGGTTTTTAACGACAATATTTAAAAAAAAATCAAATTAAGTTTTCTGAGTCCTAAAAGGCTAGAGTAAACAGGAGTTTTTGGTGCAAGACAAAATGGTTCCAGCGCCTAAATTAGAGAAAAAGTCGTTGTACACACGGGAATGATGGTAAACAGATTTGCATAACATTTGTATAGCATCGTTGTATAATATAGTAGCAGATTGTATCAAACATCTCATTAGTGTTAATTATCTCTAAAACTAGTATTATGCTTTAGGTCAGGATAATTGCTGTGACCCAATTCTTGCTGGCCACTACCTGCCTGTTTGATGTATATTCGGCGCAGACGATACATAATCAGGGAAAGGTATGGTCTCATTAAAATAAATTAATTACTGGCAACCCTTTTTATTGCATGATCTCTGCAAATGACGGGATAATTTGACTAGTACATGGAATTGTGACTTTAATACACCCATGTGTGTCAGTAGTATTGTCAGAGTAGTAGGGATATTTTCAGAGTGGCAGTGATAGTGTCAGTAAAAGTGTTAGTGATAGTGTCAGTGATAGTGTCAGTGATAGTGTCAGTGTGTCAGTAATAGTGTCAGTGATAATGCTGCTGATTTATAACTTCATTTGACCAAGTCATCTACAAGCAACACAATGAGATATTTTTCAAATGAACTTTAAGAATGTCATGGATCTTATTTACGTTCCACGCTAAAGCACGCAAACAAATACCCATTATCTTTTTGGGCTGGTCGGTGGGAGGGGGCAGAACTTATGTTTCATAATAAAAACTTCCTTAATATTCACAGCTGTAGTTTATTTCCTGGAGTGGGGGCGAAGGGGGGGGGGAATAGAGGCCTTTAGCTCGAACTACCGATGCTATTTATAGATCTCAAAGGCAACAAACTGGTTAGACTCTAATAGTGTTTTTAAAAAATCATGTGCCCTGGTAGGTTAGACTCTAATAGTGTTTTTAAGTTTTTAAAAAATCATGTGACCTGATAATCTAACAGATCCGATAATAAGGACTTGATTGAGATGTGGAGAACATGCTCGGTTAAAATATCAAGACGTTATTAACCAACCATTTCTAATGAATATTTCTATGACCTTGTAATGTTTTGACCCTATTCCCTAGACCGGATGTCAGCCCCACCCAGCGCTAGACCTGGAGCTGTGTCAGCCAAAGGTTGGAGACGTCCAGTCTGGTGACGTCATAGAGGGGTCAGTGTGTCCGCTGGTCAGAGAAGATGGGGTCATTGACCGGATGGTGTGTCAAGATGGGGAGTGGAGGATGGAGGAAGGACACACAGGATGGGGGCTGCAAGGTAGAATGGCGCTGTGATTTGTTTTAAAAATCTCCCATGGACGTATACACACATGCACGCACAATATAAACTTGACGCATGCTGATTTACACACTCCTAAGCCACGCCACTACCTCAACTTCAAGGAAAATCACTTTTTACACACGTAATGCCCCCACCAGACACTTTTAGACACACTTTCATACCCATCTAAGATTTCACTAACAGGTGAATTTACTCCACTTCCACCCCACATTTCACAAAAGCACGTCCATATTCCACCATCTCCACACACGTCCATATTCCACCATCTCTACACCATCGCTGGCAGCAAAAGTAATTAGAGCCAGATCTATTTTTACACACACAATGTCATGTGAGCCTTTTGACGTTGACCCAACAAATGGCTCGTCTTCTGACAACGCACATGCATTTGGCTAAAACATTTTTTGTATGGTAGACGTAGAATACATTTTTCTTCTTTGCGTGTTGTTTTTGCTATGCGCATAAATTGACATTTTGTATTGTATTACACACACTCACAAATGTATCTGTAAATTCTACTTATTATTTTGTCAAGAATGTCGTCCACTGGTCCTACGGTCTGGCCACAACATACTGGACTGTACAGACAACACCTACAAGACAGAGACGACCTGCAGCATCGTCTGTAAACCTGGTCTCACTCTGGTGTCTGGTGTGGTCAACAGCTTCAAGTGTGGCATAGCAAACAGCTACACGTGGTCCCATCAAACGGAATTCAACCCTTCGGCCATCTTGCCTGACTGCTCAGGTAGTTGATTGAACTCTTCGGCCATGTTCTCTGACTTCTAATAAAGTATTTTCGAAAGTTTTATTTTTATGGGGAAACGAAAAGAGAGTTCACCTGTTTATGTGACCTTGGCATATGAAGGGATAGTGTGGTCAGCACTATGCTCAGTCGCCTTTACTTTCCTTAACGTGAGCCATAGGCCCTATCCTATCTGGTACGTTGCTAGATGAGGACAGGGTCGATAGTTGAAGACAACGTACACAGAAGACTACGATCCAGTATAAATAATTCAGAATCAGAATAATACGGCTTTTATTCATTTCATAGTTTAATTGCACTGATAAAATATATAAAGGACACGACTATATCGACGACGACAGACAAAGACATCCACACCTAACACGGTAAGACCAAGAATGATTAAACTCTTTCCCCTAGCAACAAAATCATACTCTTCCACGCCACATCCGTACTTGCTTCGTCACATTCAACATCTCTTATTAATATAAAACATTCCACTACACACATACTCTCATACCCATTCAGTACACTAAAATACCATTCATAACACTATCCTGTTATAACTTCATTAATACTTAGATGATGTAATCTCGTTAACTTAGAACCATTCGAGTGAGTTTAACAACCAGATTATATCTTTCAGAAACAAAGCGACCTTCAACATTTCAACTAGAACTGAAGTTTTCTTACAAAAATATGAGCATGTCATCATTGCAACAGGTGGAAGACATTTTACAAGAAATTCTGGTGGAGAGGGTGGAATGTATTCGTGCTGATATTTGTTCTTACAACATGAGTGTTGCTTGTTCAAATTGTAGTGATGAAAACCTGAGTTTGAGTCAAGGTAGTTACTTGTTTGTTGATAAAGTTAACATATACTTTGGGAATATATGTAAGAAAAAAATTCAATAAATTCACTGCATATTGTTCTAGTAAAATTCTATATTCTGAAAATTGATGTGAAAATATGTTAATATTATGAAAGCTAAGGTAAAGCAATGAAATACGAATGTGTTTCAGATATTAAAACCGTAGATGTTCAGGTGATGTTGGTGGTGATGATGAACTTATCCAGTGATACGGGACCGCCAAAATATTTGAGCTCACTTTCAGGTTTGTCGTCTGCTAGGGCTGGATTGATTAAAACACATTTTTTTCGAAAGTTGAAAGTTTTGTAGCAGAGAAAAATAAAAGTTTTAAAACATACAATCAGTGTCAACCATTTTATAAGGCTAAAGTTGTAAACAAGTGGAATTATTTAAACGAGCTGATCCGCGGCATATCATACGCCGTTATTCTGTTGTTTTGTTTTATACTTTTCCGTAATTCATAATTTGTGAATTTAACACTACCAATGCTGCAACTGAAAATATTTTTCTTTAAAACACTATCAGTAGCTGGTAAAGACGATTATCCTCACCCTTCTCCCCTCCCCATCTGCTCCTAATAGCCGTCACTAATTCGACCCGGCTCTACGATTGTAAACATTTAGTGTTAACCACAGTTCACCAGACAGGTGGGGCTGGGGGTGGTAGCGATATGCCTAAAGAGCGTAGGAGTAACGGCGTGCGTTTACGTGGTGTCTCGCACGGTCCCCATGAAGAGAATTAAATATATAGATAAAAATAAACATTAAATAAATATCGTATTTAAAAGTGAATGTTTGTGTGTGTTCGAATGATGCTGACAAATGTGGTATTGTTGTTCCAGAATCTGAGCGTGTGGTGGAGGTGGCGGCTGCCAGATCTTTGTTTCAACTGACCAACAACACTGAGGCGTTACTTCAGCTGAATGTCAGCCATGTCCAGTACAATGTCTCTGTCATGTCAGCCAAGATGTCAGCCACATGTCAGAATGGTGCTGTACTTGTAGATGGCTTCTGTGGTAAGGTGATTGGTGGATTGTTGTTAGGTTAAATTCTTCGTTCTTCGTTGGAAGGGATCGTGCCTTATCTGCCAGAGGGTTTGAACTCGTGACTTTTTTCGAAATTATCAACCATTTGCTTCTTGCCGACACGACGACGCCACCATCACAATTATACATGTCAACTGGTTATGCGTCTTTGAGGCCATTGACTCCGATTTCAGCCTGCTTTTCTTTTTGGATTTGCTCCAATGGCCTTTGTCCAACCAAGAACAAACTACAAGGCAGCAGTTGTTTGATTTTGGAGCTGTCTCTCCTAGAAGAGTGGCTGTCCCAAGCTAACGAGCCTCATCTGCTCGAGGTATCGAACTCGAGACTTTTCGGTTTAGCAACCATGAGCTTTACCGACTCGACCACGCCGACCCCAGTGTAATAAGTACAGAGTAACCTATTCATTGTTACATGCTAATTGTTAAATGTTATTTTAAAAAATCACTGCCTGTAAAATACACACATCACTACCGCCAGTCAATTTGAATACTTTTTATTTAAATTTTTGTTTCAAGTAAACCATTTGAATAAAACGATTATTAAATTTGTAAAACTCAATCCACAGTGGACTGTCCAGCTGGTACATACTTATCTGGCAACAACACATGTGAAGTGTGTAGTATTGGTTTCTATCAGAACTACACCAGATCGAGTCTATGTAATCTATGTCCAAAATGTACGTAGCTAGTATAAAATAATATGAAAACACAAATCTGTAAGTTGTTATTTTACTGTTATAAATATAATATTCATATAATTTTACCCGAGGTAAAGTAAATAAAGCCGAACATACATATTCCGATCTCAGTTACCTTGCCAACCCTGTTTTGCTTTTCTAGTGCAACCTCCAAACCGTCTCTTTCTATTAACATTTTCTCATCGGGTATGTGGTTCCTTTAAATCGTAGAGCCGAAAAATATTGATCTCAAAAGAGAGTCGAGTTTTCTACTTAAGGTCGGCTATCTCGACCTCAATGCCAATACGAAAAAAATAAAACAATAAAGCGTGAGTGATCTCCCTTAAACTTGCTCGAATATTTTTGTTTTAATTAGATAATCATCTGAAATGAAAAACAAAAGCTTGTTTTTAATTTATTACACACAAGCAGTCTACCGACGACATGACATTCGCGTGAAAAGTCTTGAAAACAAAGGCGTCCCCAAGCAGACGATGTATGCAAATTAATTATAGACTGAAGACGTCAGAATGCATGGCCTGGAGGATAAATGTTATGCAACATATTTGTTTTGATGTTAGAACATCAGACGTTTCTGGTGTGTCGGTAGGATGGCGTGGTGAATTATGTGGTGGAGTGGTCTAGTGAATTTTATGGTAGAGTGATCTAGTGGATTATATGGTGGAATGGTCTAGTGGATTATAAAGTGAAGTGGTCTGGTGGATTATTTGGTGGTAAGGGAATCTAGTTGTAGTGGACGGGTAATTTTTTGTTATACCTCAGATGGTTATCCAACTTTATGATCCACTTTTAGATTCCATCTAGTGCAAATCGAAAACTATTTTCACAATTCGTTCTGTCTTGTTTACTTAAAAAAAAACGTGTTCTTTCAAGTCAAGTTTGTGGTATTACAGTATTTTAAAAAAATTAAAATTCATAAACTCTGTTTTACAAATACATATGATTTAACCTAATTTAGGCCTATATAGTCAAACAGTTAGTAAGTCAAATATTATGTATGTTGGTATTCCCATAGGTACAAATACAACTGGTATGGGTTCATACCAAATGGAGCAGTGTGAAACTGTTGATGGATTTTGTAATCAAGCAAAGTACGCTGCAGGTAAAGAAATAGTTTTTCTCTGTCCTTTCTCTCTTTATATAATACTATATAAATTATATATATATATACGTATATATATATTATCTATATGAATATCAGTGTCGCATAATGTAACATATAGAACACATAATTTTCAGACATGGATGCATGGTCTTTGATTGTCGGTGTAATTTGTGGAGCTGGGACCATGATTATAATCATCGTGGTTGTAACTTTAATTTTAACTAGGTATATATCCAAGACAAGACTAGAATATATATATATATATATATATATATATATATATATATATATATATATATATATATATATATATATGTAAAGCGTGGATAACTTTAGTAACTATTGGATACCTTTACTAATATTTAGGAGGAGACCCATGCTTTTCTTTCTAATTATTTAAATAGTGGTGTAAAATTTATTTTCCACTTTTTAGAGCATAAAAGCTTGTTATTAAAATGTATTTTATGAATTTTGTTTTGAGTACTTTAAAATTTTTAAATTTTCAATAGAGTTGCATGACTAAAAACCATTGCGCACCTAATGAACGCGATGACGCGAGTCTAATAGTGCGGAATAGTATTATGAGACAGCCTACTAATTTGGAAACAATTTTAATTAATTCATAAAAAAATTAATCAGGCAACCAATTTAGTCAAATTTAATGTCATGTTGCATTGTCTTCATGTCTTGACCCACGTGTCAACGTTGAAACAAATCTGTCATTTAGAAGTGTCCAAAATTTCGCTCGGGCGTTTCGATCTAGACAGACTGACGACCGATGACAGAACGACAGAGACAGTGAGTTAAATAGAAGCTTGTAAAAATATTTTTTTTCGCTATTATCATAAATAGTGTTCATCTTGTAACCATAAAATACGCAAATGTTTGATTTCTCTATCCACATAGGAGGAAGAGGAGGAGAAAGTCTACCTTTAACCCCTACGCTATTTCGGATAAATTCTTCGACGAAGATCCTTACGCCACACTTCCGGCTGATAATCCGTATGACGTCATTCCGGACAACCCCACCCAAGAGAAGGACGAAGGGTTTGAAAGTGCCGGCTACATTTGTGCCGTGGACAAGGTGACTGACAGCTGTGACAGTCAGTTCCTGCACAGTGCCAACACTGCCAACTACCTGCTGGTCAACGGTAGGCCTGAGGTCAGGAATGTGGACGATTACTTGAAAGTAGTCGATGCTTTGAATAGTAGGCCTACGTCTAACAGCTTGCCCGATTACTTGCAAATAATCGATGGTGCTAATGATGGACCATTAAACGATACATTGGACGATTACCTACATGTAATCGATGCTGTAAATGACAGGCAAACCGACGATAATTCAAACGGTTCCATGGTCAAACTCAACAGTCTGAAAGATTTGGATGATGCTGTTGGTGATGTATACAATCCACTCTACACAAAAGTTAAACGAGAGTCAGGTACTAAGGTGGGAGGTAACAATGCTGATGTGCATGATATAACACCGGAAGTTGTTTTTGACATGGAGGAACGCCCTCCCGACCTACCCCCCAAACGTCATGTCCTCCCCACAGATCTGACGGACACAAAGGGAGATAACACAGAGACTGGGTCAGATACTGTAGAACATCAAGTCTACAACACAGCCCTGTGATACGTGTAGGGAGATAACACAGAGACTGGGTCAGATACTGTAGAACATCAAGTCTACAACACAGCCCTGTAATACGTATAGCGATGAACTCTAGGGGTCGCCAGTGGTGGTGGGGAAATAAGGCCTAGGCGCACTTGTATCATATCAATACATAGTTTACTATATACAACAATGTACACTTTAATAATGAAATAATTCACCATTACATTTTTTATAAACTATTTTTCGTTTATTTATAGGCCTACAGATCTTTTTTCAACTTTTAGTACCATTGTTTAAAATAAAGTGACAATGAGAAGTGTCATCTGATTGTGTTTGTTTTTATTTTCAAACAGTCTTTGATTTTCAGACCGACATAAGGCGATATGATTTTTTTTTTACATTCAAGCCTTGGTGTTCAAGAACTAACTAAGATTATGAAGCATCTCTTTGGAATCATGTCAAAGATAAATAAACGAACCATTTTCTAAGTGTGTTATGCACAATTATATTGTTTTGTGTAGCCTAGATCACGTGATTGTGGCTAGGGACCAGAATAGTTTAACCGAAAAAACACATATTTGAAGTAGACACAACAAATAATTTTAACCTAATTTTGACAGATAGTTATAATTTCCTGATCTCTAGATTAATTTTTTACTAAAGCCTGGATTGAAAACTATAGCGCAGATGTTCTGATTTAAAGAAATAGTCAAACAAAAATACAAACCTGTAAACAATATCGAGTTCTAACAGAACACACACACACACACACACACACACACACATATATATATATATATATATATATATATGGGTAATCAATAATTACTCAATTAAACTATATTATTTTAACACACCAAGTGATTGATACAATAATAACATTCATTGACCTCGAGTTGTCCCTGTACATTGATTGATTAAACATTGATTCTGTTATCGAGTATGAGTCTTGTAAGAAAATCAATAACTAATCGATTTTCGTTTAGATTGATTGTTGAATTGACAAGACGATAAACATGTTTATGTTTTTTTTAATGTCTTTTACAATGAAAAGAATATTTAATATTAATTTATATCTCTATTATTTGTAATATTTTATTATCTTAGTTGGATTCTTTTACTAATAGTTATGTTTGAATATTAAAAGGTTTTGGTGTTTCAATATTCTTAAATTTAGGTTTTAAATTGAAAACTTCTAAAAAAAAGATTTTTTTCTGTTTGCAATTAGTTTTCATTTCAGACATTAGAGAAGTGCTATTTTTAGATAAACGTTATACAGTCTATATAAAAGTAAAATGCTCTTTCGAATCTGTCGATCCATTGGCTAGATGAGGTAGAATTCATCTGTGTCTGTGACCTCCGCATGTAGATGGATAGTCTAACGGCAGCTACCAGTGTTTCTTCCAGATTTTTTTTTCTCCGGGGGGCACTTGAAATTTTCGGGGGGGGGGGGGGGGGGCGGTAAACTTTCTTCGGGGGGTGGGGGGGGGGGCGGACACTGTTAAAAGTATTTATTTTCTATATAAATTATATACATTTCATTTCGTTCGGGGGGGGGGGGGATGGGGCGGTAAAAATTTTTCGGAGGGCCGAATAGATGCCTGGAAGAAACTCTGGCAGCTACTGTGTAATGTAGAAATATGTGTGTCAACCCCCCCCCCCCCTCCAAATCATGTTACCCTGTTCTGTCCGCGTACCCCGCCTCACAACGCCTCTGACTGAGTCTACTGAGTAAAGGATTAATATTAACTACACATAGGGTTGGGTAGACGGTGAGGGGGGGGGGGGTAGCATAATAAATATATTTGGCATACAAAAATACGTGTAAACATGTACACACAGTACATGATTTCTAATCAATACAGCACGACCTTGAAATTGTTCAGCAAAGCGTAGCAGGACATTGGCACGTAGTGTGGAAGACAAGATAATATCTGCTGAAATCAATACTTTTAGGGTAAACAATCCGTGGAGGTAGTGTCTTGATATATATTAGCTTGATCGTAGCAGTTAAGTTGAATTAATCATCAATAAAAATTTGGAATCAGCAATGCTTTTGATGAAATGTGCGACAGTTTCTAGAGTAGGATATTTACAAAAAGGTTATTAGCCGTCAAGAAGATAGGAACAGTCTATGATTCTGTATGATATACCAGGCCAATCCACGGTAAGGCATTCGCTGCTTGTCCAATGTTTCTTGTTATGGTGTATTTTTTATTTTGTTTATGTTGGCGTGTGTTTGTGATTGACACTTTGTACATGAATATTTGGTATGTGGTCCAGTATGTCTGGTGTTTCATGATTTTGTATTTTATCTTTTCGTGCTTTGCAATTTTTTTGTTTATTAAGAGCTTAGATGGATTGCTAACCCGTAAGTCTCGATTACGAATCCGGGTTCAAGTCAGTAGACCGTCCCTGAGTCCACCCAACACTGAAGGGTACCTAACTCACGTTAGGGAGAGTAAAGGCGGCTGGGCATAGTGCTGACCACACTATCTCTTCATATGTCGAGGTCACAGAAACAAGTGAACTCTACTTCACTTGCCCCATAGACCGTCAGGTTTGAAAGGGAACTTTTTAAGAGCTTAACAACATGACAACATATTAACATAGCAACGTAACTATTACACAACAATAACATAACAATAAACGATTTAAATATATATTTTTTAAACATAACAAAACAACGCTATAATAGTATACACGGTTTAAATATAGAGCAGCATAGCGGAATAGCGGCATGATATGTAATGACATGACACGACATCGCATGGCATGGCATGGCATGGCATGGCATGGCATGACACGACACGACACGACACGACACAACACGACAGGACACGACACAAAACAACATGGCATGGTATGACATGACATGACACGACACGACACGACACGACACGACACGACACGACACGACATGACATGACATGACATGACATGACATGCCATGACATGACATGACATGACATGACATGACATGACATGACATGACATGACACGACACAACACGACAGGACACGACACAACACGACATGACATGACATGACATGACAGCGGCATAGCCTACCCTGAAACTAAACTCTCTCTCATTCCTTCCTCCCCCCCCCCCCCCCCACCCTCCAGCAATAAACATACCTCCCACGGTGAATATACATATATCGCTGGTGCATTCAGCCGTATCGTTTCTCAAATATCAAATCTATACTCCAACGCACGATTCGGTTGTCTTTTTTTTATTAGTCAACGAAATCACGATTGAAGAAACAGCGAACTCCGTGCTTTAACTGGCTCGTTATGATAATTAAAACATTATGTACCCTAACCATTACAAGGTCTACAGGTCGTTGTCAAAACAGTTAAGGCTATTACAAGAGAACACGTTCAGTATGTCAAATACTGGAAGACTAGAACATGTATATGTTATAGATTCCATATATTATGGGAGATATCCAATCTCTTCTAATATTTATCTGTGTACTACAGTGTTTATTGTGCTTAATAACATTGAAAACCCTTTAAACCTATACAGGAAATTTAAATCAGCGACAACAATAAAACTCAGAAACATTAATATTTACAATTATGCTAAACGCAGAGAGATCAATATTTGCAACAAAACAAAACCATTAATATAAATAATTAAAACGTAAGTCATCACTATTATACATACATATTTTTACTTTCAGTTTTTACATAGAAATTGAGCAACCCATGGAGAAGAACTAGATATTATTTAACAAGATGGATGCAACTAAGGAAACCCAAGTGGCTAGAAACTACCAAACAATCATTGTAAATAATCAGTATTATTTTTTTAATAAATGTAAATATTAGCAACAGCTAACGAGTTCTAAAGTTTGAACCCTCGGGCAGATGGGGCTGGGGAGAGCAATCCATCTAGGAGAGACAACTCCTGATCAAACAGGAGTCTAGCGATAGGATTACCAACTCTGGTTTCCTTTTGGTAGCTCCTACAACAAAGCTGATTCCAAGTTGTACAGGTAAAGTCCTGTCCCTTGGGTCCATCAGCTGTGTGGAGAGATGGGGCACGATACATGTGCAACATCTGGCTCTTAACAATTTAGGGTTCTGGCGTTGTGCTTGGATTTCCAATGCGCAATCACCAATTGAGCAATATTTAAAAATATATATATTAACAGATATTTTTATTTTTTATAAATATGTAATCTTAATTTTTTTAAAGATTTTTTTTTTAAAATATAGGACAAGGTTATTTGCTGTAGTAACAAATTATTTTTTTAAAAATTCAATTGTGTAAATAGAACAACATCCCTGCGGCCTCAGTACAGCACAAGTTTTTGAATGTTTTGTTCTTTGGACCACCTGGACAAGGGAAAACCTCCACCATCAACTACCTACTCGACCAGTCCTCTCTGGCCGTGTCTGTGGACGATGAGATCCAGACCACCAACGTCCAGACAGCTTCTGGAAGGTTCCGCGACTATTATGTAAAATGCGTTGACTTCCCTGGGGTGCGAGGGAACCCAGCTGAAGAAGACATTTTGGTGAAACACACGGAACATTTGGAGCGGGTTTGTCGTAGTTGCCCAAAGGGGATTCATGCAGTCGCGATTGTTCTAAAATTTGGGAATCGGTTCTATGAGGAAGATGAGTACTCCCTGCAGATGTTGAAGGAATTATTCGGCGAGAGTTACCTGGAGACCCACGGCACATGCATCGTAACTCACGGCGATGTGTTCGAGGCAAACATGCGTCGTAGTCCCGCCCCCAAGAGTTTCAGTCAGTGGTGTCAGGATCAGAAAGGCGTTTGGGAGAAATTTTTCAAAGCCTGCAACTACAATTGTGTGATGTTGGATAATTTGTCGGACGAGGTGTCAGTCAAGCAGGCTAAAGTTCAAGAGCTGCTTGCCGCATCTACGATTGGGTGGAACCAACCTGCCAAGTCAATTTGTGAGTGGAATAAATTTGCAATATATATATATATATATATATATATATATATATATATATATATATATATATATATATATATATATATACAGAGAGAGAGAGAGACAGAGAGGCAGAGACAGAGAGAGGGATGATTGTACATACTTAAACGTCGTTTCAGTTCAGTTCAGTTTCAATGAGCTTAGCTGCCTTAATGCATCACCCTAGATCTCCAGCTTTTAGCATCACATAATAACTCCAAATTAAACCAGCACCTTATACCTCCACATTCTAGCTCCACAGCTCCGAGCTTTAGCGGACATGCACCTGTTGGTTGAGGTGGGCTCGAGCGAAGAGTCCTACAGGAAACAGCTGACCTTCCTGGTCCGGTACCTCCAGGACTTTGATCCCCGCTACACCAGCATCATGATCACTGGGAGAAACAAAACTCACTTCTACTGCTTCAAAACGTTCGACAATCACGCCGAACTACAGGCGGTAGGAAACATATGTGTAATGTATGTTCAATGTGTACACCCATAGGTCTAAATATTTAAGCCATTTAAGCGATTTGATATGTTCGCCTCGTTGTTGAATTTCTAAGACAAAATTAATGTATACTTAAAATTGCTTGGTGATAGTAAATACCAAAAGAAAAATGACAACCGATTTTAACAAAATTATAATCTGATCGCAAAATTAATAGTTAATATAAAATAGTTTTTAGGATTAAAATAAATTAAATTGAACTTCAACCCAAGACCTGACAACAACATAGAATGTAAATGATTACAAAAATACCAGACAGATACAAGACATAATCATATATGATAGGTATGCAAAAATAACATTACAAAACATGTTCTACTGATGCGAACAAACAAAATGTATTTTTTTAATTTCATGCAGACGCTTTAGGTTGTAGCATCATAATTTGTAGTGTCTGGCTTTACCTAGCTGTACTTATATATGTTACGGTCAAAGCTCGAAGTCGGCCAAAGCACGGATTGGCCGGCCAATGCGCGCATTGGCCAATATTGCCTCTCATTGACCGGTCAAAGTCCGAAACGTCACTTGATTTCGGCCTCTGGCCGGTCAATCCGCGGGCTGGCCAATGTGGACTGGCCAAAGTTTGAAATGGCTCTTGATTTCGAGCTTTGGCCGGCCAGTCCGATTTAGAATATTATCTGGCTAGTGACGACAGGTCAAAGTGCGAATTAGAAGATCATGTGCAGATTTTGGTTTTTTAATGCGCACATTGACCGGCCAATGCGCGCTTTGGTCGCACTTCGGGCTTTGACCGTAACATATACATTTATATAAAGCTGTACTTACATATAATTTGTGTAGCTTTATGTAACCTTATAGAAAGACAGGTAACTCATAAAATAGAATATTATTGTAACACAGAGAGTATATTGTGATAAATGTTCTGTCTCTACATACTTTATACAACACAAAGTATGGGATAAATGTTCTGTCTCTACAGACCTTACACAGTACTGAGTATCTCGAACCATGTCGAACAACAGAAAAGTCCCTTCTCATCCTGAGAAAGGAATCTTTTGGCGCCAGAGCTGGGATGAGACCTGACGTGAAGCAGGTGGCGCTGATGCTGACAGAAGGGCGAACGGAAGACGAGGCGAAGCTGGCGAGAGAGTCTGAGAATCTGAGACACACAGGAGCAAAGCTGATGGTGGTGGGTGTCTCCTGCACGGACAGGCATCTGCTGGAGATGATCGCAGCGGATCCTGAGGATGTCTTCATGGCCGAGGACTACGAGGAGCTTCAAGCTTTTCCAGGGATAATAAAACACAGAACGTGCGAACTGGGTAGTAAAATATATAATTAACCATCTTTTTAAAGTTAGTGTCCAAGACAGATGACGTAGAGTTCGTCTGTTTCTATTACGTCGACATACACGGATTATAGTATGGTCAGCACAATGCACAGCAGCCTTTCTTTCCGTAAAGTGATTCCGGTACCCATCAGAGCTGAATCAGTTTACGGATCCGAACACGAGACTTTTGAGTTAGCAGTCGCAAGCTCTACCGATCACCTAAAATATAATATGATTAAGATACAACACATATGTTTACAGGCCCTGCACTGGCCTCTGTTAAAAAACCTATCTGTAAAGGACCATGACATGTGTTTAGTAATCGGCATAAACCCGGCAATATTCACCCTAACCACAATCAACCAAAATCAAAACACAAAAAACGCAAACATAACGCAAACACAAGTAGAAACACGAACGCAAACACAAACACAAGAACAAATACAAACACAAACATAAGCCCAAACACAAACACAAATACAAAGAAAACACAAACAAAAAAAAAGCAAACGAAAACAAAACAAATCCAGCCGTAACCCAACGACAAATGCAAACCCAACCCAAACACATAGAAAACATAAACGGAAACATAAACGCAAAGTGCTCAAAGTCTACCCCAGGGCGCTAAATCGCACCATGTCGGGGCGGCGGCGGAACCGTCTGTTTCAGCTTAATAAACGACTATATTACCCCAACTTTTTCATAGTCTTCTGCCCTCACTTAAACGAACGTAGGCGCAAAAAGCGAACATGGAAACGCACGGATTTGATTCACTTAAAGACTATATTAACCTTTCTTATCCAATTGTTTTTTCGGTAGTAAAACTTTGCACTGCTAACTGTACTGTTCAAATGTCAAATTTGTTTAAAATGTCTGCTTAAAAAAAGGTACGCACTATAGTGACGTAAAAAAAGTCAACGTTCAGCATGTTTGATGCGATCGACAAAAAACGAATTCCCCTTCGTACGCAAAAAAAGGACAGACAAAAACGAATGCGATAATAAACCGGGAGTGATCTCCCCTAAACTTTCTCGAATATTCTTATATAAAATAACAGGGGATGGGAACTCGGGCTATAGACATGATTTTTAATCCATTTAAAATACTTAAAGTTTTAAAAATAGAATAAAATCTCGTAGACAAATTAATTGCACACCAAGTGAACGCGAATAAAAAAGCGCATAATAGTGCGCAATATTATTAGTACTTTTAAAATTTACATTAGTTTTTTGAGAAATCGGAAGTAGCGTAAATAAGTACTTCCGGTCAACGAAAAATTCTCAAAATTTGACAGAAGGTAGAGAATTAGATCTTTTACTTACATATCAAATTTCATCTATCTATCTGAAATAGTACTCAAGTTATAGGCTTTTGAAAAATTCAAAGTAGAAAAAGTACCACTTCCGGTTATCCGAAATCGCTCAAAAGTTGATACGGATCTACGATTTTGATAAAATACTTGTATATGAAATTTCATCAACCTAGCTGTAACGGTACTCAAGTTATCGTGTTTACACACGGACACACACACACACACACACACACAGACACACAGACATACGGACAAGATTGCAAAATTATGTTTTTCCGTATCAGTGAGATGTAAAACGTCGAGATTTGCAAAAATCTCGATTTTTTTTTTTGCACGATTACAAGACTTTCTCTATACTTCGTATATACGAGAAAGTAAAAAAAAAGACACAAACAATAACCTGCGGGAATTCCCGTTCCCGAATAAAGATGTATTTGTTACTTCAACTGTCTTTGATTAAAAATAATTAAATAAAACAGTACTTTCATTGTATAAAATAAATAAATGGCATTATTTAAAATACCTACCACGCTTATTATGTAATTTATTTTCTCCAACACCAAAACACAGTAATACAATGTACATTTTTCCTCCCGATGTAATGTTTTTTTTATAAAGGGAAGTAATTGTGTTTTCCTAATTTATCAAGGGATGTAAGGATTGCTAAAGAAGTAAATGTAATAATTAGGGATTTTGTGAAAGGTGATACATTTTTAAAAATTTTGTTAGATAAAATACCAACAATTATTACCACAAGTTTTAAAAAATGAAAATTATTTTACAACATCTTCAATAATATTTTTTTTTAAATCATGAATTTAGACGATAAGCACTTTAGACTTTGGAATCCTCGTTCCGTCCGCCCGCCACAGAATTGAACTTTACATTTTAGATATAGTGTTCTAGAATATACGCCACATTTTAAACAAAATATTTATATTATTAAAAACTACTTTTGTTAAAGCTAACTATAACATATATTCTGTTTACAACTAAAACATTACTATCCATATAATGTGTGTTTAACAGTTTACATTTAATCATGTGATTTACTGTTTGTTCACATGTAGCCCCAAAGTTTCAATGCGCTGCAGATATTCTCATCATGATCGACGCCTCTAGCAGCATAGGGTCAGTGGACTACAAGAAAGAATTGGACTTTGTGATCAAACTGACAGAGACCTTTAACCTTGGCCCCACAGCGGCCACCTTTAGCGTCATCGTGTTCTCCTCGTTCCCGAAGATTATCTCTAGCTTCGACATTACATCTCACACTGGAATCAAAGAGGTCGGGTTACATTTGTTTAGTCTATTTATCGATTCCGTTGTTTCATAATTACCAAACTAACATTATTTAGTGTGCTAATTTAATAGCTATTTATCGTCTGTTTTAAAAAATAGTTTTATATTAATGATTGTTGAAAGGAATGTGTGTGCATGTTCCAAAATCGTTGTGTAATTTTATAAAAAAATAAAAAAAAAGTTATTTTTTCTTAGGGTGGGAAGGGGGGGGGGGGGGGTGGGAGGGTGTTGCTCCTCCAAACCGTAGGCCTATTCTTCAAATTATATTTGAGAAGGACTATGGAAAATGATTTTCGTTGCGTTGCAGATTGTTTCCGAAGCCCCTTACCAAAGCCAGTCGACAGATACGGCAGCGGCACTGCGGATGGCCAGAACTAAAGCGTTCACCCCCAGTAACTGTGTACGGCAAGACGCCAAGAAAATCGTATTTGTGCTCACCGACGGCGAATCAAATAATCCGGACGAGACAGCAGAGGAAGCAGAGCTGCTGAAGCAAACGGGGACAATGGTTATGGCAGTAGGCGTGGCTGGTGCGAAAATAGAGGAGCTGAAAAAGATCGCTTCGTTTCCAGAAAATGTGTACTACGTGAGCAGTTTCGACCTTCTACAGAATCTGCTGGAAGAAGTGGCAGGTGCTTTGTGCAAGCTAGGTAAGGGAAGTTCTCTCTGTCTGCTAAGTCAACGAACCCGATTCTTTATGTTAATTTCAATTTAGCGAATCACGAGCTAAACACTATTATACAAATAGCTTTAAAATTATAATTACAATTGTAAATATATGGCATAACTAAGGTCAGATATATTTACTACATACACTTTACGTTAAAGAAACCAAGGAAAACTACACATAAAACTTTATTTCTGCAACTAACATCTGATTGATTTGGTAGACTTCCGAGCAAACAAACTTCACAATGTGTCGCCGTATTGTCCACATAATCTGAGACTATCACTTCCCACTGTGTATATCTGTATCCGTATTGTCCACAGAACGAATGATTGACGAGCAGCGACGACTGGAACGAGAGCTAGAACTGGCGAGACTGGCAGAGGAGCAGCGTTTGGCAACGCTGAAGAAAAAAGAGGAAGATAGGAAAATTGTTGATGATTTGATTGTAAGTTTTTTTTTTTATAACAATCAAAATTCGCAAATAAAGTATGAAGTATGGTTGCGTGAAATATCTATACAACATTTTGCAAACGTATTTGGGAAATTATACTTGTCCATATACTAATTAGAAAATGTATTGGTGCTTACAAAATTCTCACCAAGGGCGCAAACTTTAAAAAGTTCGGCCCCAAATTAAATAATAGCAAAAGCAGGCTAGATGGGTCAGCACCTACTACTACTACTACATAATTCTTTTTACTTATACTAAACACATTTATTTAACAATGCTAGGAAAACCTGCTAGCGACATCACTGAAACAAGACGACATTAACTTGCTTTTTGTTGGACCTTCTGGAAGTGGAAAAAGTCACTGCTCTAACGCCATCTTGGGCAGCAGCTTAAAATCTCAGCACTTCACGACTCAGACGTCATCAGTGAACGTCTGCACCTCTCGTTATGAAAAGTATGACGTCAAAATAGTCGAGTGCAACATCGCGTCTGGTCTAGACATTGATTGCGCATGCGCTGATGTTCTGCCACAGGTTCTGAAAAGTTGTCCTAAAGGAATACACGTACCAGTCCTCGTTTTGCGTCTAGAGCAGTCTGTTATTCAAACCAGTGCAGATTTTGAGATGCAAATTCTTAAGCGATCTTTTGGTGATGAATACCTTGAAAAGTACGGAGTTTGCATTGTGTCAAGCAGCGATGGCTCTGGACCATTAGCAAGTGGTTTTGATGAATGGTGCCGTCAACAAAATGATGCAGCCAAGAACATTTTTGAAGCATTCAACTACAGATGTGTCTACTTCTGTGACGGGAACAAGGGCCAACAAGTTCCAGAGTTTATGTCTCGTGTCATGTCTGGCTGGCCTCAACCTACAAACACCGTCTCTGTCAGTGAGTATCATTCGAATTAACAAAACAGCCTCGCTTTACCCTGTTATTGTTATAACAGCTGAAGACATATAATTAACGAACTATGATTAAAAAATTCAACGAATACATATTTTTGGAGGGTAGCATCTAATATTATGAATCAGCTCGAACAAAATATTCTACGGCAAAATGTCAGGTTCAACTAGAAATAAAGTTAGAAGAAGAATTGCGATTACAAAACGTTTTAGTCTTATACGCGTAAGAAAACATATTTTTCTTAATGAATAATTAGGAATGTAAAAGGTAAACATTATATTGGTAAAAAATTCCTTGTAGACAGCTACATGTATCAACATATCCTCCAACATTTCTCCTGTCTTTAGTAGACCCAGAGACGAGAGTCTATGCCGAGATGAACGTGGTTGTACAGTCGGCCAGTTCTGCTGAAGCCTTCCACATGCAGATGCAGTTTGTGAGCCAATACACTGGGGACTACAGTGGGTCAGAGGTCAAGGCCTGTGTTACTGTCGTTGGCCAGAGCCAGCACGCAAGAATAGGAGCAATTGAGTTCGAAACCCACCAGGAATTTGAAAGAGTGAGTTCATTTTTAAATAAACACCAGAGAAGGTATTTTATATTATAAAAATAAAAGTTTGAGTTGCATGAGAAACTATGTCAGTATATGTTTAGATTAAAGCTTATATTTTAATAACATTAAGATAAAGTGTGCTTATCTTTTACTATACAGATTAAATGGACTCTGTTTATCTGTATGTTTCGCATTTGTGGTAGATTCTCATATACTAAATTTGTTGACATAAATTAAAATTGATTTCTAGAAAATTTAATGTCAATCATTTCTAAAAGAAGTCTAAATACGCTGCAGGGAATCAATGTGTTTATTAAAAACTTACTCAGTGGCACCTTCACGATGACCACAGATTATATTTATTGTATTGTGGTAATTATAGATAAATGTGAAAGCTTAGATTCTTGAAAGTAATGATCTGCATTTGTTTTCATGATAAATAAAAAGATTTAACACTGGCGGGCGTCGTTTTGTGAAGATACACCGCTGACTTTGGTTTAGGTAATACAGTGAAAGACAAATGTTTTTAATCTGAACACGCCAAATAAAATAGTTTATAGATGTTTACATATAAAGTCCAGGAAACGACATTTATATCCAGAATTATTAAAGATTAACGTAATGTAGGTCTGCGTTGAAAGTTAGTTTGGTTAATTTAGTTTTGTGTTACATCAAATGTATGTGTGCTTGGTAGATTAACAATTTCGGACCTAGAACTAGATAAGTCTTATTATTACAAACCAGATTGGTAGAGAGTTCCTCAACAACTAATCAATTATTGCAACGTAGTCTAAAATATATTTACTTATATGATTTTACATAATTTAGTTTCCAAATGTTATAGTGCAGAATGGAACCTTGCACAATTAAAAATAGTCTAGAACTTAATGTACTAAAATATCTCTGTACTCCTATTTTATTGTAAGCCTTTGCCTAAACATTCCGTAATTTTTCTTTCTTTTATTTTCTCAAGCTTACTCGAATGCTATAAATAAGATGTTAAAAACCACTAAAAAATAAATAAATGTCTAAATGAAATATTGACTTTGAATACAGACAATTAAAGGACATTATTCTTTCAAATGCTGATTTGTTTTCGAACAGGCACTAATGAGCACACCTTTTCTTGGACACTGTCCAGGGCTACACCGAGCTCTTGAGGCAGCAAAGAAGGAATCCATCGCTGCTTCTAAAGATAGACCGGAAGTAAAAAAGATGGCGGTCGTCCTCAACAACGGAGACTACGACGACGAAGACGAGGCTGTAGAGGAGGCGGCAGAGCTGAAGAAAGTGGTTTCTGAGGTGATGGTGGTCTCCGTGGGTAGCACCAACCAGAGAAAGCTAGAGAAGATAGCGTCGAGTCCTGACAGTGTGTTTATTGCAGCAGACGAGACGGAGTTGATTCACAAATGTACTGAGCAAGTCAAACACAGGACTTGTGAGATAGGTAGGGCATGGGCGGGGCTATAAAATATATGAAGAAACATAGGTAGAGCAGATACTTTAGGGTGTAGAGGAGCGTAAGAAATAGACTTGACATGGAAGATTATTGCCTTTCTAATTCAAGATAAACTGTTATTGGATAATGAAACCAGAAATTGTTTTGTCATTTCTCCGTTAAGAGGGTGAGGCGGGCAATGTTAGGACGAGCATGTAAAAATATATATGCTATATAGTGTCTGTCCCCTAGAAAATGTGTGTGCACTACCCCAGTTGTTTCAAGTGTCCTTTCCCAGGAATAAAGTATGCATGAAATCCTGATTAAAGAAGATACATAAGTAGACTCACTTTACTACACCCTTATCTATCTTAGAGTTGAGTTTAGCTGAGAAATCGCAAACTTCACACCTTATAGTGAATTAAGAGATTTTTAGACTTCAAATTATATATTTAACCTGTGTTGTCCACAGAGCTAAAGATTGAGGAGCAGAGACTGGCAATGCTGAAGAAAAAAGAGGAAGATAGAATAATGGTTGACAGCTTAATTGTAAGCGGTCCAATTCATTATTAAAGTCAAACTAATTAACAGTATAACAACTATTTTCCCCATTTACTCATAACAAAAGTCGCATATTCATTTACTTATGCTACTGTAAAAAACAATTTGTTTTAAATGTAAACATCACATTTATCTCTTGCAATACTAGGAAAACCTGCTAGCGACATCCATGAAACAAGACGACATTAACATGCTTTTTGTTGGACCTTCTGGAAGTGGAAAAAGTCACTGCTCCAACGCCATCTTGGGCAGCAGTTTAAAATGTCACCACATCACGACTCAGACGTCATCAGTGAACGTCTGCAGTTCAAAATATGAAAAGTATGACGTCAAAATAGTCGAGTGCAACATTGCGTCTGGTCTAGACATTGATTGCGCATGCGTTGATGTTCTGCCACACGTTCTGAAAAGTTGTCCTAAAGGAATACACGTCCCAGTCATCGTTTTGCGTCTAGAGCAGTCTGTTATACAAACCAGTGCAGATTTTGAGATGCAAGTTCTTAAGAGATGTTTTGGTGATGAATACCTTGAAAAGTACGGAGTTTGCATTGTGTCAAGCAGCGATGGCTCTGGACCATTAGCAAATGGTTTTGACGAATGGTGCCGTCAACAAAACGATGCAGCCAAGAGAATTTTTGAAGCATTCAACTACAGATGTGTCTACTTCTGTGACGTGAACAAGGGCCAACAAGTTCCAGAGTTTATGTCTCGTGTCTTGTCTTGCTGGCCTCAACCTACAAACACAGTATCTGTCAGTGAGTATCATTCAAACACAGTCTCTGTCAGTGAGTATCATTCGAATTAACAAAACAGCCTCGCTTTACCCTGTTATTGTTATAACAGCTGAAGACATAATTAACGAATCATGATTTAAAAATTCAACGAATACATCTTTTTAGAGTGTAGCATCTAATATTACGAATCAGCTCGAACAAGATATTCTACGACAAAATGTCATGTTCAACTAAAAATAATTTTAGAAGAAAAATTGCGATTACAAAATGTTTTAGGTTTTTTACGCATTATAAAGCATATTTTTCTTAATAAATAATTAGGAATATAAAAGGTAACAAATTTTTTGGTAAAAAATTCCTAGTAGACAGCTACATGTATCAACATATCCTCTAACATTTTTCCTGTCTTTAGTAGACCCAGAGACGAGAGTCTATGCCGAGATGAACGTGGTTGTACAGTCGGCCAGTTCTGCTGAAGCCTTCCACATGCAGATGCAGTTTGTGAGCCAATACACTGGGGACTACAGCGGGTCAGAGGTCAAGGCCTGTGTGACTGTCGTTGGCCAGAGCCAGCACACACGAATCGGAGCAATTGAGTTCGAAACCCACCAGGAATTTGAAAGGGTGAGTTTATTTTTAAATAAACTCAAGAGAAGAAATTTTATATCATAAAAATAAAAGTTTGAGTTGAAAGAGAAACTATGTCAGTATATGTTTAGATTAAAGCTTATATTTCAAAATCCTTTAGACAATGTGTGTTTATCATTAATATACAGATTAAATGGAGTCTGTTTATCTGTATGTTGCGCATTTGTGGTAGATTCTTATGTACTAAATTCGTTGACATAAATTAAAATGAATTTCTTGAAAATTCAATGTTAATCATGTCTAAAAGAAGTCTAAATACGCTGCACGGAAACAAGGTGTTTATTGAAAACTTACTCAGTAGCACCTTCACTATGACTACAGATTATATTTATCGTATTGTGGTAATTATAGCTAAGTGTAAAAGCTTAGATTCTTGAAGGCGATGGTCAGCATTTGTTTCCATGATAAATAAAAGATTCAACACTGGCGGACGTCGTTTTGTGAAGATACACCGCTGACTTTGGTTTAGGTAATACAGTGAAAGACGAATATTATTATTTCAAGACGCTAAATAAAATAGTTTATATATGTTTACGTATGAAGTTCAGAAAACGTCATTAATATCCAGGATTATTAAAGATTAACGTAATATAGGTCTGCGTTGAAAGTTAGTTTGGTTAATTTAGTTTTGCGTTACATCAAATGTATGCGTGATTGTTAGATTAATAATTTCGGACCTAGTCCTCGTAAGTCTTCGGTAAGTCTTATTATTACAAAACATATTGGTAGTGAGTTCCTCAACAGCTAAGTAAGTATGGCGACGTAGTCTAAAACATATTTATTTATATGATTTTACATAATTTAGTTTTCAAAAGTTGTAGTGCAAAATGGAACCTTGCACAATTAAAAATAGTCTAGAACTTAATGTACTAAAATATCTCTGTACTCCTATTTTATTGTAAGCCTTTGCCAAAACATTCCGTAATTTTTCTTTCTTTTATTTTCTCAAGCTTACTCGAATGCTATAAATAAGATGTTCAAAAAACCACTAAAAATAAATAAATGTCTAAATGAAATATTGACTTTGAATACAGACAATTAAAGGACATTATTCTTTCAAATGCTAATTTGTTTTCAAACAGGCACTAATGAGCACGCCGTTTCTTGGACACTGCCCAGGGCTACACCGAGCTCTTGAGGCAGCAAAGATTGAATCCATTGCAGCTTCTAAAGATAGACCGGAAGTGAAAAAAATGGCGATCGTCCTCAACAACGGAGACTACGACGACGAAGACGAGGCTGTAGAGGAGGCGACAGAGCTGAAGAAAGTGGTTTCTGAGGTGATGGTGGTCTCCGTGGGTAGCACCAACCAGAGAAAGCTAGAGAAGATAGCGTCGAGTCCTGACAGTGTGTTTATTGCAGCAGACGAGACGGAGTTGATTCACAAATGTACTGAGCAGGTCAAACAAAGGACTTGTGAGATAGGTAGGGCATGGGCGGGGCTATAAAATATATGAAGAAACATAGGTAGAGCAGATACTTTAGGGTGTAGAGGAGCTAGTCAGAGCTAGTCAGAAATAGACATGACATGGAAGATTATCGCCTTTCTAATTCAATAAAGACAAACTGTTATTGGATAATGAATCCAGAAATTGTTTTGTCATTTCTCCGTTAAGAGGGTGAGGCGGGCAATGTTAGGACGAACAAGTAAAAATATATATGCTATATAATGTCTGTCCCCTAGACAATGTGTGTGCACTACCCCTGTTGTTTCAAGTGTCCTTTCCCAGGAATAAAGTATGCAAGAAACCCTGATTAAAGACGACACATAAGTAGAATCACTTTACTACACCCTTATCTATCTACGAGTTGAGATTAGCTGAAATATCCCAAACTTCACACATACTGAATTAAGAGATTATCAAACTTCAAATTATGTAATTAACCTGTTTTGTCCATAGAACTAAAGATTGAGGAGCAGAGACTGGCAATGCTAAAGAAAAAAGAGGAAGATAGAATAATGGTTGACGGCTTAATTGTAAGTGGTCAAATTCATTAATAAAGTCAAACTAATTAACAGAATAACAGCTATTTTCCCCATTTACTCATTACAAAAGTCACCTATTCATTAACATATGCTAGTATTATTGAACAATGTGTTTTGCCTGTAAACATCACATGTATCTCTTGCAATACTAGGAAAACCTGCTAGCGACATCCATGAAACAAGACGACATTAACATGCTTTTTGTTGGACCTTCTGGAAGTGGAAAAAGTCACTGCTCCAACGCCATCTTGGGCAGCAGTTTAAAATCTCAGCACATCACGACTCAGACGTCATCAGTGAACGTCTGCACCTCTCTTTATGAAAAGTATGACGTCAAAATAGTCGAGTGTTCCACGGTTGTTGGTGCAGACATTGACTGCGCATGCGCTGAAGTCCTGCCATTTGTTTTGAAAAGTTGTCCTAAAGGAATACACGTCCCAGTCATTGTTATGCGTCTAGAGCAGTCTGTTATACAAACCCGTGCAGATTTTGAGATGCAAGTTCTTAAACGATGTTTTGGTGATGAATACCTTGAAAAGTACGGAGTTTGCATTGTGTCAAGCAGTGATGGCTCAGGGCCATTAGCAAGTGACTTTGATGAATGGTGCCATCAACAAAATGACGCAGCCAAGAGGATTTTTGAAGCATTCAACTACAGGTGTGTCTACTTCTGTGACGTGAACAAAGACCAACAAGTTCCAGAGTTTATGTCTCGCGTCATGTCTTGCTGGCCCCAACCTACAAACACAGTCTCTGTCAGTGAGTATCATTCTAACACTTCCAAAATTATTTTATGTGCAATACAAAACTTGAGTTTGAACACAAGAGATTTTTTACTGTTCTTTCATACTTAACAGTGATAATTCTGAAGAACAATGGTTTATGTTCATGTATAACGTTTATTTGCCTAAGGTCCAATTATTCCTTCAATAAAAAATATACAAGGTGGCAAAGTAAAAGTAGTCGAGCATTGAGCACAGTCTAAAATACTTGTCAGTGGAAAACAATCAGACTATTTATTTCTACTGCCTTTTATTGATAAAATATCCGTTGTCACTGGATATGTTAACATTTCTTTTGCAAAATTAAGTGGTAATTTGATAAAGGACAAACAATTAAAAAATACAAGTACCAGTATGTGCATAACCTGTAATTTGTGTCTTGTCATCCATAGCCCCAGAGACGAGAGTCTATGCCGAGATGAACGTGGTTGTACAGTCGGCTAGTTCTGCTGAAGCCTTCCACATGCAGATGCAGTTTGTGAGCCAATACACTGGGGACTACAGCGGGTCAGAGGTCAAGGCCTGTGTGACTGTCGTTGGCCAGAGCCAGCACGCGCGTATCGGTGCAATGGAGTTCGAAACCCACCAAGAATTTGAAAGGGTGGGTTTCCATATATGAGTTTTTGCGTAATAATCTATCTGGTTGATGGTTTAAGTGTAATGTGGATATTCTGAAAACGACTTTCATTGAATGAACTACCGAACACAAGAATTATGTTTTCTACTATATAAGAAGTGTGAGTTATACGAGAAATATATTTCAGCTAAAACAAGCATTTTTCAAAGCGAAAGAAAATGTATAACTTTTTTTAGAATATTGTAAGTATTTTATTTAGAAACAATTTAAAATATTTTTTAACAGGCACTAATGAGCACACCATTTCTTGGACACTGCCCAGGGCTACACAGAGCTCTTGAGGCAGCAAAGATGGAATCCATCGCTGCTTCTAAAGATAGACCGGAAGTGAAAAAGATGGCGGTCGTCCTCAACAACGGAGACTATGACGACGAAGACGAGGCTGTAGAGGAGGCGGCAGAGCTGAAGAAAGTGGTTTCTGAGGTGATGGTGGTCTCCGTGGGTAGCACCAACCAGAGAAAGCTAGAGAAGATAGCGTCGAGTCCTGACAGTGTGTTTATTGCAGCAGACGAGACGGAGTTGATTCACAAATGTACTGAGCAAGTCAAACACAGGACTTGTGAGATAGGTAGGCCAGGGGTGATAATTAACTTTTTCTTCATATAAAACACACTGGAAATTAATATTAAAAACTTTTTACATATTCCTTGACAAAGATGAGATCTTTTGTTGTTTGGAGGTGTTTAAAAATCTTGAAAAACTTCGAATACATTTTGTTTTGTTATCCTCAGAACAAAAGATTAAGGAGCAGAGACAGGCGATCCTGAAGAAAAAAGCGGATGATAAAAGGATAGTAGATGGCTTGATTGTAAGTGATTGTGATAAATACTTTTTTCGTAAAGTTTGTTCAAGGTAAGTTATTTGAAGATCATGCTATTTAAAAGAGTAAGAAACTTTTACTGATATATATTAAATTTGCATTATACTTTTTATTTAATTTTTAGAAAATTATAAAGTTTAACTCTTTGTCTATAAAATGCAGGTTAGTAATGTAATTTTTACTTATTTTTCTCAAAAACTATAATCGCTATAAACTTTTAAATACTGTTCTTTGTCTGTACATATCACATATTACATGTTTTGTTCACCAGGAAAACCTGCCAGCGACCTCACTGAAACAAGACGACATTAACATGCTTTTTGTTGGACCTTCTGGAAGTGGAAAAACTCACTGCTCCAACGCCATCTTGGGCAGCAGTTTAAAATCTCAGCACTTCACGACTCAGACGTCATCAGTGAACGTCTGCAGCTCAAAATATGAAAAGTATGACGTCAAAATAGTCGAGTGTACAGTGAAGGCAGGTCTAGACATTGACTGCGCATGCGCTGATGTTTTGACACAAGTTTTGAAAAGTTGTCCTAAAGGAATACACGTTCCAGTCCTCGTTTTGCATCTAGAGCAGTCTGTTCTGAAAATCGATTCAGATTTTGAGATGCAAGTTTTGAAACGATCTTTTGGCGATGACTTTCTTAAGAACAATGGACTTTGCATTGTGTCAAGCAGTGATGGCTCAGGACCATTAGCAAGTGGTTTTGACGAATGGTGTCGTCAACAAAACGATGTAGCCAAGAAAATTTTCGAAGCATTCAACTACAGATGTGTCTACTTCAGTTACGTGAACAAGGACCAACAAGTTCCAGAGTTTATGTCTCGTGTCATGTCTTGCTGGCCCCAACCTACAAACACAGTCTCTGTCAGTGAGTATCATTAAACATTGTGTTTACTGCAATACAATTTGTATGTATATATTAAACGTTTTAATCGTTCTTGGTAGCTTCTAACTCCAACGAAAATATTACAACTTCAGTTAAATTTTAGCTTTTGTTAATCTTGGGTCTACGCTGCTAAAACTGCAATATGAAGCTATGCCGTAATCTTGCATTGAGATAAAACAAATACCTTATTTTTTTAAGGCCCAAACAAATTGACAAGGTTTTATTCTCATGATTATTAATTAATTGTTTTGAAAAATTCTCGTTCTTTATTTTTGGTTGAAACGAAATAAATCGTTTAAATGATCCAAGGGTGACATTAGCAGGTTACGCTAGGAACATTTACATGGGAAAAGAAATACCACACCAAGTCCTTCAATTAATAGTTTATGATAACCTATCTTAAGACAAAGCATGCTAGTGAGGATATCATAGTAATATTCTTCGAACAAGAAACTGCAAAACATGTCCATACACAATTCAATAGCGCAAACTGAAGTATCACAACACGTTGTATATGTTTATGATGAGATGTGAGACATACTGATGTTGTAACGTATCATCCTGTGATGTCAGACCCGCAGATGTAAATATTTATCCTCTTATGCCAGACCCACAGATGAGAGCAAGCGCTGATGTCGATGTGATTGTACAGTCGGCCAGTACTGCAGAAGCCTTCCAGCAGCAGATGCAGTTTGTGAGCAAGTACACCGGGGATTATGACAGGTCAGAGGTCAAGGCCAGTGTGACCGTCGTTGGGAAGGACCAGCACAAGTGTATTGGGGCCAGTGAGTACGACACACACCAGGAGTTTGAAACGGTGAGTGGTGAAACGTGAATTTTATTAGTTTTACTTTTCTTCCAGGTAAACAGAGAGTGTGCTACGAGTAGCATTAGTCTGTACTATAAAATTGGTGCTAGTAAAAAGTAGTGAGTGTGTTTTTGTAGGTTTAGTATGTGCTATTATTGCAAATATTCTTTTAAATTTTTTAAGACTATGACGACATCTAGTATACGCGATTAGTTCCATGAATAGAAATTTAGCACTTGTTAGGTTTTCAAAAGCCGTTGTCAGAATCGACTTACTTAATCCTCGTGGCTCCCCGTGGAGCTTAGTACGACACAGATACTCCTCCATGCTTGCATTTCCTATAAGAGCCACCTGGGTTTCCGATGGCCTTTCCATCTTAGTCTATCTTAGTGCCGTGTTCTTTCCTATCTATTTATTTGTGATTCGCTCTTTCAGCTTTATTTTGGACGTTTTAAAATTCTGTTTCCATATTTTATTTCTGCAGCAAAGAGCAGACGGAACGCATATTGGACTTGAATATTTTTTTTTGTAGAATCTCTGCTGCTATGAAAGTGATATTTTAGGGTGTTTTAAAGGTTAATAAAGAATTGCAATTCCTGTAGAGAGTAGCAGTGTCAGTAATTTGGTGTATTGCAAATCAAATTAGCCTTTTAAAACGTCTGATTTTCGTAATGAAGCTTGTAAAATAATGTGTTATCAAATATGAATTTAAAATACGTATTTCAATCAGTTTTTTTAAAAATAAACATGTCGATGTAATACTTTTACGTGGTTTTCTACACGATGAATACAACTCATGTGTTGCTGTTTTTTTTTTAAATGTTGCCTTATAACGAGTCTTGCTCAACTACTTTTTATTCAAGTGATATTTTGTTTCAACAGGCCCTTGTGACTACACCATTCCTGGGACATTGCTCAGGGCTACATAGAGCTCTTGAGGTAGCTAGGAAGGAATCCATTGCTGCTTCTACTGACAGACCGGAAGTAAAAAAGATGGCGGTTGTCCTTAACAACGGAGACTACGACGACGAAGACGAAGCTGTAGAGGAGGCGACAGAGCTGAAGAAAGTGGTTTCTGAGGTGATGGTGGTCTCCGTGGGTAGCACCAACCAGAGAAAGCTGGAGAAGATAGCGTCGAGTCCTGACAGTGTGTTTATTGCAGCAGACGAGACTGAGTTGATTCACAAATGTACTGAGCAAGTCAAACACAGGACGTGTGAGATAGGTAGGCCATGGGCGGACGGTGCTTAATGCAATACGCATCGCATCGGCGGGGGTAAAGAAAATAGATAGGTCATGTGCGGAGCTAGATAAAAAAAATACGGATGATATTTCACAAATTGTGTGACATTTCAGAGTTTAGCCCAACCTTGAGATTACATTAATTTAGTCAAGTAGGGCTGATGCTAATATCTTTAGTTTGTTGTATGACTGAAATATTGTGCTCTGCTTTTTACATGGGCAAACGACTGTTGCTTTTATTTTAGTATTTTTAATTAAATGAAGCATTTTATGATCACTAATTAGGCTTAAATGTAGTTTTACATTGGGGTTATTTTAGTGAGTTATGCTAATTTTGCTTTTATAAGTGGCATGCTGTGTTGTTACGATATACCTTAAGTTTAGATCTAAGTTTTATATTATTTCTTTTGTTTGGGTATGTCACTTATAATTTTTAGATAAGATAGGTATAAACCCTTTATAATATATACTACACAACTAACAAGACATTGGTCTTGCAGGGTACGTTTAAAAACTACAGATGTTACTTTGGGAAAATCCGTGTTTTTTTAATCTTCTTCTATTTCGTGTTTCACAGCGCCTCAGTATTCATCCACCGCAAATATTTGCTTCCTCATCGACTCGTCGGGAAGTATTGGACTGGATTACCACAAAGAACTCAACTTTGTCGTTGGGCTGACGGAGCTCTTCAACATCGGTATGGAAGCAGCACAGTTCAGCGCCATGATTTATTCTAATGATGTCCGGGTGCTTTTTAACTTTGAATCCTTGACCCATGAAGAGATTAAAGAGGTTTGCTTAAAACTTTTTTTTCTCATCTTCTCCACAAGCATGTGTGTTCGATATAATATTTGTTTCGTTTCAATTTATGCTTTGCTGTCGTCCTAAAATATCAGATAGAGGGGCAGAGGGGGGGGGGGGGGTACTGATTTTAGAGAGTGGCTTCTACCTGAAGACGGCAGTATTAAAACACATGATAAAACATTTGTCGTGAGTTGTTTTTTTTAAATATGATTTGGGGATAGAATTAAGCGAGGTCATTTTATGGAGACGGTGTCCTTAAAACGTGATAAAACATATATTGTTTATTTATGTTTTAAAACAGCATGATAATATATGAGTAGGGAAAGAATTTCCCTGGTTTTTTATGGAGACGTTTTGATTTATATGTGATGACATGCGACTGGGGAGAACACTTCCGTGACGATTTTATAAATTTAATTTTAATCTCTTTCATTAGAAAGTTCTTGGAGCAACTTTCATAGGACAAGGCACCAACACGGCCGAGGCCTTAAAAACGGCCAGAGTTCAAACTTTTCCCACCACGGATTCGACACGACAGAACAACACGAAAATTGCCATCGTCATCACCGATGGCCAGTCTCAGAACACCAACCAAACGTACCAGGAGGCCGAGGCTCTGATCGCGGCTGGCGTTCGTACGATGGCTATCGGTGTGGGCGCCGGCGCTGTGATGGATGAGCTAAGAAAGATCGCGTGTAGGGCGAACTACGTCTACTCTGTTGATGGCTTCAATGTGCTGCAGACCGTTCATGACGAGATTGCCAGGCTGACAAGCCATTTAGGTAGGTTTAAAAAAATGTTTCTTGTGTTGTGAGATGTTGCATAGCTTTTAAAAACTTTGTATACATTTTCTGAGGCAACTAGGCAATTCTCTCTTCACTTTTATACTTTTATTGTAATTCTGTGTCCGTCGCGATTTTGAATATTAAAAAATAATAAATAATAATAAAAACGTATTTACTCGTGGAACTCCTTTTTGAAAGTAAACTCAGTTGACCCACACACTATTCACTACGAAGCTATAAATGTTACTTAACTACTAACACTGGTTCAACTTACTTAAGGTATTGTCGATCAACTGGAAATTTTATTACAACATGTTTTCTTTATTATTCAGGAGCAGATACCGATAGTGAAATTCAGGAATATCGTCGGTCTCTACCCGAAGTTTGAACAATTATAAGGAGGACAGCGTTAAGGAACTTAATGCTGTAAAATTAATTGTCTCTAATTTATATCTGCAGCATTTGAATCTGTTTATATATATATATATATATATATATATATATATATATATATATATATATATATATATATATATATATATACACACATATATATATATATATATATATATATATATATATATATATATATATATATATATATATATATATATATACAGTTATATTTCGTTACTAATAAATCGTATTTTTTACATTTTTACTAACACTGTATTCAGAATGTCTATGCTTAACATTAGTGCATTACTGGCTAACAAGACAAAATGTCACTCTCTGCGCCAAACAAATAAAGTTCGGGTGTCTACTTCGACACACGATTTTACCGACATCAGAAAGCCGATTAGCTGAATGTGAATATAGTCTTCAAGTCCAAAGTGTTGGATAAAATGTTTGACCCACCTAACACATAATGTAAATAACGTTTGGCTCCCTTGTTTTAATCTAATTTTGTTAGTTTATTCTAATAAAATTTCTTTATACTAAAATAAATAGTAGTGTATTAATATATATTTTAAGAAACTTATTTATTTTCTACTTTTTAGTGCATTATTACATAAAAGCTTGTTATTAAAACGTTTTTATTAAGTGTTTTAATTTTTTTTTATTCACGTTATACTTTGTGCACCTACCCAAGCTTCGGGTACTTCCTGTTTATTTAGTGCTTTATTTATCATTGGTAAGCAACTTCTTCATGATTTGTTTATCTTTAGCATTGCGCAAATCAAGTTGTATGTCTATTAATATATCTATATATTTTTACAGGTAAATTCTTGTCATGAATTTGTGTATATCTAATACATTTGCTGAGTGATGATATATTTCTGTAAACAAAATACAATATGCAATATTATAAACATTTTAGGGCTTCTTGTTTATTTAAAAGTCTTTGACGTTTCTAAAAATTGAATGGGTTGGTCAAATAGTCTAGTAATGAAAACCAGACGTGTTATTTAAAATAAAAAGAGATATTACCATTGAAATAGTGACCGACAGACAATGGTTAAATTCAAACTATCTGAACATTAGTATCATACAGCAGTGGTTGAAGTATGATACAAGCTTGCCTGAGGTATGATACGACGCTGCTTAGGCAATGTTTCTTAGCGTAGTAAAGCTGACTTAAAACGAAGTCTTATAGACTACGTATATTATTATGTTCTTGGATTTTATATCTACAAATGCTGAGATATCTAGAATCTGTATGCGTCTTCAATGCAAAGACAAAAAAGATGTGCAATTATATTCAATACAAGCGCCAATTGCATTTCATTACATGTCAGGGATTGAGGTTCACATCTACTTCCTCTAGCCTTTTCTAGATCAGATATAAATAGAAAGGGCCTTTCCCAGAGACTACAAATAATCATTCGAGAGTTGCAATAACCAATGGGGAACATTTATGTTTATACATTGTAAAAACAGAGATTGATAAAAGCTTTACAACGGAAACTTTCAAATTTTGTTTAGTTTTTAATCTAGACCAGTAGTGACATTAATCTAGAAATTGAACCGTCTACCTATCTTTTAATTAAATTTAAGTAAAAGTATGTATTGTATCTTTTTAAAATATATGTCTTTCGGTTAAAATATTTTGGACCCTTTCCATCATAACCCGATCTACGATACACAAATAAGTGCATTGTCTACCTAAAAGACTTAGAAAGTTTTTCGTTTATTTATCTTTGACATGATTCCAAAGAGATGCTTCATAATCTTAGTTCTTAAACACAACCTAAAAAAAATCATGTCGCCTTATGTCGGTCTTAAAGTCAAAGACATGCTTGAAAATAAAAACAAACACAATCAGATAATTGTACTCGGAACCATTATATTTTAAACGATGGTACTAAAAGTAAGAACTATTGTGTAGTCCTATAAACAAACAAAAAATAATTGATAAAACATTTAATGGTGAATTATTTCATTATTAAAGTGTACCTTGTTGTATATAGTAAACTATGTATAGATATCATACAAGTGCGCCTAGGCCTTATTTCCCCACCTCCACTCTCGCCACTAAAGTTCATCGCTACACGTATTACAGGGCTGTGTTGTAGACCTGATGTTCTACAGTATCTGATCCAGTCTCTGTGTTATCTCCCTTTGTGTCCGTCATATCTGTGGGGAGGACATGACGTTTGGGGGGTAGGTCAGGAGGGCGTTCCTCCATGTCAAAAACAACTTCCGGTTCAGGCACAACGGCATTGTTATTTCCCACTTTAGTACCTGACTCTCGTTTAACTTTAGTGTAGAGTGGATTGTAAACATCACCAACAGCATCATCCAAATCTTTCAGACTGTTAAGTTTGTCCATGGAACCGTCTGAATTATCGTCGATTTGCCTGTTATTAACAGCATCGATTACATGTAGGTAATCGTCCAATGTGTCATTTAATGGTCCATCATTTGCACCATCGATTATTTGCAAGTAATCGGG